TCGAAGGAACCACTTCGGAACGGCCACTTGTCGCTTTAGGTGAATATGTGTTTGGCGGGCTTTTTATTTATTTCTCCATTATTATGGCTTCCCGGGAAATTGGCAGCGCATTTTTTTTACATCACTGGCTTTCGAGCGCGAGCCCTGTTTAGCCCCGCTTGTCTCAAGACTTTGATTCGAAATTGTTTCTTTGCGGTTAGATCCTTTTGCCAATCTTCTAAAGTGAGCTTAGGTTTTTTTGGCATAGCTGATATTGCACGGTACTACCTGCCGTTTTTGCCTATTGTTCAGCGTCGGGGGGATGACAGGGGTACTGAACCCGGTGGCCAGTTACCAGACGTTCTTTTCTATACATTTTTCATAGGAGCGGATCTCATAGGACCCTTCTCCCAAATAACGGCAAAATTATCTTTGCGGCTATGTAAAATTGAGATTCGTTTTTTCTTTTATTCTGCAATGACAGACTACTCTAATCCTCTTAGAAATACATTTCTTTCTATTTTGTGCATTTTCATACGATCCACAAAAACTTCTTGCAAATAACCCATCCGCAAAATCATCCTTCGTGCTACCCTAAAATGCGCCCACGATCGCGTGTCTATCGCCTCGAATTTTTGAATCCAACTACATACCTCCACCAAAACAAACGGCTTTTTATCCCAATCTACCCCATCCACCCCCAAATCCGCCCCATCACAAATATGGCTCTTACCAAAATGAGGGCTTCTCATCGGGTTTTTGTTTTCGGCGCGGCGCGGCCCGGACGGGGATTCAGATGTGCCTCGAATAATTCATTAATATCCCTCGGATCAGGATTTTTAGGCGGCTGGTAAGCGTGGCCATTAGCACCTGTTCAATCAGCGGATGGCGGGATGTGGGGTGTTTTTTGCATTGGGCATTGCCACTGGGGTGTTCGGGGGAAAGGAACGGATTGGAGGTTGCAATTTCCGCGTGAGGGCCCCGCGTCTGTGAAGACGTGTGTTTCTTTGTCGTCGGATTGAGCGGTATTTATGTTAGGCCCTATTGCAGAAATTCGATTTTTTTTTCTCCTGATTTTTGTAGTAAAATTACTTAACTTATGAAATATCTACACTTTTATAAATTTCGCTCTGAATTTTCCATGCTAATTCTAGATTTCCGGGTTATTCGCCTAGGCGCATTTAGTAATATTTAGTACTTCTGGTCGTCTCTATCCTTTTTTATTATTTTCCGCTTTTCATACCGCGGTGCTCGTATTTATCCTTTAGTCCATGCCAAGGCGAGGAAAAGCTTTCATCAATTTTTGTGACCCTTCCGCCGCCCCCGTCTAAACATAAGCAGTTGACTGGGCTGAGGCGCCCCGGCAAATCACATTCTGTTTATTGATTTAATTGACCGTCCGGCATCTTATTAACACGTTTTTACGAGCTAGTAGCATTATAATCGTGACTTAATGCACTTCCTGTCCGAACCACAAGTAAGTAGGTCGATAAAATCTATTAACTATCATTAAAAACAGAAACACGAAGTCGATTTTTTTTGTGACGTCACAGCCCCCTTAGAGCAAAGGTTGCTGGCTTCCCTTTAACATTGAAGCTTTTTATTCCTAGACACTTCCGGAGTTTCTGTGACAGTCATTTTAAAGAATGATTTTTATGGCACTACCCCTTTAAAGTTGAAAGAAATTGTGTCAAGCCCAGAATTTTTACGCAACCGAAACTTAACACGCCTTATTAGTTTCCCGTGAAGTATGTGAGTGTGTGTTGGGGGTGTCCGTGCTGCTGAAGGGAACTGGGAGAAGAAGGGGAGGAGGGCCTTTGGAGGCTGATTCCCGGAGCCGTACGGGTGGGACTGCTGGGATGGGGGGGCAATTGTGGAGAATAGAAGAGTCCCCCTTCCTTCTCTTCTTCTGCTCGAACCCCCCGTAAGGGCCGTTGGATGGCATGGAAGACGGCAAAAAGCCTCTGCCACCACCACCACCACCAACCAACAGACACACACCACCAGCACCGAGACCCCCCGGCCAACGGACACACGTTTCCTCGCAATTTTCTTCCCTTCTAGGGTCCTTCCAACACTCGTTGTTCTTTGGCTCTCAGTGAAAATAAAAATTTTTGAGGATTCTTTATTAGTTCAAGCTCTAATAAGCATTTTTTTTTCTTAGCCCCTGCCCCAATACATAGTATCCACACCGGACTAATTAAAAAAGTTCCCCTCGATGATAGTAACTCTCCCGTCACATTTAAAATTAACAAAATCTACGCGTGTAATAGTTACTTTTATGCGTTCCCATCCGATTCTAGATTTATCCTGCGGTTAAAATGCTAAAAAGAAACAAACCAGCCAAAATAATCCAATTTTCCATTCGAGTTTCGTGCAAATTTCGGTAGATGGGTGCTCAAAATGAACGTTTTCCATACAAATCCTCACTGTTACTAGTATTCCTTCCTTTTAGCTGCTTGAAAAACAAGGCTTATCCGAAGAAATACGGTACTTGAGTGCTTAACTAATTTAAGGTTCGAAGAACCTAAACTTCGAGAACCATTCAGCTTTTCAATTCATACCTCGACAAACCTATATTTACCTCTATCATTCATTTGTTGTCATCACAGTCCCCACCAATTAACACAAACTACCATCGTCTTAAAACTTTTTCCAAAACTTAGCGTAGTGGTACCACCGACGCCAGAGACAGCGCTGAATACCCCGGATATCCACCTCCTCCACCCGCCAGCTAGTGGCCCATCCTTGGGCCCCCCTGGGGCGTTGGGCGGCGCCCCCGGACACAAATCCATTTTCAGCGCATCAATTAGTAATTAGCTGCCCCGGTGCCCTGGAGCTTTTCGCGAACGAATTTTTTGGGAGGGGGTGGCTACCACTTTTCTGGGGTGGGGGTTGTTTTGCTTGTATTTTATTTAGCGCCGATGCTTCCTGCGCCTTTAATAGCCAAAAGAAGCTTCTTAAGGATCATTAAACAGTTTCCTGTTAGTTGGATTGTACCGTATTGTTTAACAATATTACTGCAACGCTTAATTTTCACGGCTGACTGGAAGAATCAGGATGTTGGGATGGCGCTAATCCGATTCGGCACTAGGTTGGGTCTCTGCGAGCTCTTGGTACTAGGCATCGGCTGGATCCCAGTGTTATTCATCATAGGAGTCATGTGTTATACCTTGCAATACTAGCGCTGTTTTACTTATTACGATTATGATCAACTGTCACAGCTCAATGAAAAGTTCTGCTACCATAGGGTTCGTTATTTACCAAAAAATCCTTGGAATTTGGTTGTTTTCTATGTTTTTTAAAAATATTAATTAGACTATAAATATTTTAATTAACAATGTATTGCTTTGAAAATTTGTGTGTACGTAGTTTTTGTGACTCCGGATCAATGGTGAAAACTAGGACCCCATCCGATAGAGATCCTGTACGTCATTTAATTTTTGAAGATCTCTAGCGGAGCTTCACTCATCCCCTGACCCTTCCGGTGTCGTGTCATCCTTAGCAGTAGCCCTGGTCTCGGTGGTGGTCGCAAAAGGCAATATGGCCACCCCTCGATTGGGTCTCTAAATGCAGCTCTGGCAGCCAGCTGTTGGCTTTTTGAGAACACCGTTTGGGGGATGTGGAAGGGGGGAAGAATCCTCCTCTTTTCCCCTACCCTCCGGCCATTTCCCGCCCTAGAAAGCTTCTCTTTTTGAGGGGCTCCGAGAGCCATATTCCCCCCTAGATCCCAATGTCGCCAGAGCCAGAATGCCTCGACGCTGCTTCCCGGGGGGGCTCAGTCAGTATATGTATATGAATGTCTCTGTGTGGGGTCCATCTGTAGTCTGGGGCCTCGCTCAAGCAAATGATTAATATTCTGCGAATCGCTTTTGCTTTTCATAGGCTCTGGGGGATCTGTGGGGAGGTTTTTTGGTCTATTTTTTTTGCTTTTGCAAGTGATGACGAGGTGGCCGCGAATTTTGGTTCTTTAAATCCATCATGTGACAAACCTTGAGCTTTAAAGGGGTTGTGAACGGTTCAGGGGTTATAAAAACCATTTTTAACAATAATAAGGAGGGTTTGTATAACTTTCTATGTAGGATTATCCCGCAAATTTGACAAACATTTTTGGAATCAGCGCAAAATTCTGCCCAAAATGTATTTGAACTCATCTTGAAAACCTCATGATGCCTAAAAATATCTTTGTGTGGGCCGTAAGAACGTAAACTGGTTGTCTAATTTGATGAATTTTTTGGCTAATTCAAGTTACAAAGTTTATGGTTTGAGAATATCATCTCCTCGGCCGCATTTCATCCCCTATTTCTTTCACTCACCATGACGCGACCTTCATAGCCTAAAATCTACGAACAACCGACGACAAATGTCCCCTCGTTTCGCTGTGTCAACTTGTGACAAAAAGCAACAAACCGTCCGTGTATCTCGCACGCAGATCTCGAACTGGGGGTTCTCTCGTGAACTAAAAAAGGACTCCATAATCGCCGATCTCCGTATTCTCGCGTACTTCGCGCAGTCCTCGACATTGTTTTGGACTAAATAATTTCAAATACTAGCTTTTTAAATGTCTCCCACTCTAAATTTCGATACTTGAAAGACCTAGACCACAACGTTTCTGTTATGGTCTTTTCTCCTAAGCTGGGTTACTGTATAACGGGAGTCCATTCAGCATTATGAATCTGGGTAGATAACAAGGCCGCCTCCGTCTGGCTTGGCACGCATTCCGTCCCATTAATCAAATAAATAATGATATACTTTGACTGGTACATTACATCTCAAAATTTTTAATGTTTTTATAAGGTTCTCCATGCGTTTATAATCTTCTAAAATCGAATGTATCGATTAACCTCTTATTCCCTGCATAATTCTATACGATTAATGCCTGTTTTTACTATTTAATATGCTTTTTATTCTTTCACGTTGAATCTCCGCCACTTCAGTAGTTCACCGTGGCTTCGGCAGTGTGTGGGTTGTCGGGGCCATCGACATCGGGGATGGGTACCCCATGTTCGTCTACAGGTCCTATGCCTGGCCCATCCACACGAAGCCCCATCGAGTTGATGCAGCACATGGTGGCCGGGACGGCCAGTATGCATTCCCCTCCCCCACATATGAGTCAAGGTATAGGAAAACGGGTTATATTCCGATTAGAGAAGGAGTAATTGTAATGAGGTTAGGTTGAAAATAAGCGAAAGACATTAATTTACCAACCCCAGCCCGAAAATCTCAGATTTTCGAAATTTTCGCCAATTTTTTATATTTTGTAAACGTTCCTCGATAAACAAAAACCAACAACATCGGTATCTGAATTTCTGCTCAAAATGGAAAGTAATGAGCGGTACAAAACCTAGTCTGTCATTTCTATATTTTGCAAAAGAATTTAAAAATCTAGTTTCGTCTTAATTTCAGCCCAAAATAACGTAATCCAAACTGATTATAACAAAAACAGGACTAATCCGGAAAACCGGTTGAACAGTGCCTTAAAGTAATAATCTTCAAAATACGCAAGTATACGTAGTTTTACGCAAGTAGGACGCGGCCGGGTAGACTTAATATTTTTTTTCATCCGGCTTGGAAAGCATAGTTTGTCCAAAATAGGATGAAATCGTACCAAAAATAGTCCAATATTCCTATTTTTTCAGGTGCAATGATGAACGGTGGAGGCATCGCGATGATGCCCCCAGGCCATTTGGGCTCACCGGGAATCCAGCGGCCCGGAATGTACCGTACACCACCCGTCATGATTCCACCTTCCATGTCAATGCAAGGTAGGCTTTCTCCGGGGATTGGATGACAAAAGCGCCGTTGCCAGTGCTCTGAGTTTTCATGGATTTGTGAAAAATGAAATTCTCCATGAGCGAAAATAAAAGGTAAACATTTAATGATTAAGAAGATAGACAAAAAAAAGTATAAATAAGGGGGCATTTCGAAAATGTAATGAAGTCTATTCTTTTTCGAGAAATGTAAAAGCTGATTTCATATGCTTTTTAGTTGTCATCAAGCCTATCAGTTTTGAAAAGCATTTAAAGGTTTTGTAAGATTCTACGAAACATCGAAAGCTACCTAAACTTTCCAAAACATACCTTACCAAGCCACGCATTAACGGTCCTCCCAACCAGTGTCCTGATTTTTGAAACCCCAGAAGCACTTAACCTATGATATAGCTGAGACTAAAACAATCACCTGACATTGTTCCAAACTACATTGTGTTTACAATCCGTATGACGAATCCCGCGACCAAATGGATTTTCGCAAAAGCCGCGGGCTAGCTGGTTTCACGTTATTTGCGGACCATTCATTTGCCATTTCCGACCAGATATTTGGTCTGGCCATCCCAAAAACCAACCAGCATTAGCGTCAGCTACCGTAGCCGCGGGTAGTTCTCACCTGTCTGGTAAAAAATGCACCTGTTTCCAAGAGGCTGATTGCAATTAGCACATGCTCTAGGTCCACCGCGGCGGCATTCTGTCGCCATTTTGGCTACGCGGCATTGGGGTTCAGTTGGATTTAGAAACTGAGTAGGAAAGGGTATGGTAGTCGGCTTTAGCTTACGGTAGTCTGTGAGAGCTTGGTATTTTCTGAGATTGAGGCTGGATTTCTTGACGGGGCAATTATCTGAATTTTCTTGGGGTTGCCTTTTCTAGGGCAGCGGGCATTGACTACAAAATATCCCCTAGAGAAATTTCGGAGAGCGAGAGCAACTCACTTTACGTTTTGCAGCAAGCCAGTGCCTGAATTTTTTTAGTATAAGCTATTTTTATAATTTGGTTGTTTGTAGTCCAATACACATTTTTTTTATTTTCTAGAGCAAATGATTAATAATAATTAAGTACGAATCCTAAAATCCCTCTGATTCGTTGACGCATCCCACCCTACAGTTGTTATCCTGCCTAATTAAAAGTTGCCTTCATCCGCCGCCTCTTTCTTCTCTATGGAATGAGGAGGAGGAGGCCTCTCCCGGCCGGCCAATCTTTATTTCTCGCCCCAGGGAAATCACCAATTAAGCTGGCTGTCGTTCACACACTCCCAATAAGGGGTTTAGTATGGGCATTTTATCGACTCCTCCGAGGCTGAGGGTGTCTGGTTATGGTTATTTGCATTTTTTTTAGGTTTATAAGGAGGTTCTTCGGTGGGGTATAATCCCGCTTTAAGTTTAATGATAAGCACCTTTGAAAATGTTAGAAAATCTAGAAAAAGGCGTTGTAACAATTTGGAAAAACCATTGGAAAAATGCTGAGAAGGTATCCTTTCAAATTTGAAAATTAGTTTTTCTGCTAAAGATACCTAGCTCTAGTAATCGAAAAGATTTCCTCGAGTACGGTAACCCTACTAATCCGTTTAACGCTCTCAGCCGTTCATATAAATAAGCTCAGAATAGGCTATTCCAGCAAAAAAATACGAAAACTAAACCTCAAACTTCCAAAATTAGTGGGATTTTCATAAAAATAATTTAAAAATGGCTTCCCCCTAACAAGACAAGTATGTTATGTAAAGTCATCTATTTAGTGCACCATCTAACTGAATCCCCCGAGTAGCCTATTAAAAAAAAACATACCGAATTTAAATTTCCAAATTATCTAAACCACTTTTCCTTATAAAACTGCCTTTAGAATCTCTTTCTGCTACCAACCCAAATACGGTATCTCAAGTAAACCCCAACACCAATTATATAAAAGCTTTTTGCCAATTCCCGGTAGATCACCAGAGCATTACAAAAGATAAGCCCTACGGCCGTGTTTTTGACGTGGCGTCTAAGCGCGCCACCGGAGGATTGTAAGACCAAAATCGGCGCCATAGAGCAACCCAGCTTAGCAGATCCCCCATCCATTTACATGCCCCGACAGTCCATTTGGCTAATTGAAAATACTGTCCTCGTTTTGTGTGCTTCGTACTCGGGGAGCCAACACGCCCATCTTCTGAACCGGCTTATATTAAGGGTTCTATCCTACACCTGGGAAACCATATCCGCCCAGTCGCTTCCGTATATATAAATTCCATCCGGCCGCTATGACTGATCCGGTAGACGAGCTCGAGAATTTGTTCTCGTTCAGCGTTGTAGCTGCTATTATAGAGCACTGGCAGCGGCGTTTAGGTTGGTTTAAACAGGCTTTAATGCTATATGATTATGCATAATAATATATAATTTATATAAGTATATATTTAGGAATGCCACCTCAAGCAAGTCACCTCGGTCCGCCGCAACTTGGCATGCAAAGCCCGCATCAAGGCCCACCACATCCTGCTCTACCTCCGCACATGGTTCAACCACATCCACAAATGCCACCTCCAGACCAGTGAGTCATTTTACATCCTGTCTTTTTTAAAAGTGAAATACTCCCCAACGACGTCTTGCTTCCCCCAAAATGTTGCCCCAAAATATACGCATCCTAGTACCAAAAAGACCCCATCTCCGTCTGCGCCTTCTCCACACCCCCTTCTGCCATCCGCATTTCCGGGCGCCGAATAGAAATTGTAATTATCTCTTTTCACAGCCTTCGCGCGGATAATTAGACGGTATTGTTGGTAGGACGGCGGGGGGTCGAGTGGGCTGGAAGAGAAGCACAAGGAGCAAAAGGGTCGAACAGCCGGCCCCCGGGGTGGTGCCACAGAACCGAGTACGAGCTTAAACTTGTGGTTTGCGTTTTTTAGGCTGACGTTGTGAGGTTTTATTATTAGAGTAAGATGTGACTTATTTCAATCGTTGAGCTCAATAAAAGTTTTCAAAATGGGATTTGCTTTTTGCGATATCTAGTTGAGTGTTTTATGTAAGTTTTCAAAGCTTTTCCCGATAGTTAAATTGCCCGGTATGATTAAGCTCTTTTTAATTGATCAATTTTTAATAATCTATTCAGTCTATTCTGCCAATTTTTGTTGGATTTTATTTTGTGTAAGTTCCAACCCTTTTTGTAAGGTATATTCGTGGATTTTCTTGGAACTAGAATATCTTGGCAAAACAATCTTTTTTTCCTAATTGGATTACTATTCTCGATCGAGTACTAAAAATTAATGAACATATTTATATCACAAAACAAATTGTGCTATATCAGACTCCCAGATTGATCCAGTTTTTCCTGTAACACCATCCACGGCCCCCAGCGAAATCCGCGGCGCTGTAGATTGGTTGACGACCTTTTGGAGGTGGGTGGTGGTGCGGCAATAGGCCAAGGCCGAGTCCTCATTCATCAGCCACTCATCATAAATTCTGGACAAAGCCGCTTTGCCGTTACAGGCGTCGTGCTTTGTCTTTGTCATAGCGCCCCACACGCTAGGCGACGATTTATGGGGGTTACACGATGTGGGTAGGTTTTTGATTGGTGTGGAGGGGCAGGATTTCGCGCGTTAGGAGAATATAGAAATCTAAATCTTCCTAGGTCCATTAAATTTCATTTGGCTTCAATGCCCCTTGAATCTAGTCATTACTCAAGCTAACCGTAGTCAAAAAAATCAGGCCTTGAATCCGGGTAATCTGTATTTAACTGAATTTTTCATTTAAATTTATTTTTTCATCATGATCTGGATAAAACAAGCATACCCATTTAGTAAAACGTGCTTACAATTAGGTATCCAATTATATCCAATTCCAATCCCAATATGGATAATCCAAAAATATTCCGTCTAGCCACGCGCTACGATTCACGAGGCCTTGGCCAAATATCCAGATACAGTGAAAATGTGGCTAAACAAGGCTCGAATGACATCGAGGCTTATGGCCAGCCAGATGCGCACACTTTGACCATCACGGGGTTATGACGGCTCTTCCCCATCCCCATCCAGCAGAAAGGCTGACCTCTCGTTGCCTCATGTTACGATGCATAAACAATGACCTTCCGTTGATGGCCGCCCATCATCTTTTGATGGCGGTGAGGCTTTTTTGAGGGTGAGCTATCGGAGGGGGATGATATAGGGCGGAAGTGATAGTTATGGTAAATAGGGTTTAGGGTTGATTATACCTGTTATGTGGAAGATATTGGCTAGTTTCCAAACTAGAGGATATCAACTCTAGGCGTAGGGAGTTAATTTTGGCTTGACTTACTGTGCATCCAATGCTTCATTAGCTCCCAGACACATTTAGCGCCAGCCCATTCGGTGGCGTTCTTGTTATCGGATCCACAATTATGGCTTTTCCGGAAGAACCGGCTGGGTTAGAGTTAGTTCGACTGGCAAACTGGCCTTGGTGCCACTTAGGTTTGGACTTAGATTTTTTTGGCTTAGACGAGTACCATCGACCGTTAAAATCCACACATTAACATTCGTCAATATTTGAGTGGAACTTTAGACGATTTTTAAGATTTTTAACCCAAACGGCGCCTAAAAAAAGCTTTTGCTTTTGCCGTCCTAAACCGATCATCACGATAGCGTATCGACCCATTGCTGGTTACCATAAGAACCACCCTCCCTTCCGATGGTGCTTTTCCGCCTATCTCCTCATCCTCCCCTTCCTCTTCCTCCTCCACCCTCATTTCAATCGTATTTCGAGTGTTCAATACTAAGGGCCCAGTCCCTTCCCCAACCCTCCTCCCGGTCCATCGGACCCCCCAAGAACCGCCTCGCCACCCGCGTCGCGTCCTTTCCGAGGTCCGCGACTGGTCTTTCTAGTTTCTATCTCTCTCTACCCCCTCCTCATTTCGCACCAATACTCTCCCCCCACCCACCGACTTCACCCTGGGCCCCTAACTCTCCCTTCCTCCCTCCCTTCCCCACGGTCTCGCACCGGAATGCAAATCTGTTTTGGGGCCCTCGCCCCACCCTCAAACCCACAACCTTCAAAATATTCCGCCCTCCACTGATTACCAGTCGACGAAGGAGGTCCAGGAGGGAAAGGAGGAGCAGGGGTTGGGCACCCCTGGGGGGACCCAATACTTGCCGGACGCTGACCCCATTTCCTCGCAATTTCCCTCGAAAACCGTGGCTGAGCGCGCTCGCACGCCGCGGGGTCGTCTTGTGCCTCCTCGACGTCCACCTCGTCCTCATCCTCCCCTCCTCTCTTCCTATTGTTTGACCTAGATAAGCCCTAGGGGGTGCCTTATCGGCGGACCGTGAAGCGTCCCGCAGAGCGCCTCTTCGGTGTGGGGCTTTGGACCCAGCACGTACCTCGGCTTAAGTTTTGCGTTACTTGTACTTAGATTTTGTATTAAGTTTCGTCAATTTGTACTCTGGGATTAGGCTTGAAATAGTAGGTTGGGTAGCGGATGGAATGGGAAGCGGAAAACAAGAGCTTAGGGTTGTAGGGGTTTTGCATAGGAATTATGCGAGGTTGCGTTGGTTAGAATTGATCGGGCAGTTGTTCGGAAAGTTTAGAGAGAGAGAGAGAGAGAGAGAGAGAGAGAGAGAAACCAACTGTCTGCACTTCATTGCTAGCTTCCCATATTTTCATTTTTCTCTAACTACGCTACACACCAAAATACTTCACGCATAAATCAAACTTCGCTCAACCCTTCATACCGCCATTTCTCGCGCCCGATACCATTAGCAAGCTCGTAATCGGCTAAAGCCAAAAGAGAGGGCGGCGCGGGGCCCAGGCTCGTTGGAAACATAACACTTGGTTCGGCTGAAATATGGCCGTTGTAATGTAGGGATAGATCGAGGGCCCTCAAGGGAAGGAGGATGAGGGGGGTAAGAAGGACTAGTGGGATGTCTTATCACTCTGATCCTCCGTCCCATCGTTAGATATCCATCTCTAATGGGGAGGTAGCACCTGGGTGGCGGCATCACGACAGATTGGCCTCCCGTTACTATCCAATCGGGGTCAGGGGAAGGTCGTCGTTGTATCTAAATGGACCGATGACAGATCAAGATCCGTAGCTATGCTAATTAAAGAGGCTGTAAGGGTACAAAAACCGCTTGTTTACATCCTTACGAACATTCCAGTTCGGAACGCCTTTCACTCCCCAATCCCATCCAAGCATAACCGATAGTTTTTACAAAGGGCCGTAAATTCGTACTCAGTGATAGATTATCGGAAACGTTATCTTGATTCCTCGGCCCTCCTGCTCCCTCCAAATCTTCTCCACTCTCCCCTCCGCAACATGCAGTTCCAATCCGCCCCTTATCAATTTTGGGACCATGTCCTTTGCTGTGTTCTTCGGATCGCCATATTACGTGTGGGCTTTTGTCTGGTTCATTCCGTTGGTTTCTGAGCCTGAACTTTCTAGTTTTCAACGGACTTTATGGGAATACGCTTTGTAGGGTTCTCGGGGTCCCCTAGACCTGATTTCAATTTTCCAAAGATATCCACGGGCTTGAAAAGCATTTCAAATTTCCTCAGCCCTTTAAAAACTTGATGACGGGGTGATGCGGCGCCATGTGTATTTGGATGGAGCCCGAGGGCTATGAGGGCAAGACGAAGGCCCAAAAGAGAGTCCCTCAAAGCCCCCCTTAGCCATTCCCATATTTGGGCCCCGCATCGGTGCCGATGGTTCCGACTTCCTCGCCTCACATCAACAATAGACATCCCGCTGTGGCCAGCCGAGAGCTCCACCCAGCTTTCTCCCCCCAACTGTACTCTGTAGCCACGAGCTTGTTTCTGTTTTGCAAGCAATCCGCCTAAAATATTGATTGAATTCTATTTTTTGCTCGATTTATCTTGGTACAACCGGTTATTCACGCTTTAATAATTCTGTCACCACACTACTACAGCCGTTGCCTATTCTCGCGATGCCATACAAACATCCCTGAATCACTTCTGAATCAAACCCCCGAGAATGGTCCGGTCCCGGGGAATTACGGCCCGTGTTTTTGCACGAGCTCCAGTTGACGATCTTTTTGTAAAGAACTGGATAGTAATTATAGGATGTGCGCGGATTTTTAGAGTATTTTAAAGCCACAAAATTTGAAAATGTCCGCTTCTTCAAGCTTCTTCGTAGAAAAATGGCTTCCACGGTTGATCAATCTGGCAATAAAGATCCTGTTTCCCATTTAGACGGACTCCACAAAAAGCGGACTGTTTTAGCGGCCGGCCCGGGAGGGGGGAGCTGCCTGTCAGTTTTCCTCACTTCTTTATCCGGTGGTCCGGTAGTCGTAGCCCCCACTAGAAGCTCATAGCTCGGTCATGCTCTATCCGGATCGTGTTGTTTTAGTTTACTGTGGAATTAGGGCAGTTAGGTATATTTTTCCTTGAGTCTTAAGAGGAGTTTCAAATTTAGTCTACAATATGCGCCAATGCGCACCTGCGTCTCGCCCTTTCTGAGCCTCCCTTTGTAAACAGGCGTATATGCCGTAATACCTAAACTTACGCTCAAGGCACTTTACAACTCTTTAAAGTTACTCATCCCACAAAGAACACCAATTGTTTGTTCTACCCGCTTTCCAAAACGGGTAGGATTATAGATCTTTCCCTTTTGGTTATTTATATGCAAGCCCCACTGGCCTTTACTCGAAAACATTTTGCCAACTAGCAACGCCCAACTTGTTTTCCAGAAGATCGATCCAATACCATCGATCAACTAACATTTTCAACAAATCCTCTCAGCCGATTTTCCCGAAACTGTAATGGCCCTTTAATAAATCTCTCCCCGTTTGGCAGTTGGCGGTCGTCAATCAGCTGGCTAGCTGGGGGTCATACACACAGCTGCCCCACACAACAACCATTTGTTACTCCTCCATCATTTTCTTACGTTTTTCGGATCTAGATTGCTGTGCTGGAACCAGGGGTTCTTGCTTTGATAGTATTCGCTGGCTCGCGGAGGGAGGCCATGTCCGGTTTTGATTGGTGCTAACAGCTTGCGATTGAGTAGACATAAAACTCGAGGAACATTGGGCCGGGGAGGACCACCCAGCCGACGCGTAACGGAATTACCATATGTGCACCCTCGCCCGCATATGCATGAGTGCGCATATTGCATATGTATGGGGGGAAGGGAGAGAGAGAAGAGAGGGAGAATGAGGGAGAATGAGAGCGACCTGTGGGTCCCAGGGGTGCCGCTGGTGCGCGAAAGATCGACCTCATTTTCGAGGGTCGTGTATCGTTTTCATTTGAGGTCTCGTATTGTACTAAGAATAGTTTTTATCCTTTTTCAAGTTTTTCGCGTGCCTACCTGTAGGTTCAAAGCTAAAGCTACACGATTCCTAGTGCCACCAAAAACTCGGCCTTTTGGTAGATTTCAGGGTTGCTTTGCTCTTAAAAATGAGTTTAAACTGGCAGCCCAGGTAACTGGGTCTCTCTATGCCTGTTAATGCTTTATAAAACTGAAAAACCAATACGATTTCGGTTCAAGCACAAAAAGTGTCCTAAAATCGACTAGCTTTCAAAAAAATATTGCGCTAAAGATTTCCATCTGCCCTTTCTATAATTTTAATGAGACGAGTTTGTTACCCTATTTTTGCCGGCTCAAATGAACCCAATATTCTTCCACTAAACATCCGTAAGCTAACCCTTTTTAATTTTTTACTACCAATTAGAGATTTTATGCTTATAAATTTGTTAAAAGGACGATATTCTAATCCGGATGCTACCTACAAAATACAAAAATACAAGAAAAACATATTCTTTCGCAGGTAAATTTGTATGATTTTTGGTATCTAAATATGAAAACCTCTACCACCATACCGGTACACTTCCGGGGGCGTCGGAATTGTTGTTAGCTCGTAGCCGGGGGATATTGGTGCGGGTCGTGGTGCCCCCTCTAGGGGTCGGCTGGCAGAAGCCTGGCTGGAGAGTAGGGGAAGGGCGGAGAGCGCTTGCAACATCGATCCGACCACCCACCCCCCTAGGGGACCCAAGAATACGACGCAGCCAAGGTCAGCCTAACCCCCCCCCCCCCCCCTCAACCACACACACGCACACGCACCACCACACAACGAGGGTCATCTGATTCTGACGACGTTCAGGGCTGTGGTTTTTGTTAGTATATTCTGGCTCGGTTTTTGCGGTTTATCCTTGCCTAAATCTTCTTTGCAAAGCTTATTTTGAAAATTTTCCACCGGAAGTTATAGGCATGCATACTCGAAAAATTGAAATTATCCTTAATCTCTTGTGTAACGCTTCTCTTAGCCATTAACTAGCTGATTGTATACCCTCATCCAAGCTTTCAGCCATACTTACCTCATTTTTTTACTTGATTTTGCATCACTTCCCTTTATCACGAGTTTCCAACACTAAATGACGACATCAAAAAACGATCAAAACACCCTTAATTTCAATTTATCTATCCCTTGGGGCCCAGCCTTTCTTACAATAGTGCACGTGCTTAATCACAAATTAGATTTTGAATCCCGACGCGCAAAAAAATTCCTTCCGCATCCATCGCCACCTCTTTTTTTTTGACCATTCGCCCATCCAGCCTTTCCCATCAGCGGCTACCTGACCCTTTTCACTTGGTTGCCCTTTTCCCCCAATCGTCTTTAAGGACGACTTTTGCTCTCTGATATCATCGATGTGACCTTTTAGACGCATTGCTATACGGTATTAAACTTTTCTCTTTCCCCTATCCCAAGATATCCCTAGCTTTTCGTACAGTACGATTGCATATCTTCCATCATCCATGTGACTCGCTAAAAAAAACGCAAGTCCATTTCTCCATCCGGTCGTAGCACCCGGACGTTTCTCTCAAAATACCTCTTTCAAGTCGGGCCCGTCGAAAATTTCGACTCATCCCAAACTGTATAGCTCCCTCTTTTTGTTTTGTTGTCGATACGCCCTAGCTACCAGTATGCACAGATTTGACTTTATGACCGAATCACAGATACATTCCTCTCCCCTTCAACCCCAACCAGTTTTGCGCGAATCTCTCCCTTCTGTCGAATACACGCTTCACCCTCCGATTCTTCCCCCCAACACGTAAATCCCCGCCCTACAATTCATAATCCACAACTAATTGCTACAGGCGCCCATAAACCGCGGCAGCCTGTTTCCAAAACGTTCCAAACTATCCCCTATTTTTTTCCGATATAAGCCTATTTCCGACGATATTTCCAAGCTACCAAACTTTCCAAAAATTTTCTTCGGCTCGAAATATGAGCCGGGGCGCGTGGCCGTCTCCTCGGTAAATCACCGTATCCCCCCGGTCCCGGAATCCTAAAAAGTGAGACGACAAGTGCGCAAGTTCTGTCCTGATAATCGATTTTCTATCCTCAGCGCAGGTCCTCACCGTCATCGCCAGCCCGCACCTTTCCACCCTTTTTCTCTCGCCACAGAATCTCTCTCTTCCTGTCTCTCTCTAGTCCGGCAAAGTGAAAAGAGGGGGACTGTTTCCCCGGAAATGCAAACTTCCAGGGTCCCATTATTTTATTCCGTGATTTTATTCCTCTAATTTCCCTTTGGATCCATTCCGGTCATGCTCCTTTTGAATCTGCTCTTTCTCGGCCCAGGCCCAAAAATCGGGCTTGTAGATCGTGAATTCGGGATGGCGCAAGGGACACCTGGTGGTCAGTGCATCGTTCGAAAGGCCCATAAAATTCGGGCAATGAAAAAGAGGGGTAGTCTTAATTTTGGGAATGTCGCAATTGCTTGAATTTTTTTGAGTGACCAGCTGGAGTCTTTTTCGACAATTTTTCTCGGGAGCGGTGAAAAACTTACATTTAGCTGATAAATTAGAACGCATAGGCAATGTAAAGTATTCTTGAAAAAATGATTTGAATTCTTACAGGGTTTAATGAGAGATTTTACGTAAGCTTTGAGGCGTCGCGTTGAGCGTTGCTAATTTACATAGCATTTCACAATGCGTTTCATCCAGTTTTCGTCTTGTCTACCCTATTCTCGACTTTCTCAACCCATTGAAAAATAATAAAATCTTTTTGCTGATCGAAGACAAAACTGCTGAAATCTTATGCTAATCCTTGTCTTTGAAACTTCATGATCATTCCAAACCCCTGAAACATTTCTGAAAATACATTCTCGAATTCCCCAAAATTTAGTACCATTTTCGAGAGTCAAATCATTGGTCGCATTGCGTGTTCAGGGGCTGAAAGCGCTGCTCTCTCTGTCTCGCGCGGGGTTGAGGCTTTGGGGTGGGGCCGAGGGGAGCGAGGGTAGCGAGGGATTGAGGGTGAGAGAGATGGAGAGGGAGAGCGAGCGAGCGAGAGACAGGCAGACATGCAGAGTCTCGAGTGTCCCCTCCGGCTCCTCGAACCGGACTTGTCTTGTAGCACACCACCACACACATAGCCCTCCTCTGCAACCTCGCACTCCGACTGTCCCCCCCGGTCCGAACTAGGCCGTATTGTGGACCTTGACTTGAATCCATTCACTTTTTCACCATCGTGATTCCACCTCCCCCTGCGGGGCGTTTTAAAGGGACCATTAAAGGTAGATTGGAATCGGCAAATAGTGGTTGCAAAGTGTAGATGTGTACTTTATCTGAGGTCACTTGACTCTCGGGATTTGGATTGAGCTTGCTTGTTCCTTCAAATGCTAGTATTTTTCAAGCTTCTTATTATTGCGATGATTTTAGCGTCCAAAACATCATGTTTTATTCTCGATTTGATAATGATCTTTGCTAAAAATAAAGCTGGTCGATGGCTACAGCTATTTCCGAACACAGCCACCCCGGGCTGACCGCAGTCTCACTTTAGCCACTATCCTTCTTGACCTTAGGCTTAGGCTTTAGCTCAATCAAAGAATACCTAAAAACATTCCATTATCACAGCTGCGCTGGATTTGCTCCTTTCTAATCCTCATACATTCTGATATTTCAATTTCTCTGATTCTCCATTTTCGCGCATTACCCCCATCATCTTAAAGATGCCACGAAAGAAGAACCCCGACGGCACTCCAGCACCCACAAAACCCCGGGTGCGGAAGAAGAAGGAGCCGCAAGTGGTCGCTCAAACGGTGGTCGACCAGAAGCTCGATCCCGTCTATGATGCTCAGATGGGATTGGGCCAGCCGATGGGCATGCCACCAATGATGCCCATTGATGACCCAATGTATGGGGGACCACCACCGGATTATGGTTATTACGGTCAACCCCCAAGTCATTTCGGATCGCCCGATCCGTCATCCCCCTACGTTGGTATGCCGCAAAGTTCGACGCCGCAGCCGCATCCGCAGGCTGGAACGCCAAATCATATGATGTAAGGAAACAGAAATTATATGTAGAAAAGGTTTTTGCTAAAGCGCTGGCCGACCCTGAATGGGGCAGCCCTTTATTATACCATTTTCGCGGGCTGGGGGTGGGGGTCTCCGATCGCATTATGCGTGGGAGAATGGTTATTGCGTTTGGTGGGCCCGGCGGGGTTACAGTATTGGGGTGACATAGACAAAGTAGTAGGAAGTTCGAAAAATGCAATGGTTTATTAGCAAGAAAAAAGTTTACATTATTACAAAGGAATTTTTGCGTTTAAATTTGGATTATTTTTCTGATGCAAAAATTCAGGAAATTCGATTTTTTCGATTTTTACAAAAAAAACCTTTCAAAGATCTCTATCGGATCGACTTCCTCAAAAAAATACCGGTGCAAAAAATATAGGAAAATCATTTTGGGCTTCAGGAAAAAATACTTAACCTACCCTTAAGAATAGGTTGGAACTGTAATCCAGTTTTACATATTTTACATAGCGACCACACACACCCTCATACACACTTTTTGAAAGACCTCTTCCGGATCTACCCCCCTCGTATTCCTCACTGGACACATTTTCTTGGCTAGTGAAGCGTGGTGAAAAGGCGTGCAATTCGCCACGCTCCACCGCTTGAGGGGGAAGCAAGACGTCGGCCCATACGGGGGTCACCATAGCCCTACCACGAGGGGCAGGTGCAAAATACGATAAAATACACATTAACCAAGATATGGTACACATCAAACCTGTAATAACCTGTGAATTCGATTGTTTAGGATGCGAGGCATGCCGGGCCCTGCTCAACCCCCGATGCCACCCGTCCCCGCCGCCTCGGCCCTTGAATACCGGATACATGACATCAACCGGAGATTATATATTTTCAACAATAGCGGGGTAAGAGTGAGAGACCCTTCATTAGATTTTAATAATACTTTTAGATCAACGAAAAAGACCATCAGCAATGGTGGGACGCTTTTTCGCACGAATTCTTCGACGATGAGGCCAAGATTACGTTCCATTTGTTTGATGTGGAGACACAGAAGCAGGAGCGATTTAGTGAGTGTTTTTTGCTTAACAATTCTAAATTTTGCTTCTAGCTATCGGCCGAGCGTTGATTCCACGCTACTTCCGGTCAATTTTCGACAGTGGTGTCCGGGAATTGTATTACGTGTTGCGGTCACCGTCGATGGAGCGCATGACCCCGATGGGTCCGATGTTGGAGTGTGACAACTTATTGGTGGTTAACAAGCAGGAGATGCCCCAGAGTGAGGTGAGCATTTTAAGATACCAGGTACCACCCAAATCCAGTAACCGAGAGCTAAAGTGAACGCCACTTACCATAATATCACTGTAAACAAAAATAAAATTCATCGATTGTAACTCCAAACCTCCAACCACCCTCCATAGCCCCATCCTTCCGCTTTTCTCCCACGGCTCGACCTTCCCCAGGGAATTTGGGCTGGCTCCTTTAATTGGCAAAATTAAGCTCGTTCGAGAGGGAAGGCCCGGGAGGGCACGACGCCCCCGAGGCCATCCACCATTTCTTATTGCCCGTTGGACAACACGCCGATGTTGGGGCGGAAAGGGTTACGGAGGAAAAGTCTCGAAGGGATGGGCTCGAAAAACCTAGAGATACCCTCCTTAATACCTAATCCCTTACGATTACCAAAGAACCAACTCGATCATTACCATCCTCCCTCTAATCCATCCACCATATTAAGCCCCGGTGTCTAATGAAAACCTTCCGGCGGCTCGCTTGATGATATCTTCAACCCCCGGGGGCTAAAGGGCGCCCCCAACCATAAGCCCCCATCTTGGTTAGCTAAGCCCCTTCCACCTCTCTCCTTGGTCTCCGGGCCTTGCGTCCCCTCCTTGTAATTACCGCATTTGCATACGGCCCAGCCCCCAAAAAGGGCCATTCGCGCGAAATGAGCCATAGCCCTAGGTTATCCCACCACTACCACCCGCACCACAGGAGGACCAGAAGGCTCCCTCTCCCCGTGTTTCGTCTTGACGAATTGGGGTGTGGGGAATATGGACAGCCCCTCCAGGGCCTTCAGCTTCAGGGTGATAGATGAAGAATCTCCATCCACACTTGTCTATCCAAACATACATACATGCAAACAGGCCCTCGCCCTCGGGCTCCTTGGGATCCGTGAAGAATGCAAATTGACAGTGTCCCGAAATTTGGGGGTTGAAGACGGGAATTGCCCCATTGGCATAGATATTGAAATCGCCCCTGAAATCTGGTGACAACCACCCCGACCAGGAAAACACTCTAAATTCAAATGATATGCAAATCGAAACAATGGAAATTTAGTCTCTATTGAATCCGATTAAAAAGCCCAAGTTCAGGTGCACACCGACTGCAAGTTCACGATCGAATTCACGCATTTCGATGAGATCTACAACCATCGGATACGGCATTGGGTCGTCGAGATGCGGCATACGCAAGAATTTTTGATGAACGAGATGACCCAGGTAAGATTGGCTTCAGCTTTTTCAAATCCAAATTTGTTTAAGAAATTCGAGCCCTGCTCATCCGATTCGGAGAAGCCGAAATCTCCGATCGCACGATCTGGGTTGCCGGCGTTGACGTTGAACTACCTCAAACTTTGTCATATCCTTGAGCCAATGCAGTTGCTTATGAGCTACAGTAAAGGCAATATGGTAGGGAAGACTATTGTGTATCAAACTGAAAATTTAAGCAATGTGGCCCTCGGGAAATGTTGAGAAGTGTGACGTTCCAACAACATCAAAAGATGAATGAGATGAACCGGATGGCAATGCACGCGCAAATGAGTACGTTTTTGCACATATTTAACTTTTTTTGAAATTTTTTTTAATGAAGTATAGAGAAATTACCATAATTTCCAATCAATCAACTTTTTGTCCAGATGCTCAGCCCGGGATGATGGCGCCGCCGATCGAGGAAAAACCAAAACCGGCCCGCAAGCGTCAAAGGAAGCCGCCGGCAAATCCGAAGAATAAGAAGGTAATTAATTCCCCGGACGGGCCCCATGGAATATGCAAATTGCCAGGCGGCGAACGCGAGCCCCGTCACGCCGAACGCCGCCTTCCCGCCGAATGCGATGCCCGGAGGAAATGTAAGAGGGATTGAGATGCTTAGAAATGCTTGTTGTTTGTTATAGTTTGCTCCAATGGGATTCCACGACGTGATGGTTGTTGGCGAGCCATCAATGATGGGTGGAGAATATGGTGAAGAGGATGAGAGGACGATTAGTCGGGTTGAGAATACCCAATATGACCCTCAAGCCCTTGCTCTTCAGCAACAGGTTTGTATTTCAAAGGTTTGCGGGTTAAGCATATTAAAGTGTAAAATAACTTTATTAGACTAACAAACTAGCGTTTAAAATTTAAATTATTTCCGGTTCTTCAGATGAAAGCCAAAATCCTCGCGGCTAACAGCGACACTATCAGTTATCCCTATTGAAATATCCCCCAGTCGACGACTTCGACTATAATTATCTGTATATTTGTTCATTTATATCCATCGCACCTTCATATATATTATATCTTTCGGTAGCGATAACATATATAATTGATTCAAATTCGATACATTTTTACAGAAGTTAACTCTAAGCTTATAGTTTCAGTCGCTTGCCGCTCAGGGTGGGCCCCCTCCAATGTCAATGGCCGGGCCAATGATGGGCGGTGGGATGGTACATTTGGGCCCTCCTGGTATGCCACCAATGGGAATGCCAAATGGTCACTCAAATCAGCCTCCTCAGGGTAAGTTTTGATGCCAATTCCGTATTGTTTATTAATAATCACTAGAATTTCGTGAAGGAACATATCAAATCATGCCATTTCTCGTTTCAAGCTTGGTTAGTAGTTTTGTTTTCCAGGTATAATGGTGAAAATGTTAATCCAATAGATTAGAATCCAAGTTCATCCTGCCTAACAGACGCTTGGATGCAAATTGCGCTTTACTCTTTGTTAGGGAATATGCTAGCATATGAAACTAGATATAAAATTTAAATCGAATAGTAATATACCGGACAGTATGATCTCACCTCTGCCAAATACCTTTACAGAAAAGCAACGCGCGAATAATGGGAATTAAAACTCAAACTGCTAACATTATCAAAAAAAAAACTGAAAGTCGTTCGTAGGAGTGAAACGTAATGTTTTCGCATATTCACACTGCTATTTAAAAACTTTACGTCTAAGAAAAACATTACCATTACGATAACCTGGATATAACTTTAAAAATGTGAAAGTGATGGTCTGGGACATTTGATAGCCAGAAATCCAATATCCACCCCTGATCTTTCCAGATATGAGTTATGATTATGGGCAACAACAATGGAGACCTCCCTCAAATACAGCCATGATTACCGGATAAACAATATTTGCCTGCAGAAATGAGAATATAACAAGTAAGCATAATTTTGGTAAATTTCTATGAAATCCAGAATTCAGGCGGCCTAGTCACTTCCACATAACCTTCGATGTGCAATCCAGTTGCCCAATAAGTGCATTTCATCCTCCCCCATCTACCCCCAAAAATCTGTTGAACATTTTCTGAGATATTTCCCCTCTACCGCCCTGTTAAAGTGTCATTATATAAATCGCTAGACACATAGCTTCCATACCACTTTTGAACAGATTCTTTCCTCAATATTTTGCATTTCAGCCCCCATTTTTTATTTCCTCCCTCCCCCCAGATGGACACCTCCCAAACAAAACATGTTATCCATTCGTTTTTTACGTTGTCCTGTGATTTGCCGTTTCCCAAAGTTTCAGTTCGTCCATAAGCGTCCCCGGAAATATTTTTACTCCATTTGCCCTTTGATCCATCCTACCCCATTGATATTCACTTCTCAATGAAAGAGCATCGAAATGTTTATATCCTTATTATTTTTATTATTTTTCCACAAAACAACAAAAAGCTTTTGTGTTGTGAGAACGGCCGGTGGTTGATGGGTTGCCAGGAAAACGAAATCAAAATCCCCCCTGCGCCCATCGACTTGAGATATCGATTTTTGATAATAATTTCATCTCAAAAATGTGGATCTTTTCGAACATACAAAATTTCGTTATCAAAAATCTTCTAGGAGGAGCCGTTGGCTGGCGATCTCAGCATTTGCCTTCTAACCAACCCCCCTCTATTTGCGAGAACTTTGCGCATCCCGTCCCTCATTTTTCTTGGATTTTTATTATTCTTTATGATTATTATTATTTTGCTTTTTACTCTTTGAAGTGCCCGCCCGGAGTTGAACACACTGATTAGTGGTTTTCTTGCAAATCCATCTATGTCACCCATCAACCGTGCAAAAATCGCCCCCGCTCCGTACCCCAAGAAATTCCCCTACCCCCCTTTGCCCCTCGAATATATGTCCCACAATTTTTACATAGCTTTTAATTCGATGCATAATAAAGACTATTTTTAATTGAAAACTGTTAACTAATTCATTTAAAAATACATGGCAGGAGTAAATAAAAAACAACTATTTAAAAAAGGCGTGACAAATCGGGTTTTTAACATTTTGGGACTTTTCGTTAGTCAAATTAATATTGAAAGCCGAACAACATTTATGCATGCTTCTTTTATTTCGATGGACAATGACGACGATTTTTAGTTGCTAACTGCTAATTGGTTCGTTTGAAAGTTTTCTCGGCAGGAACAAGGAAAGAATGCTTAAAATTGACGCTCAAACAACTAAAAAAAAATTAAATGCTTTCCTTACATCTGCTTTACCTACCAATTATGCAAATTAGTGTTAGAAATAGGCCTACACCCTCTTCGAATTTTTTGTCGACTGGATAATGGTTTTTCTTCATTTTTCAAGTTGTGGCAATTTTAACGAGTTCCATATACCCTTTTTGTTCCTATGAACTGCCCGTTTTACACTTCACACGTCTCCCATCCACAGTTCAGCAGCCTCTCCATCAGCTTACAGTTCCTAATCCAAAAGCCCGAAAGTAGCCTCGCCCTGCATTTGGCGCAGCGAAGGGAGGAAGCGACCGGGTCGCACTGCTGGAATGTTTGCTTTTCGGACCACCCGCTTCTCTCTCTTACCCTCTCTCACTGTCCCTCCATCTCTCGCCCTCACTCTCCCACTCTGCGGAGCTCCACCCGGCTGGCGCGACGCACCCCCCACAGCGCTGCGCCCAGCTGGCAATTTGCCAGTACCCCCCATTTTTCATAGACATTCCCATGCATCACCATTCGGGGAGATAATTGCTTTCGTTGACTGAGTTTTTTTGGGTGTATTTTGGTGTTATTTGTCGTTTTTATGCATTTCGCTTCCGATGGCCGGCAGGTATGCGCTTTACAGGGTTTACCAAAAAGTTTTTTCGTGACCTTGTGCTTGCGAAATCGGGCATTTTGGCTTGTTATCTTTAAACTTACCTTTATTCGTAATTATTTTTAGTTACGATAATGGAAACTTAACTTTATTTCCAGTAATTTGGTTTTCACCCACAGACTTTAAAAAATAACAAAGGCCTATCAATAATATTGTGAACATATGAAAACTTACCTGTTTTTTTTTGTTCAAATTTCACGCTTCGCAAAGGTTATTTCAGGTCCATGGAACGTAAATTACTGTTTCACGGCACCAATTATTAACGCTAGACTCCAAAAAACACCCATTTTCCTGTCTCGACAGCCAAAGCTTTGCATATAATTCGTTTCCGTAGTTTTACCTCTGCAGTGAATGCCATGTGAATTCTCACAAATCACCATCATTCACTCAAAAATCAGCATGACATCATACATTAGCTTCACCCCATACCCCCAGCATTATAGGGCCATTCACACACCCTCTCCTCCCATTTTGGTCTGTTAGGGCCCAGAGTGCGGCCGGGGGGATCCATTTCGACACGAGAAGAGCAGCGTGGGGTTTTGGTGGTGGCTTTTGGATGGAATGTGGAAGGGATGGGTGATGTTAGAAAAAGGGAACCCGAACGGGTAGAAGGCTGTTTACAAGGCGGGCCGACGACTCTGGAGCCAGTGCGCGAATCTAAGGCCTTTTCTGGCTCCCCCACATCCCTCTCGACTGGCGCGACACATCCCTTTCAAAAACATCCGCCAAATTACTTTTTTTTGCTGTGTCGTACTGCTCGGGCTGGACGTCAGTGGGCTTTAGTGAATTTTTGGGTTCAAAGTAGTACCTATGCTGCTAAATATAAAATAGCTTATGTCTCCGTGCATTTACATGCAATTTCCATCAGCTTGTTCTTGTAGTATATAGGGGAAGGATTTTACGCAATGTTCGATACGTCATTAGGTGCCAAAGGGCTGGAGATGCCTGAGTTGCCAACGCCCACCGATCAAACCTTGAAAAATCGCTATTTTTATATTTTTATTATTCTGAATGTTTTTCTATATTTAATGAAAGATTTTAGATCTAAAAAATGCTGAGAAAAATTAGCCTCCACCGGAAGGGATAGTAACTGACAGAAAGGTGTAGAACGTATGATTCTCATTTTTTGCACGCCTTTTCAACACTAAAACAACGCTTGTTTTCTTGATCAGTGATGATGTTCATGATGCTCTTGTTGGTGAACATCGCTCCCCTGTGACTCAACGGCCAGTTCAGTTAAGCCGGCCACCCAAAAAGGTTTGCATCATAGACAGCGCACTTTTTTGGGATGTCACCCGATTTTAATCCCTGACCCTTCGCTGTCAAAAATTTTGCATTTGCATTTCGCCTCCGTTGCCTCACAGTTTCATCGTTTTGCAAGACCGTCATGGTTTTTGTGTCGCGTTTAGAATTTGTTGAATTTAGTTAAGGGCAGTGCGAGATCTCTAGCCGAGCAAATATCCACTATTTTTAACAAGTCAAATCCAGAAAATTTTCCATAATATCGTATTATTTTGATTGGTACTGACGGTCTCCGCGGGGCGAGAGGGTTTTGTTTCTTTCCTGTGCGAGATGCCAGGGCGATGAGGGCGGCAAATAGAAGCGTGAATCACCGTAGCTTCGGCAGACCCGGCGCCGTATCGATTCCCTAATCGGCTGCGATCTCATCTCGCTTTATCACAATATTAGTCTCTCTCGTTAGAATATTTCCATTAATATATCCTAAGTTTTTAGTTGCGATATATCATCCAGAAGCCCCTTTTGTTCTTCGACTTCATGATTTTCAATCCCATTTTTACCGGGTTTATCATATTATTTCAACATCCCAAATAAATACACAATATTTATTATCGTTTCCAAGTGCAATTTAGGTCTTCTCTCATTCTGGTAGTTGCCCTTTTGATGTTGGGGAGGAAGCCCAGAGCAGCCCCCATCGGTCGTTGAGACGATGTTTTGCCGCGGCCTTTTCTTTCTGGGTTATCCATTCACATATCGGCCAGGCCGTCTCAAGACAATCCCCCTTCCAATACACACCCTTTCCATCCTAAATATTGATTCTCCGATCGGCCGCTCGATTTTATGGGCTTACAGGGGAAAGCGGAAATTAATTCGGGATGATCGGCTGGGAGCGGAAGGGTTTCAAATTTTTTTGGCTTACGATCATTTTGAGTATTTTCCTTGCGTTTGTAAATATGAGTAACTGCCCCAAAAAAATTCACAGAGTGTTCTACTCCAAAAAATCTCAAGACAATGTTGCTTCGTATTTGTTTAAAGCGGTTAGCTTGCATTCAGATTTTCTAAGTTTTTTGTTTCAAGCCAGCTAGCTGGAACTCGTATTTTCATGTTGTAGCTTTTTTTATGCTAGATTCTCTAGTTCCAAAATTCATTCAAACTCAAAGTTTCTTAATTTGATTCCACGACAATACTCTAATTTTGACAAGGCCACCAAACCCTTTTTTACGCTATTTGTCGCCCGTTTCTCACCTGATCGCAAGACCCTGAAAACGAAAGTTATATGAAACAGCCCACCAACACCCCGCGAAAATTGCGAGAGTTCAAAAGAAAACGAGTAGACGGACTATTTGAGGGTGTGCCCCAACAGTGTTGAGGGCGAAACAAGATGATGCATGATCGATTGATCGACAGCCCGTGTGTTCTTCTTTTCTCCCCTTTTTCTCCCGAGTCGAAAGCTCTTTCCCCCCCCTCGCCGTCAGCTCTCCCCCCTTTTCTGCCCCGTTTTGCGACTCGCAGCTGAGCCCGTCCATTGGCCCGTAGGGGGGCCCACTACTCAAATTGGCCACATTTAGACAGCCATCCCATCCCGATCCTCTTGAGGGCTCGCAGGCTCGAGCTTTCCGGCCAAGCCAACTAATTCATCCCCCATATCCATTTCCGGGAGGGGGAGAACGAGCGGTAAATTTTTCACTGCTCCAGCGAGGGCGTTCGGCAATTTGCTCGAGCTCCGCATCGCAACAATTTGCCGGGGAGTGGCTAGGGTTTCATCTGGAAAAAAAATGGTATTTGCACATCAAGGAAACGTTATTGCGATTAAACTTTACGCAACAAGGCCAGTTTCAAGCCTTTAATAACAAACATGGTGTGGAGAGCTAGTTTTTGTTCTTTTCAGTATTTTTGTGAAGAATTGTAAAGGTAATCGATAGAGCGTTAAAAATATATTAAGTTTTTTAGTTAAGCTTGAAGTGCTGTCATATAAAATTAGTATAGCAACAACAGAATTAAATAATTCCATATCTGACCTACCTTCCGAATTCCACGTTCTATCTATTCTTGTTTTCCATTTTCCGATGTCATCTTTCGGATTTAATTTATTTTTTAGAATGCGTGAACATCACGTCGATGTCTCAAGGGTGGTCAACCAGCTAGACCGTTTCCGGTTCAGTGATGATCAAGGACCGGGCAGACCGGAACCATATACAGGCGCGAATTACGGGTACTACGATCCGCACAGCAATTCCGGTTACGAGCTGGACACGGTATCTAGCATCCCCGATTTTGTATTGTAATTTAGCCCCCACCCCCTGTCTACCCACGGCGGGAAAGTCGTCAGGATTACTATGACAACTGCCGAGACGGGCCTGGCAGTTCACAAACTAATGGATACTATGGTAAATTGATTAAAGATGTTGAATATTTTTGATGATTTCTAGGTGATGACTACTCTCGGAGCTACGAGGTGAGGGATGAATATCCGGTTAGATTGGTGCATGCAACTGGTGTTGTCGCAGAGACTGTTCTCGGCCCTGTTCACTCACAACCAGCTACGGTCTGGGCTTCACAGACCGCGCCGGCCACCGCTAACACTACGGTAGATGAAAATGCGAGGAGAGCGATATCTGCCATACCACCTTCTACCCAGAATGAGACGACGTTAGGGGTTGAAAAACGGCCGATTCCGATGCCGAGGCTGATACAGGCGGCTCAGCCTCCGCAACCCGTTTCTGCTCCTCGTCAAAATACGCCAAGAGCCCCTCCGGAAACTACCATACACCATGCCAGGAATCGGAGTTCTCAGCCATCACTCTTCAAATGGCTTCAAACATCTACTCGTAGACGTCGTCGTGTAACCACTGCCATCACACCTCAATCTGTGTCTACTAACACCCAGCAATCTAGTGTGAGCTTCTTATTCTTTTGGTTTCGCTAACGCATGGGTGTCGTACTTTTTCATCGTTTTTTGGTCAACTACTTGCACTCTTTTTAGTTTGCAATTTTTCGTTTAAGCATTTCTATCACTCAAACGCCCTTCAATTTCGAAATCAACAAAACTAACCAAACGGCCTTTTTCTGTCTCTGCCTGATCGGATTAGCATGCATTGGTTCACGAAAATTCGACCATCCAACAAGCAGACAGCCTCTATGTATTGGAAAGTGACTAACACTATTCAAAATGGGGCTCTCCTGCCTTGTTATTACCTTTTATGGGCGGCTGATCGAATTCCATTTCTTATTTCCTCACCTTTCAGCAAAAATACCCGCAACCCCTCCCCACCAGCCATTCCGCATACGAACGGAGTGAATTTGAAGAGGTTGTTTTATATAGGTCTTTGGAAAATAGGGTTTTGAAGATTATTCCACAAAGTATTCGACGGAAAGAGGAAGCAGCTGGTAGTTGGCATCAAGAAGAAGGTAGTTTAGGGTTATAAGAGGATAGAAGGTCCATTTTTAGTCTATCGTCGCGAAGCACAGCATTCAGCAAGGAGAGCAGAAGCTTATCCACAGTCGCAAACGTTTCCTAGAAACCCGCAACGATCAGAGTTGGCCCAGAATTTTGTTCTAATCTTTTTTTTAGTTCACAGCCGCCATTTGGAGGGAAGGATCGCGGGACGTCATTTAGGAAGAGGATGACAAAATTTGCTAAAAGTATGCTAATTTATGGATTAACATCAATTTATAAATTTTAGATATCTTCGGTGGGAATTCAAAAGATTCAAGAAAATATGTAAATCCGAATCAACAATTCGACAGTTATGATTATGGCCCGCAACAAGTAAGCTTCATTTAAAATTCAAAGGAACCTTGGTAAACTTATATATGAATCATTGTATACTATTTTTATGGATCCGCTAGTATTTGCTATCATATTTTCCTCAACCCTCCCCTCCTATGTTTTGTATCGTCTATACCCCCCGAGGGGTGGATGTTGTGGAAAAATTGACCCCGGCTATTTTTGCAATCCATTCGTCATTTCACCTCCCAGCGTAGTAGCTATGAATTCGTTTCTCTTTCTATGTAATTTCTATTTTGGCAAACATTTTGGATTCCTATTTAAGCGTCGAAACCTAGAGGTAAGTCTTTTTGCATAAGTTTACCCTATTTCCATTCTTAAATTATAAGATTAGCCGGATTAGTCGAGGGATTAATGTTAGGGCAAAAAGCCCGCATGGGTCAACTTTTTTTCGTCGATAAAAGGCGGAGGAAGCCCTCGATATTTTGCGGAAAGTCGTCAGACGCCCCCACCATTTTTGACCGGTGTGGCTAGTTGGGTTTAGTAGTTGGGGTTGAAAAGAGTTTCTGTTTGCTTTAGATTGTTGCTGTTAGCATTCGCGTCTCTGAAATGCGTGGCTGGTGGTGAAGCGGTCAGGGTTAGACCGTTTTATAAGTAGTCAGGGTGGGGTGAATCTTTGCTTGGACATTCTTGGCCTATTTCAGAATTCCTTAGGGAGTATGTTGGGGCTGGTTGGCTTTTTGGCGGGGGTCTGAGAATTTGCGCCCCTTTTTGGTTTTTCACATTTCTTGGGATGTTCGTACTGGATTGCTTTTGATACGTTTTTTGGCTCCAAATATTGAAAGATAGAATAGATACGATTTAAAACCTGCCTTTTTCCTTACTTGATGCCAAAAACGTCAAAAACCCTACATCAATTTGCCGAATCACCGATTTGAATGACAGCTCTGAAGACGTGGCCACTGTCACCGATAAACCCCCTAATAAAAGAATTCTTTCATGAAATCCCTTGCTTTCCAGCCATATTATCCAGCTTATTGCTCCACAAACGCCTCCAACCAGCCAGCTTTCCTGGGATCCGCTTGTTTATAACCGAGCCCGAGAAATTGTACGCCATATTTCTGAGTCACAGCTTATTTCTGGAAGCTTTATTTTGCATTTTTAAAACAACTACGAATTCTGGGCTTCTTTTAGTATACTCTTTTTTCTGCGCTCTAGGTTTGCAGTCCCGCAACGGATTAGCCTCTAACTCGCTTAATCCGCCGAATCAATGGCGCGTTTTTTTTGCTTTGCGCCTTCGTAATGATTGACTGCAACGGTGGGTGGGAGAAATAGAGAGAGAGAGAGAGAGAGAGAGAGAGAGAGAGAGCAAGAAGATTAGGGATGATAGGCATGGCATTCGTGTCCTCAGCTCGTTAGCGGGGTGCCCGTGTGTGTCTTTTTATATTTTTGATATCTCTCGACCGGCGGCTTCCCAACGGGACCGGCTTTTTCTTATGCTTCCCAACGGCCCCGCAGGCAGAAGGCCGGTTCAACAATGAGACCCCCTTTCCCGCTTCTTCGTTCAGCGCGGAGGTGGCGTTTGGCGCCCAGCGCAACCCAGCAGCCCCATGGGAATTAGAAAAACAACACTGCGCTGAGCTGTCGAACAGTACCTCCCCGCCACCCATGATTTTCTGGCTTTACATTCCATGGGGTGAATCACCAGGCTTTTTCGATCGGTGGCCCAGCCTGCGATAAGCCGGCCGCTGCGGTCAAAATGAGCTAGATAGCACGAATTTGGGGGATTACGAGCGTGGATTTTACTAAATTTGTCAGCACCCCAGCTGCTGGCGCGATTTTTTTTGCTTGTCTTGAGTTAATGAACTATTTTAAGATCTGAATCTTCATAATTTACAAGTTATTTACGCTATTTCACTAAAAATGGCTCTTTGGGCTGCTATTCGTATCAAAATCCCATTTAGTCAAAACCACCGTGCCTGACAAATCCCACAAATCATGTTTACCATCGCACAATTGGAGCGGGCCGCATTTTTTCATTATTTATGGCTTTTGCCCTCAGCCATACCTTGGCCCGGATGGTGGGCGGATTTGGAATTTTCGCGAATATGATGACAGTTACTTTACGGGGGGATGGAAGGCTCTGGAATAAGGTAGACCTCAAAAGGGGGGCAAAAATAGGTCTCGTTATATCGGTTGTTCATTTTACGCCGGGCTAATGGGGCTCGGATTTATGTTCTGAACGCTGGTGCTTGGTCCACGTTGCATTGGCAGGATTCAGAGTCTTACTTGATTAGTTAGAATGGTCCTATTTGTTTTTATTGGAAATTATGTATTAATGTACCTTTTTTGTTTTTCCAGAAGGCCAGTCATCTTTTTGTTGGAAGTTCCCGCGCTCATTTACCAATGGCAACTTCGATCGGTCCCCAGGCCCCAGCCATTTTCCCCCGACCCAGATTATCCGCCCAAATGGCCCTCCCTCTTTTCATTACTTTTTGGCTATGTGCCCAATAGAGTATTGGGCATCGCCCACCCACGGGAAAGTGGCTAAGGTGCCCGTTGCCGGCCATTATTTTCTGGCCTCGCATTTGGGCCCCCCTGGCTAACGCGTGCCCCCCTGGCTGGCCTTATGTGGGCCCTCTGGCTGGGGCATATAGGTGGTTGCCTAGCTGCTCGAGGCCGCCTTTCGAAGGCCCTTTATCCCAATCCCTATTCCATGCTCCTTCCATCTCCTTCTTATGCCTCAGCCCAGCCTCCACCCAGCCCCGGGGTGTTCGCCCTTTCACAACAAAACCCCCTGCCATCTTTTTTTTTCTTTTTTTGTGTGTCTCCCGCCGGTTTGGAGCGCCAACCTCCGGCCTCATACCCTCAGGGGGGCACCACCCTCAACTTATCCCCTTCCTTCCGCTTCAGGCGTTCGCCTGCGCCGTGCCTTTTTTGGGGGAGTTACGAAAGATACGGCTGGATCCTGTTCACGATATCCTGTATCGCTTGAGTCAATTCTCCCATGGATCCCACGATGGTTAGCCTTCTACCTCTCGTTGATACATAATTCTTAGAGGGTTTTTTGTGAGAGTAAACAAATGCTTTTGAACGGGTATGTGTCAATTTTCTCAGGGGTGATTAAGGGAATGGGAATATAGGTCTCACATGGCTTTTGTTGACATCCGGTGCGAATTTAATTATGCTGAGATGCTTGGAAGGTGTAAAATTGGGAATGTAGTCTCCCGGAAGGTTTTTGATGTTTATTAATGTAATTTTAATAGAAAATCCAAAATTTTTTCTGTTGATAAACTTTACAACGAGAAGGGTAAAAGGCCAGGAAGTACGCAAGAGTGTCCATAATTTGGGCTGGATTCAAAAATATTAGTTTCAGGTTCAAGTCACCTCCTGTATATTTTGGCGGATAAATACGTTTTTGTTTTGATAAAATGTTGCCTATTTACTGACTGTATTTGAACAATAAAGTCACGTTCGTAAAAATCTATGGTCCTATCCTAAGATGCCAAATGACAATCTAGTCCCGCGTAATCAATACACACCTCCCCGATTTCCAGAAGCACCAGCGCTCCGGAATCTCGACGTCTCGAATTTCATTGGCCGACCCGTCGAAAGAACACGGGCATCGCCATCATCACACTGATCCGCTCAATCGCAAGGTTTGAATTGTAGTTTATATTTACCCTGTAAATTTTATTTCCGTTTTTTGTCCTTCATTTTATCCGAAAAAGTTCATTTCCTCATTCAAACGAACGCCGAGACTATACGATTTATCGGACGGCATTTTGTAGGGGCGAATTCGCAATTAAGGAAGGAAATCCCCGGGGGTAGTGGGCTAATAAGTAGTCAGGCGGACTCGCGGGTTACTCCCGGCATCGGCTTAATTCCGCCACCATCGGATTTATGGCTTTCCATAGTGCACTTGGATACATTTACTCATATGGATTGGGCACCTCTTGAAAAGGTTAATTTGTCTCTTGTTTTGACCGAAAATTAATTCTAGCATTAAATTCATAGGCGTAAACAAGTTATAACCTGGAAATTTCTGCCTCTCCGACACCGCTAGATTTTTTTTAATCCAAAATTATTTTCTTATTAGCTTCAACGTCGAGCCAAGAATGTTTCTAGGGGAAAGAAATTGGCGCCCTTAGCATACTAGTCAACGTCCCAGATACCTTTTAATGAAGCCGATTTAGCAGTCGCACCCGAACCTACAACAAGCCTCTTCGCTGGAGCGTCCAAAGGAAGCCCTCCGCCCCTCGCAATCTCAGGCTCCCCTCTCAACTCCGAAGGTCCAGCGTGCCCCCAGTTCGTACGAGGTCTACCAACAACGGAGCACCGAACCATACCACGCGGGCAACTCGACTTTCTATCCGGACGAGACCCAATATGTAAGTATAATTCGGACCTATTATTTTCTATATAAGGTATAATAAGCAGGGTTTAGAAGTTTAAAAATTCAATACAAAGATTAAATTCTTAAAACTCTGATAAGTTGATCGTTATGTCGAAACCATTAAGCATTTAATAAAGTATTATACTGGACTTTAAATTCCGTCCCCTCACGCGATATAATTCGAACAACCTGAGAGATGCAAATTATCATAGCGTATATGACAGGATGATAGTGAAGTGAAATGCAGCTTTTTCAGAACGGGGTAACCCCAATGCCACAACAAAACATCGCCCCACTCCAGAATGGTCTGGTCAACCTCGGCAATACCTGCTACATGAATGCCGTCGTACAAGCATTATCCGCTTCGGACACCATGACCACATTCTTTTTCAATTCTGGCCATACCAAAGTGCTACAGGTATAAGTACTTCCTTAAAGATCATACTTACCCTCCCCCAGGACCGAACGCGGCAACAAGAAATCAACTCCCAAGTCCATGGCAGCAATGGCGCCGTCACCAAGGCGTTCGGAACACTACTCCAGAAGATGTACGGCAACAGGTGCACCGAGCAGGACGTCAGGGACTTCCGGGCCGTCGTTGGGGAATACTCGCCTGATTATCGGACTTATAATCAACAGGTATACCGGGAATATTTTATGTATAAGAATTTAGGACGCCCAAGAATTCCTCAGCTGGTTGTTGGACAAGATTCACGAAGATTTGAATTTGGCGAAGAGGGATAATAATTGTAACTATGGATCGGTAGGGTTGTGTCACCAAATTTGAACTCCGATTTTCAGAGAAATGGCAATCATTCTCCTGATGAGGCACTGGCCGAAAGAAGAACTGCCCATTTCTCGGTCATTACAAACCTATTTGAGGGACAATTTGGGTATGTAAATTATGCAAATTCCATATATCGGATTTAGCTCCTCGATCACCTGCAACTCCTGCTTCTTCCAAAAATCCATTTTTGAGCCATATATGTACGTATCGCTGCCAATCCCTCATGAGTAAGTTATGAAAACTAGGTAACTAATAGGTGATTATAGCTCAAGCCAAAAGCGACCCCTCTACGTTACGGTAGTGCGGCCTGGTTGTTCAACAATCACCAGATACGGTATTCGCGTCGAGGCAAAGGGGACAATTTCGGATGTACGAGCTTGTCTTTGTGAAGAGACGAAAATACCAAACAACCAGGTTTGTGAAAAATCACCATCATTTAATATGATCTCTTCTTCAGATGCTATTACTCCAACTCACCACTGGTGGTTTTAGAAATGGTTCCGCAGAAGCTGCTCAGGTAACTATAACCACCAAAACCTCCACATAAGAAATTTTAGATAGCAAACGTAGCTGGGAAAGAAGCGTACGCGGTCGAACTACAACCAACCGTCGACCACTACAGCGAACAATACATCAACATCGTCTTTGTCCTCGCTGTCCGTAACGGAGCGGTCGTTTTGAGGTATTGTTGCGTCAACGATCTTTATAATTGTCTCCAGGGAAACTGAGCCATTCGTGATCCGCATCTCACGCCAATGTACCTACGAAACTCTGGCAAAGAAGCTGTTTGATGCCGCCAAGCCCTGCTTGACTCCAAAGATCCATGATGCCGTACCATTTGGGCAATTCAAGCTGGCACTGGCGAATGACTACAACCACAATACATATATCGACTCGACAGTGGCGATGCCGTTGATAACACCTGTAAGCATACCTCTGCAAAAATAATTATTTTCCCAGGGAGTCGAACAAAGCATCGATCACAATGAGAAAAGCCACTATAATCTGCCAAAATTCATCAAACTGGTCATCGAGTTTCCAAATCATAATCGGTATGGGCTTCATCATAGGGGAAAAATAAACTTACGTTTAGTGCGTTGATCCGACAGGCGCCAAGAGTCATGAACCATCGCAGTGCCGACTTCCTCGCTAGCGATAATGCATCTTATGATTTGACGTTAGAGTCCTGTCTGAAGGTATGGTAATAGAATCTCCGCTAAAGCGTAAGTTGTAGAGTTACACCACTGAGGAGAGTTGCGAGTGGCGTTGCGAGCGGTGCAATGGCTCGAAGCCGAATGGCGCGAAAAAGCGGTTGCTTTTCAATTCTTGCCCTCAGATTTTGATTCTTCATCTGAAGCGTTTCCGGCACGTACAGAATGAGGTAATGAGATCCTGCTGATATGGCTTATAATGCTGTGTAGGTCGGAGAACCGATGAAGATCGACGTCTCGGTGAAGTTCCCGGCAGAAGGTCTCGATTTGAAGCCATATGTGAACACCTCGCAGTCACTCAACCATCGACGTGACAGCATCGGGAATAACAAGATCAACAAGTATGTTCCCGAAAGAGATACCTTATCTCTGCTATTTCAGAGAGATGCAAGCCACCGTTTCTACCGCAGCTGGTGATGACAATCTGTACGATCTCTTCGCCGTCGTCAACCATCGTGGAGATAGGGTCTCGAGTGGCCACTACACAGCCACGGTTCGGAACCCGCAAGATGGCGTGTGGCGTACCTTTGATGATACGACCGTCACCATCAACACCGACCCATTGGAGCAGAGCGAAAACACCTATCTAATGTTCTATGAGAAGTGAGTAAAACACCTTGGCGCTCCATAAACTGGTATTTAGACGCTCCGTCAGGGTGCAGCGACAAAATTCCAAGAAGAACCCCGACTCTAGGAGATTGACAAATGCACTAGCCCGGTGAGGATTTAATTTAGATTATGTTTGGGCTATATTTGTGACCCTAGAACATCCACTTGAAAGGATTAACAATATAAATTAGTTTATAGCTTCACGCCACCGCGCGAGAAGGAGCCGTTGGCACCACAGAAGTCGAATGGCCTCACCACTGACCAAGGGGCATTCCGACGCGGCGATGCAACTCGTCGAGCAGCAAAAGCAGCACTACTCCCCCTCCTCCACACCAGCAAATACAGTTCTAATGCCCAAGAAATCCCGCTCTGATTTCCCCTTTGTCTTTCCTCCAGCTGGTGCTTGTTTTGCTAAAAACGCACCAAAATATCTCTATAATATGACAAACCCGGCGTATCTAGTCTTCATCAAATAGCAAGTCGCACTGTGAGGTCCATGATCTAGTCGTGAAATGGTCGCCATATTTTTCAAATTAACTCGTCGCACATATCATACAAAGCTTTACTTACCCATCACCCCCGACCCCATCGTGCTACATTGATTTTGCCTTATATAGTCGATATCTTGTATCGTTAGCGGGGGAGTTAACCCCTAAGAAATCGTGTACAGCGTCTGTAAAATTTTTCGATCTTAGAAAGTTCCTAAATTGACTGTGTTGTGGATAGGAAAGTACGTAATAGCACGCAAGCTTAAGTCTAGCTTTAGTAAACATAAGCCTTCCCGACACAGTAGATCTTTAGTATCAAATTTTTGTAAACCCGCTCCTAAAGGGATCTATATTATACTTCCCCGGCATTTTTTAGTCCCTAGCGCTACTTAATTTTAGACGTTTAGAGTGTATTTTCTTCGTCGTTGATTTCTATTCGTTGACCAATTGCTCAGCCACCGGTGTGCACAAACGGCCCCCAAATACACACACCAGTTTGCACTTGATTGTGATTCACCGGCTTTTACCCCCCGTCCTCTGCTCCAGATCCCATTCAAATACCGTTACCCCCGGATGTTCCATTCGAGACATAATTTTTTTTTGGAGTTGCGGGTAAACATTTTATGGATATATAAATTGTTGGCACGGTTATTAAATATGTTTATTTGGTCCTATATGTACAGGCAAATGGTGGTGGTGGGTATGGATAAATTAGCCACGCAAAGGGTATTTAGAATTTGCGGCGGAGGCAGCACTTGCGGCCATTGTTGCACGATTGGTAGTTGGTGGGGCATTGGCACTGTTGTTGCTGCTGGGGTTGGTGGGGCTGGGACTGCTGGCAGGCTAAAATAAAGGTATAGAGGGATATCTTCATGTATATAACACATTTTTGACTAAACAGCACCCATTTTAATATCCTTGCTAATTTTTATACACTAGTTGCTACGGTAGCTACAGCTAGGTGAGTGGTACGCGTCTTGAAATCACGTTGAAAATCTTTAAAGGAGCTGAAGCTGTCAAACCGCGTTAAGGACACAAGCCTCAGGTATCTATTTCCATTTTACAACAACTTACAAGTAGTCATTGGCTGGCAGGACGATTGGCAAGAGGTCTGGCAGGCCGGGGCGCACTGCTGCTGGCTCTGGCCCTGCTGGGTGCACTGCTGCTGGCAAGCGCTCTGGCATTGCGGGACGCAGTTGGGGCCCTGGGAGATCTGGAGCTGGACCTGAAACACCTTCCATAACTTTCTACACGCGTCCAACGCACCTGGAGGACCGTTGGGGCGTGAGTGGTGGTGGTGGTGGTCTGCATGGCGCTCTGGCAAGCGGCCTGGCATCCGGCCTGGCAGGGCTGGCAAGCGTTCTGCTGCTCCTGGCAGATTGGCTGGCATTGCTGCTGGCACATTGGCTGGCACATGGCTTGGGTAGTGGTGGCGACCTGAGATTAAGCGGTTATCCTAGGCTGTTAGTTTTCACTTACAGTAGTGGTGGTGGTGGGCTGGTCACAGCAAGACTGGTGGCACTGGCCGCACTGGGATGGGAACTGGACGCAGATCTAAAAAAAAGCTTTAGGCATCCCCGTTTAGTTTCAAAACCTGAAGGCAGACGTTCAAGCACTGAGGCTGGCACTGAGCTGGGGCGGCGGTGGTGGTCGTGGTCGTGGTCGTGGCGCAGGCATTCTAAAAATCGGCTAGTTCAGAACGTGGCTTTAAATTTATATACCTGGCAGCTGTTCTGGCAGACATTGCACTGAGGGGTTTGCTGCTGGCAGACGGGCTGGCATTGCTGCTGGCACTGGCATTGGGGCTGGGTGACGGGGGCGAGGGTCGTCTGGAGGTTCAAGAGGTTTTGAGGTTTTGTGTTTTGATCTTACCGTGGTGGTCGGATGGTCGCACATCGGTTGGCATTCCTGGAAAAATAGGGTTAGATGATAAATTAAATTAGTTGTTTTTGTTATTATGCGCCATAGAGTGAGCTATTTACGTTGGCGCATTGGTCGGCGCACTGTTGGATCGACTGGATCTGGAGGCAGAGGGTGACGCACTGGGACTGGCAGGTGTTGCACTGTTGCTGCTGCTGAAAAAAAGTTTGTTAATAGATTTTTTCGGTATAGAATAATTCAAAAACACGATACAGTATCCTTAATCTTACCGGAGCAAGAGTAGGGGGCTGGGTCACCGGCTGGCACATGCATGGGGCCTGGGTGGTGGTGGTCGTAGTCGTAGTTTGGACTGGGGCGCACTGGCAGTAGTTAGGGGCCTAATAAACCAAAAGTCAAGAAGGTAATTTGGGTAGCTTACAGAGGTGGTGGGCTGGCAATGGCACTGGTTGTTCTGCTGGACGGGCATGCATTGGCAGCCGTTGTTGTTCGACTGGCGGACACGGCGCAGCTACAAAAATTGGAAATAGTTTGTTAAAAGAGTCATTAATTTTGTATAAATCCATGATCGGTATTTTTAGGGGGTTGTTTGGGACGGAAAATGTGTAATTAAAGATGTAAATCTCATTAAAAGAAGCCAGATTTTTATAAGAAGATAATTCGCTTAATTGAAAGCCAAAGATGAGGCAGACGTCAAAAGTTTCCGAGAAAAAGATCGTGTTCGTCGCTGATCATGTAATATAACATACAGGCTCGGCGTGCGAAATGGCGAAAAGCCCGACGATGAGCACCAGCGCGGTCGTTTGAGCGGAAACCATGCTGAACTGAATCACTGCAACTCCAAGACGATGAGGTGAAGACGGGCCCCCGAGTCTTATATATGAAGGCCGTATTCCGGTTGGCGGTGGGAGAGTTGTGAGGGTGGGCCGGGCCCCTCTCCGCCCCGGCTGCTTTTTGCCACAAAAAAGGGCCTACTGTGTGGGGCATAAGGGTCGAGACCGCTTCTTCACGGGGTGATTGTGTTGGTTGGTGGGTGAAGCACAGAGAAGCTGTGTCTCCGCCGGGGTCACCTCAACGGCTGGCATAGGTAAAATAAAGGTGAAAATGGTTGGGATTGGTTTTCAGGGGGTGTTCTGCGGCGTTTTTTTTTGGGTGGTATGCAAGGGTGAACTGGAATAAGAACTGGTCGTACGATTTTTCGGCCTAACTATCGAATTCTTGCACTCTTTTGTAAGGGACGTTAGGTACGGTATGATCATTCAGAGCGGGTTTTCAGATTGTAATATACCCAAAAATTCTTTCGGCCTTTGCAAAATATAACTTACGTAAATTAAAAAGCTTAGAGTCACTAGTAAATGAAAAATCCGCCGCCCCCTCCCAGCATTCTTCAAAAAGAAACGTATAACTTTTGAGCACGACTTTTCTATTTCTTTGAAAGCTGATTTCTTTCAGATCATTTACGTTCCTCAGGACCACATTTTACCAAACCACATAAGCTCTGCAACCCTCCACCCCAAAAAAAGTTTCCGCTCCCCTAACATGGCCACATGTACTTCTTGCCATCCACCGACCCACTCCAAAGACGCGAACACCTCCTAGCAGATCGTGTACAAGTGCCAAGGGCCGCTGATCAAACAAGCCGCCCGCTAGTCTCTAGCCGTTCACAGGCTGCACCAGGGCTTCAGCTTTTTTTTGCACCGACCCCTGCAGCATCATCTGTTAAACCGAGCTGCCGAACCAGTTGTTGGTTTGGCAAATTATGTGCTCTTCAAAGTCTACCTGTCGGTACTGAGAAGCAAAAACTGTAGCTTTACTTTTAAACTGCGTTTGGGAAATGCTGTCAGTAGCACAAATTTCCCGGTGCTTAATGAAATAATTTTTGTTTCGCGTCGGAATAAAGATAAAATTCAGACCAGTACCTTTACAAGTCGATTTCGACATCACCTTACCGGCGTTAAGACACAAGAATGCCACTTTTTTTGTAAACCCAGTCCAAAAATATGATGATTTCCGAATTCTCTAGGCATTTATCTAAATATCCCGCACCTAACATCAAAACATAGATCACGTTTTTTCAAGCTTTTTTAGAAGTCGAATTGAATGATATCCGAGATTTTTCTCCTCGAAAACTGGCATTTGCTTCATGCAACCACGCCTTATGGAATTCACAAAAAAAATCTAAACGCTTAAAATACCATTTAGGTTGCTGCTACCTTTCGAATTCCAAAAATAATTAAAATAATTCCCTAAATTTTAACCAAACCTCAAGCATTGTCATTGAAGCTACCAGTCACCCCTTTTTTACCAGACGATCTTTGCCCGATCTTACGGTCTTTACCGGCCATGACGCACCAGCATTCCCTTCTAACCTTAGTGATCCGGTGTGTGTGAGGGGGGTTGGTGTTGTATGGAGGTGTCGAATGGAGTGCATTCATCAGACAAGGGCCTTCGCATCTTGTTTGCCCTCCGCCCTGTCCATGGCCTTTTTTGCTGCCGCCGATCGGCTAGACGCATCACAACGGCACCAACAGCAAAGCTTCCAATTCTCCTCGCGCCCAAACTGAAGAATTCGCCGGGGGTTGCTCGAAAAAAGAAGCGATATTATTTGCAAACAAGGAGGGCTAGCTTATCTGACGGTAGACATAAAAAAACGGCAACAGTGCAAGCGCGGCAGTGGTAGGTGCATCCTGGGTCCGAAATATCGTAGAATGTAGTTGATGCACGTGCTAGATCAGTTCAAGCTCGGTTTTCCAAACTAGTATTATTCCAGCATTGTCACGGGCAATGCGAGAAATGTAGAAAAAATGTTTTCTATGCGGAAGAATCTAAACTAAAAGTAAATTAATACAACATTTATTCGAAAGAGTTCAAACCTAACAACGACAACAATTCAAAACCAACAAACATCAACAACCTTACAAACAATCCAACCGCGGGGTTTCCCAGTCTGGATTCTGAACCCTTCTGCGCGCTTTCGCATCTCGATACGCTTGAATGACAGCTAGTCGGTCGGCTTCATTCACTCCGTATGCCTTCTTCTTCTGCGTATCTTCACCATAGACGGTCTCCTTGACAGTCCGGTTTGTAAACATCTTGTTCAACAGCAAGTCCTTTCCGCCAGCCTATAAATAATAATAAATACGATAAGTTTGTTAGACCTTTGCATTCTTCTGCACCATCGATTTCTTCAATGCCTTATTGAAGGTAAAACTAAATTGGGTAAATGGAATTGAGCAGCTATTACCTGGGAGGTGCATCATTTCGCTCACCAAATGCAATAAATTCTCTCGCATTTAGCATCATTTCGCCTTCATCATCCTTTCCACTCTTTTTCCTGAACCGGAACACTCTTTGATAAAGAAAAGCAACAAACTTTTTGGGTTTTTGCGACTTCTTTGCTGGCGGCTCTTCCGCGCTGGTGGTTGGTGCTTCATCTTTTTCTTCTGGCTCGAGTCCCGCCTCAGCCCTTTTCTTGGCTTGGATCTTCTCAAACCTGAAAAACGAAGATAAATACAGCCACACATCTGTCCCCCAGATTCAAACACTCTAGACATTTAGGGGATCCATCCCATAGATCAAATCTGCAGTGCCATTTCGTTTCGCCCAGTGGCGGGAACGACCTTTATGTCAACCCCGGGAAAGCCATTAGCGGCTCACCTTTTCCGTTTCAGCTCTTTTTTGCGGGCTACTTTCTCGTCAACCTCTTCATAGTCCTTGTCAATCTCCTTTTTGTCTCGTCCAGCCGTTTCGAATTTCGCCTAGATTCTCAGGATAACAACTTCCAAATCAAACTCACCTTCAGATTAATATCAGCAATGTTGTTATACGTTTCGCGATTTATCCGCGCGAGAAACGCCCGGTCGCCCTCAAATTGCTTTCTTTGAAAGCCGTGCTTTCCAGCCTGCTCTAAAGAAAAAATTAAACCAATTAAATGTATCTTACTATCAATAGCGCTAATCTTTTTCGTCTTTTTCGGGAAGGTCGGCATCGATTCTTCAAGCACAAGCTTAGCTTGAGCATTCCCAATCTCGATGAGACCTCTTGGCATTAATTGATCGTCCAAATCAGACTTTGGCGGGTTGTTTTTCTTCCTAAAAAAGAGTTTGTAACGCTATAGAAGCACTAACTTACGAGATTTCCTTCTCTTTCATGTGGTTGCCTTGTTTGTTGAACGGATCCACGGACTTCAGCTTCTTTCGATTCTTCTTTGGTATTTTGCTGTGCTTCATTTTTCTGAAAATAACAAGTTTTAGGTAGAATAAAAATGTAAAATAAAAGAAAGAAAATTTCGAAGAAGTCTGAAAGGGATTTGGTGCCCTAATGGACCCGTCAGTAGGCGTAGTTTGTAGGCATTCTGTACCCGAGAGAGAGGGGCTGTTTAGCAGCTATCTCTTATTGTCTTCTCGCGGTGTTTTGGTTGCCTAATGCTTTTTAGCAACCAGCTGACCAATGAGATGGTTGTTTGCTAATTATTCTTAACTACGGGGTAGGGCTTAACTAATTATCTGATAGCTTTAATTAATAAGAAACCAGGCTGAAAAGGCTGACCCACATTCTCTAATCTTCAAGGTCTTTTCATAAAGGAGATCAATAGATGTGACACATGAGCTTCTAGCTCTTGCTCGACAATTTATAAAGTCATTTTCAGGGGATGGGAACAGTGATCGACGCATTAAAGAATATTGAATATGCTGTCAACATTGCTTTCGACATCAGTAAGTTTGATAGCTAGTCCAAGAGCACTATTTTCAGCCAGCCAAATTGTCAAAATCGCATATGTCGTCAAACTATCCAGAAATAGAACAACGTTGAAGGGAGAGGTAACTAATACCTTTCAACGCCATTGTAATTTCAGGTGGAAAAATCGGAAACAGAAGCGACACATATAAATGTGATCCAGCTAAGCTCGTTTGAGTTTGATACGGCCCTAAAATGCATTGCACAAGTAAGAGCGATTGAGGCAATTGAAGAGCTATAATAAAATCTTAGAAAGCTGGTCGTTTAAAGCACACCGAAATACCGGTGATGAGGAATCAAGGATCAGCCGTATTAGCAGCTGCAATCACGGATGTTTTCGGTGAAAGGTGAGTCACAGAAAAGTGTAAAAATGTTTTCTAGAGCCGTCGAACACTATCCCAATATCACGGCTAAGGTCTTGGGCACCACTTTTCTACTGAAGAATGTCCTGGACGAGTCTTTTCGATATTCAAGAACGGATGAAAACCCTCATTATCACTTCGAAACTATCAATTTGGAAAAATCGTTTTTGATAGCTGTCCTTGGCACTGGATTGCAGATTATAAGGGTAATTCGCAAGCATGGGAGCCGAAAAAAAGAATTTAGGTCGCTTCAGACGGATCTTACCGCCGCGTTCGCGGAAATTCATTGGGAACCAGCACTGTTTTGGGATTATGTAAATTACTGTTTGATATAGAAGGTAGGTAGGATCCTACAAACTGATTTTTTTCTTAGACCTTGACGAAATTATCACATTGGCAGAACAAGGGGACCAAGAAGAAATGAATCAAGCAACCGACTTGAAGTAGGTTTTGAATAAATAAAGTTGAAATGAATTTTACAGCAGTGCGCTATTCTCTGATCCGTTTGATGAAATTCAACCTGGAGCTTTTTCCGCGTTAGCATGTCCCCATTTTGTCGAAAAGTTGAGGAAAAACAAACACTTAAAGATGGTATGCTATCTAGCAAGAAATGGAATAAAAGCTCTTTTTAGGATTTCTGCCGAACTCTACTCGAAATGCTGGTCGAAAATATTGCCCAGGTAAAATTAAGAAAAAATTAATCTTTCAAAATGCAAAAATTACAGATTACCGTACTCTCCGCCTGGGTAAAAGAAACAGTCAGTACCTCAACCGAATGGACAGAAGCAAATCGACCGGCTCGAATATTTTTTGATGGGCCTTTGATCCGAAATTACCCATTTGTGATGAGGCTTCTGACCGAACGGGTTGAAGCAATCAGTTCGGTAATTAGGACGAAAAAATTACATTCTGACTTTATAGGGTTCTATGCAAGCCCATTTTTTCCGACATCAGGGCTTTGCTGACGTACTTGGCTTATTAATGCTATCAAGTCAAAATGCAGAAGGTAGCAATTAAAATTTGAATATAAAATCTTGATTCTTACAGAAAAGGGAAAAGCCGATACAAAAGATATCTGGGCGGAAAGTTGGGAGGAAAATATTGTAGGCACTTCCGAATTTCTGAGCTTCGTGCCCAAATATACGCAGGTGCAATTGGGACAGGTGGGTATCGAGCTAGGATAATTACTCCTTACATCCTAGACGACGTCTCTCGAGTTAATCTGCCTGGATACGAAGGTTGCGCTCTTTCCACTGATCCACCCTGTACGGACGTACAGCCCTGATACGCTCGACTTCCAAGATGATCATGTGGCGCGGCAAAAATGGATTGACATCCTGTGCGGGACCAGTGAAAAGATGTCGCAAAGGGCAACAAAGAGCCAAGGGGCACTTCCAGAAGTGGAAGTGCGAGGAATGGTATATTAAATTTGGTATTAAAATCGTCGCAGAAATTCCTTGAGCAACTGCGAGGATGTATGCAGCAACTTGGGGAGATGCCGCACGCTTATGGGACATCAAATGCGAGAGATTTGTTGGATATCCGGGAACAGCTATTGAGAGAACATGGTTTCGATGATATCTATTTGGCTGTAAGTAGTTGATAAATTTCGAGACGTCCTTTTAGCAAAAAGCTTTGGAAAATCGTCACAGCTTGCGGTTATTGCGATCTTGTCTTGATGGAATCGATCAGGTAAGGTCAATCGATGAGGATTTAAACAATAAGGAAACCTAACAATTATTTCCAGGTATCAGACGACCGTGAACGATTGCTCAAGGCTACCCGGAATTTCCTTGCCGGAAACGTCTTTGATTGGGGGGCAAAAGAATTTGTTGAAATGATGCAATCCCCAGAGGGTGTCACGTTTGAGAGAGCTCTGGAGCTGCTGAAACGTGGGTTAAGAGTCTATATACCATTACACCACTAAAATTTAGCAAGACCCTGGCTAATCGATGATTTTGATCAATTTCAAACTCGTATTTTTGATCGAAAATATAAAAGTGCTATAATATTCTGTGATAACAGCGGTGCCGATTTTGTGCTCGGGGCTTTGCCATTTGCCCGGGAATTGTTGAAGCGCGAAATAATGGTATGAAACTTTAAGTTATGGTGACCCTCTTACAGGTAATAATGGCTGTAAATAAAGACCCAGCACTAAATGATGTAACGATTGGGGAGGCAACGGCGATTTGTGACGAAGCCGCAAAAATAGATTTGGTTTTAGAAACTCAAAGAACCTAAAAAATGAAAATTATTATAGCTATTACGCGGGAAATTGGCCATTAATGAATTATTATTACTACATAATGGCCACGGCTCACCGTGTTTGGATCTCAGGTATTTATTACAAATTTAATATTCAAAATTTTTGAATTTTAGGCGAATGAGTGCTGATATTAACGAAGCGGTGCTGGAGCGCCAGGTGGATCTGGTGATATTTGAAGGGATGGGTCGCGCTTTGCATACAAATTTGAATGCACATTTGAGTGTAGATTGTGTTAAGGTAAGCCTAACTAATACCTAGATTTCATCCCTATTCCTAGGCGGCCGTAATCAAAAACCAGTGGCTGGCTGAATATATTGGTGGTGAAATCTTTGATTCGGTTTTTAAACTGGAATTGGCTGATCAAAATTAATTCATTATAATCTACTTTTTATTATAATTCATTGTAATTAACTATAATACTATAATAACCCTGGTCATATCATTCATCGATTTTTTTTTCAACTCGGGTTGATTTGCTTCGATTCGCCAGCTTACCAAAATGTCAGTGCAAATGAATTTTTCGATTCGTGCTTCGATTCGCCAGATGATATTTTATCTCTATATTAAAACAATATACCTCTTTCGGTGCAACGATTCTCGCTACAGTGTGATAAATTGTGCTACTTGCGTCGTATTTGCTGCGAATACGGCCAGTTATCACGATTTATTTTTGGCATCGACCATACTCGCAAATATTGAAAGGAGGATGGGAGCGTACAGTAATTCAAAAGAATGGGGGGATTCAATTGGAAGTGGGGGGAAAGAGCGGAACGAGATGACATATGGTTCCCAAAAAAAGCGGAAGGGCCAAAAACTACTCGGTCTAGCATTGACCCTGGTGCAGACAATTCGGATCGATACTCAAAAAATGATGTTTTCCCAAAGGAAAATTGTTGTTGATTTTTGATTAGCAATAGTTTTGGATTTGAATATGTAGGCGGGTGCAAAGTTCGATAGTTCACCGGTCGGTGTACCAATAAAAAAAGAATAGGAAATGGTTGTGTAACGGAACAAAGGGGTAGAGAGACTAGGTGGTCTGAACAGATTCGCGCAAATCTACCCCTTGATTTGCACGGTATTACGAACAAATACTTCAAAACGAGCAAACTGACACATTTTGTTACTCGCAAATTTAGGTGGGATGCGCGCATGTTAAAAAATAGGGACGGCAATATTTTTCGGTGTCAAAAAAGGATGAGCAAATGGTTATTGGGAGGGTGGCCGGGGAATTTCGGTAGGTTTGACAGGCTACTAGATAGTGTAAGGGCACAGAAAAGCAGGGTACGGTATTTTTGATACAATTTTTAGGAGGTGAAAGGAATTGGAGCTCATCAGATGACGAACGGAGCAATGCGATAAACAGGGGGACAAGCTGGGGATACCCTCAAAACGGTGAAGGCACTTCAGTCAAGGGGCAGATAGATACCACCCAAAAAAAAGTAATGAAAAACCGATTACAAAAGCGCGAAATTTGAGAGACAGACTTTTGAGAAAGATACATAAGGGATTTTTGATCGTAGGCCGTGAGAGTTTGGGGGCAAAGCCGCGAAAACAACATCGTATAATTGCGAAAAAAGCAAATTTCAAAAAGCTAGCATAATACAGTAGGCGAAACGGGGGGCCGGAGCGCCTTATCAAACAGCGCGCAAGAATCTTCGGAATAAGTTTTGAGGATCGTTAGAGACGGATCCTGGAGGGGCGAGAGAAACGAGAAGTGCCGGTAGGGGGGAAAATTGATTTGAGAAAAACGATAAGTAACGATGCGACACACATGCTTAGCACAGTAGACCCATTGAAACAGCATAGCTCGAGCAGATAATCACTTTGTGGTGATGGGGATCAGGAAAAGCGGAAGCCAAGGGAACCAAAAAATGTTGGCCCTTGATAATGTCATGTTTCGGGAGGGAATTTTACGAGAAATTGAAGGGTGTCGCAGATGATGGTTGCCTATAAAGCATCGGCCTTAACTTCAGTTTTCTCGGATTTCACATCAGACTCTTCGTTCTTATCAACGTCTTGCCCGTTCACAGAATCCGTACTGCTGCGCTCGCTTTCCTTGCCCTCGTCCTGAAACTTACGATAGTTCGATAGATGATGAGGGAGATTGTGTTTTAAGATATCTTTCTAATGTCTACCTCGGTTGTGCCTCCATAGCTACTCTCATTCTCGTATCTGTCATCTAGACTTAAACTAGCGACGCCATCAGAAAGTGAAGAAGGTCCCGGGCGGCGCTTCCATACTTGAGCCGCAGGTATCGATTGTGTAGGGCAAGCCTAAAGAGTATGATTAATTCTTCATTTTTCTAATGTTTTGCAAAATGGCAAAGCATCACTTACCCTGACGAGCACCGGTCGCTCGTTGATCATGTGTCGGCCTCGGTTGTGCTGCAAACACTTCTCGGCTCCCTCACGATCCTCGAATACGACAAAGCCCATTCCGCGTGGTTGCGCGACAATCTCAACCTGAACCCATGAGAGCGGGCGGCGGGAATATTGACCGGATGCAGCCAATTTGCTCACCTGATCTAATGCTCCGAAACGCTCAAAGTGGACGCGCAGACGCTCGACGGTGTGGTGCTCCCAGTGAATGCCTGAAAAATATTCATTTAGCCTCAAGCTGCAATATGGACACTAATGTAGACTTGATATTTCCGATCGCTTCACTGACCTGAGATGATGACTTTCGTTCCTGGTGCTGGCTCAGAATCGAAGAACGGCGGCGGGAACATTGGTGTCATCTGCTCTCGCGGAATAGCCCGCTTGCTGTCTACCGTCTTTCCTCCTACAACGTGTGGTCGTTCCATCAACGCAGCGTCGGCCGAAGCAATGCTGGCGAATGTGACGAATCCGAATCCACGAGAGTGTTTTGTGGCCGGGTCTCGGATCACGATCGAGTCAACCACCTGACCCCACTGTGAGAAGTACTGTCGTAGCTAAAAGCGTTCGTTTTATAATTAGCTAACTTTAATGGATGAATGTACAACCTAAGATTCGAGCTGAGCCCTAGCGTGAGTGTTTTTCTACTTACATCATCATCCGTCGTCTCATGATTCAATCCACCGATGAAGAGCTTCCTCATCTGGGGCGGGCCTTCGCCAGGTGGGCCGGGGTGACCCTAAAGCAGCGGTTTTGAGGAAAAGTACTTCACACGCACCCTCTGAACAAATGGAAACATGGGCATCGGGAAGAATGGCATCATCGGGTGGGGCATCGGCGGGCCGCCGGGGGGTCCTCTGCGCATCAGCATCGGGTTCGGGATGAGCATGCCGTTTTGGATGAGCTCGTTTATGATCTCTGTAAGTTTGTTTTATTTGCTGTCAATAGTGCTTTCGCTAAATCTATAGTATCAGATGGCTATTGAAAATGTCAGAGGAAGGTCCGGACATCTATCGCTCCCCCCGAAAAAGCACAGGAAGCCGTTACAATGCCAAAACCCATTGATCTAGCAACATCTCGGCGGGGTTGCACAGGTCCCCCCGTTATCATTTGTTTGCCCTCTTTTCTCTGTCTGGTCGACGGCTGGGCGAGGGCACGCACAGTAGTGGTATGTATAGGCGTATCTATCACCCCCGGATAAAAGTCTAATCGAATCGAAAGTTTCGTGGATTGCCCAAGTAAATCCCTGGCTACGGGATTTCATCAATCTTTTTGGGGTTGATGGTGGTTGTGGCAACAGGGTGTTTGGAGGAGTCTGGGCAGTATCAATAGATAGGCTCCCCTCCCCCTCCACTCCACGCTCTCCAAAGAGTCCCACAAACAGAAGCTTGGCCCAAGTGGCCCCTCACCCGGTCCGGGACTACCCCCCTCACTGACTGACTCTCTTGTAGAGATCAATGCCGACCCTTGGCCATCAATCAATATCGGCGCCGGCCACTAACCAACTGACTTCAAGTTCCGGCGCAAAGAACGGATCGCAAGTTATGTTATTTTTTTCGGGTGATCAAGCGGTTACTTATAGTTTCCTTGGAAGCGTCTTCTTCCATTTTCAGAAAGCTAAATATTGGGAGGTGAAATAATCTGCTCTATACGAAAATGCGGCCTTTTCTCGAGAGAAATCATCAAATAGGGCTTCCGGAATTAATAAATTTGGGCAAAAGATGGAGGAATTTTAAGTAGAAGTTGGCTGTAAATTGCGCCCAAAAAAAGATTTGACCCCGTTGAAAAGGCTGAGCCTATGTTTCAAAATAACTGTTTCCTGAAGAGCACATGAGCTCGTGGATGGTGATTTCCAAAGCTCCTTCTCAAGCCCCGGCGACGGATGGCTGTTTTGAGAACATGGCTGCCGTGAGCGGGGATGGTTTGCACTATGACCGCATGGGGGGAAGGCTGGCTGTCTGCGACACGCTAATAGCTGCTCCCGGTGATAACCCTTGAACCTGGCATTCGCCCCCACAACTGTCAAGGTATAATTTCCCTTCTATTAGATCCTAGACAAATCTAACTCTTGAAAACCTGAGCATAATAAAACAACTAACCTGGCGGGTAGTAAGGTGTATACATCTTTAGTAGATCCTGCTACGTGACTAGACCCTTCACACTACACGTTTCCTTTCCTAAACCTTCAATTAGCACACATGCAGTGAAACCACGATAGACATATGAAAGATAGTTTAGAAGCGTAAGGACGCCACGATATCGAGAAAAAAACACGAAAACGTTGAGAGATTTATCGTTCAGATCCCTACAATTGGGGGGTAGCATCAACACAGGGGAACCGGTACAACATGTTGCTATGTTAAATAGGCTTCGAATTTTTTTTGGGAGTTTAGCACCAGACGTAATAAAACGCAACCCTCGACAGCTGGCGCATGTTGGGGACGAAAGATTTGCAACAGCATTATCACAAAGAACACTGGAACGCTATTTTTTGGCATAGCAGGGTGTCTGGCTGGCCGTCATTAAATAATGTAGAAAACAAAAGACCCGTATCAGGTGGGGGGAAAGTCAAGAAAAGCCGATAGAAATGAGATTACAAGGTAGGCCAATGGTCAACCGCGCGCAAGCAAAGCAGCAAAAGGGAAAATCCTAAATCAGGTACGGAAAATGAGAGGATATTTGATTGAGATGCACCCCTGGGGGTGAGGGCTGCAAATAAGAGAATCAGAAATTGAGCAACATAACAAGGGGTTGGGGGACGACAATACCTGGGGGTAGGTTGATTATGTCAGTCCCGATATTGAGGTTGAGTTAAATGAAGGGGAACTCGCAGAGGTTGCCATGTGTGCTTTCATCAAATACTATTAAGGTAATGAGCACATGGCTGATGGAATGGCAGAGGGGCTGGGTTGTGGAAATGTCAACAGCCAAAGGTTGTTTCGGCGGGACGAGGGCTCAAAAGTGTATTTGGGAGACCGGAGGGGCTTAAGAGGTGAGGATGGGGAGGATGACTACTTTGCACATATGAAATTTGAACGGGGTGGGGGAGGGGGTTGAGGCGAGGTGAGGTGAGCGCAGTCAGGGGGGTCCACGGAGGAGGATGAGGCACAGCCGGGGCCCTCGACTCTCAACTCGGGGTTGGGCCCAACCCCTGAGAGGCCACACTCTATCGGCCATCCCATCCGCCATCGATTATTCTACAAGCATATCCAGCCGAGGCCCTGCCCCCATCCTTTCCATCGCCACCCCCTCAACCCCCCTCCCTCCTTCACCGGTGATAAGGCTGGCGTGACAACGCAGCCCATCTTCACCACTTGTCCCCCCTCCGGCCGGACTGCAAATGGCTCTAGAACTCCAGCGGTGAACGCTCGGCAGCTGCCGACGCATCGATGGCTTCGAAGTGGGAGAGGGCACCTGAAAAAAATGAGGGTTCTAGACAAGCGGCAGAAAAATTGTTCGTAAGCGCGTGTACTACAAGGAAAGTGAAGACAACCAACTTGTGGAACCAAAGGGCCACCCTTATAACCCCCCCGAAAAGGGCGTCCTACTGTAGCGCGAAAATGAAATCTAACCAGTAAGTTCCCAACCAGATTTCCAATATCCCTATGCAGTTCCCATCCGAAAACAATTTTTAGTAGCGAAAGTTGTAAAAGAAAAGGGGATTTATTTTCGTAGGATTTCGGCTACGGTACATGATGCAAAATTTGGTTCTGTTCTATTTCGCGGGGGGGAAAAAACTGTGCGGGGGGGAAATTTTCTTCGTTTTGTTATAACTCTTTTACATGATGCTATTTTGAGTTGTAATTAAAACTCTTAGTATATTTTTTGACGCTCTATCGAATGGCATTCAAGAAATTTTTGAAAGTTATCGAAAATGTCAAAAACTAGCTTTCGACTCCACGATCCCATGTGGAAACACCGTATAAACCTTGTTTTTGCTATAACTATTTTATAAAACAATATTTTAAGATGAAATTAAAACTCTTAGTATATTTTTTCATGCTTTATCGAATGACAGGTTCAAAATATCGAAAAAATGGCGAAAATGCCAAAAACTAACATTCCGGAACCAGTTTCAATAGTTTTTTTGTTTTTGCTATAACTTTTTTATATTACAATATTTTTAGCTAAAACAAAAACTCTTAGTATATTTTTTGATGCTCTATCGAATGGCGTTGCAAAAATCCCGAGAAAATAGCGAAAAGATGGAAAATTCTGCGAAGCATATTTCCCCCCCGCACAGTTTTTCCCCCCGCGAAATAGAACAGAACCCAAAATTTGACTAGCCGTTGGTTTTTCCATGGACCCCTCGGCATGAGGCAATGCCATGAAATTTGGCGTTGTGTTTTGGGTCTAGGGAAGAGCCGTAACACCAACCCCGTCCAGCCAGCCAGCACGCAATGGTGGTTAGGGAACCATGCTGCAATTATGCAAAAACGAAAGAAACATACGCTCTCTATTCTGGGCAGTCTTTTTGCCAGCGCGATGGCCTCGTTTTAGGCGTCTGGGTAGTGGTTGAGCCTCTGGGTGTTCGAAGGCCGGGCTTGACTTTGATGGGGACGAGCTCATGTGCATCTGGTTGGGCGGGTGGGTCATCTGAAAAAAATGCGTTGGTCTCATTTGGAATGAATGGTTAGCCCCCGGGGTGGAGGAGAAGAGGGTCGATCGGTGGCTGTTCCCCCTTGGGGATGGGATGCGTTGTTTTGTCGCAGTTCGAGTATTTCTCCTGATCCTCTCAGCGCACCAAAACACCCCAACTCGATCACGTCAACAGGGCTGCACTCGCTATTTGGGCGGCGTTGGGGTGTTTTTTCGGGGGGCGGTACAACGGGTTATTTAACTTGAATTTTGTGTCCGGAAGTGGATTTTTGCAGAGAAAATTCGTATTTTTGTGTGAGAAGAAACAGACGAAACGAAACACCATTACTAAAAGCTACCCCTTCTGTGAGGCAGCCTAAAAACACACCCTGATTGAAGAGGCGATCATGTTGGTTAGCATATTCGCGATATTCATCGAGGGTGGCGCAGGTACTGCAGGTGCTGGAATCGGCGGGCCCATGAGCGATTTCGGGGCTCTGAAAATAACAAAATTTGAGCGGAAAATTCTACTTACCCAAAGTCGTTGCCGGCAGCGGGTTCCGATTGAGGCGTCATTTCCTTGTCGTCCATTTTCCAGGGATTGCTTTCAGCCTAAAACAGGATTGTATGCCTCGGCATTCGTCGATAAAAATCCCAAAAACCAAACACTCTTACCAAAGAACTATTTTTCGTTGGGGTGCCAAAAGAAGGCGGCGGTTGCGAGGTATCGGGCAGTTCATTTGACGCGGAAGCGACCGGCTGTGTGGATGGCTGCAAACAAGTGGTTGCCAAAAAGGATCCCGATTTGGGTAAGCAAATATACACAGGCCTTAGGGTGAGATGAGGGGGTATACAAATGATGCGCAAGCATCGATTGACCTACCGTGGTTTGAAGAGGTGGCGGCGGTGTCTTGGGGGCGGCTGAAAAAAAGGAAATTAGCTAGATGGGCACTTCACAGGATGTTCTAGGCTAACAGTTTAGGTAGCTAATTATGAGCAAACAATGGCTACGCGAGAATGAGCGTCTTGAGAATTTTAAATTAAGACCTAGTTCTAAGCAATATCAGAAAAATACGAACCAGGGACCCTGGGAGGTGCTAGGCTCGGTGGTGGCTGGCTGAAGTCTGGCGGCGGCTTGGAGAAGTCCGGGATTGGCGGTGGAGGAGCTGCAACCGATGGGCCAACATTCGGTGGTGGCTGACTGAAGTCGGGATTCGGAATGAAGGGTGGCCGAGCGGGCATCGGAGCCGGAGTTGGCTGGGCCGTAGGCTGAGGAAGAGGTCCCGGCCCCATATTGCCGATAAGTGGCGGTGGGAACGCCAGCACTCCGCCAGGACCCATCACCGGCTTCCTGAAAATGGGAGGTCCATAAATAGCCATCAGCAAGTGTAGAGACCCGAAAACTTTTCAGTCAGATACTCATACGTACATCATGCTGAATCGTTTCTTAAAATCCTCGTATTGTGCGGCTGCCAAGTGCTTCATTGAATCTGGATGCTGCTCGATGCCCCGCATTATTCGGCCCTCTTCATCCAGCTTCATCTTGTAGAGCTCACTAAAAACAAGTTAAAAATAAAGCCAGCAAAACCGACTCCATCAATTTAGCACGATTCTCAAGGATCAAGTTCTGTTCAGCTTCAAGCTCGCAGCATTTCGCAATGAGGTTGATAAGCTGTGCATCGTCCAGGGTGCCAGTCTAGAAGCCGCAATCAACGTTGAAAACAACTACGAACCCGCACTTCCTCCCGGAACAAGCTGTCTATCCGTTTGGCGAAAGTATGGGGCCGGGCTTGGATGACGTCCGGCTTGGGCTCGCGCTCTCTTTCCCGTTCTCTTCTCTCGTCTCTTCTGCGGTCTCGGCGATCGCGATCCCTAATCAGATTTTATTCAAAAATTGAACAGTAACTTACTCTTCATCGTCTCCATCATATCTGCGTTTTCTCGGACGATCATTGAACACGGTAGGCTTGCGTTCGACAGTATTGGTGGTAGTGGTGACGCGCTGTTCTTTGACCTCGCTGAAAATATCAAAAATCAACAAAGTTTTTCGGTTGGAGAGAGGGCAGTTGGAAGGTTATGTGATTTTAATAGGGTAGTAGGGTAGTGAAGAATAGATCAAGTCGTAAAATTGCCAATGAGTAGACAAAATATTTGACGCCTGTTGTGGTAAAAATCTTAGCAGAAAATCCCCAAATTAACGGAAGCTCCCCAAACCCCGAAAAATATTAGGTTCTGCAAGACGCGGAATTGTTTACTCGACAAAAACTCCAAGTATCCTGGGTTAAGGATAACCCTGGTGGGGGCCCGACTGGGCTGGGTCTCAACAAAAAAACCTTGATATATGTGGCAGAGCCGGAAGGAGAGCGCCCGGCATTTACCCCCGACCTCCCGTTTTCCCCGATCAAACAGCAGTTGTTTTTGGGGGCCCGAGTCTGAAGGAGGCTTGTTGAAAGATTGGCACCCGTGGCCCATTCCTTGCCGACTTCCCCCTCCTATTTATTAACAAATCGACCAGCTGGTCCTCGGAGAGAAAAGGAAGAGTTGAGCAGGAGAACTGGGACGGGGTCCCGTCTGGACCGCAAAAACGGGCCTCGCTTTGGGGTGTTGAAGGAGCGGGTGGCAAGAGGGAGCAAGAGGAAGAGGGGAGGAGGAGGAGCATGGGGAAGTGAATTTGGGCGCAAATGCGTTTTCCAAAGGCGCAAATTTGTTGGAGACTACGGGGGCAAGGGCAAACAGCTATCCGAATAGTCGGTGATGGGCTTGGCCGCGGTTTGGGGGAACATCTAGGCGTTTTAAGAAGTCAAAAAGATTTGAATGAAATAAAGAAAAAAGTTTTCGGAAAGCTAGAAAGATAAAAAAAACGAAATAATCATTCTTATGGCACCAAAAGTAAGTAAACACAAAAACTAAAACACGAAAAGCTATCAAAAGTGTATCAATACCAAATTTAGTTTCATTAGCCGGCTAGAAAAGTTTGAATCGCCAATATGGGTTACAAGGAGGGCAAAGATCAGAGGAACAGAAACATAAACCTATACTATGCGCTGACCTGAAACGCCTGGAATCTAGACAGTGAAGCACTGACGCAGGTGAACTGTCAGCTGGACACGGAAAACGGAAAATTCCCAAGAGCGCCCCCTAAAAGCCGCTCTCTATTTGCCCAATTGCCACCCAGCAGCGAGCCGTTTTTACGGTGCGGGGCTGCTGGGCCTGGAAGGCTGGCCAATAGCCCTGCGGGAACAATGGCCAGCATGTGGGGTCGTAAATTTTTAACAGGAAATTAAAGGGTGGGGGCGAAAGAGCGGAGGATATTGAGTGGATGAGGCGGAAGATTGGGTAGGGCATCCGGCTCGGCGAGACAAACGGTAATACTCTAGGATGATGAGGTTGAGCTCGGGGGGTAATGAGAGGAAAAGCCGGATTTTTAGCGTTTTAGTACGAAACGATGCACATCGCCCGTCTAGAAATGGTTTTGGGCGAAAACTGGAAAGTAAAAAATGGGGCTACGCGAGGCTCCAATTCCCTGCGTAATGTAACATTCGAATCAAGGAATTCATTTCACAAATCTCGAGAGCTACTTTTTGAAGTTAGAATCGGAACAAAAAGTTATCAATCTTCAAAGATTCCCCCCCCACCCTTAATTTTTCTCGAAAAAGCCCGCGTTATAGGATGCCATGTGTCACGGCGGGCAGTTTTTCGGACCAATTTAACATAAATTACAGCTGCTAACTGACCCTGCGCCCGAGACAGCTAACCCGTCAACAATGTGTTCCGGGAGGATGATCTATAGTGTGATGCGAATGAGGGGACATAAAGCTAGGGGGGGGCTCAATGGCTCACCGGTGTGTGCAGGTGTTTTTGGGGTGGGCTGGGATGGGATGGGGGTTGGGTGCTAGGGCCGAGCTGAGCAAGGGGGACAACTGGCTGGAGACGGGGTTGCCAACTGCTTGGTCTTGGCCGTCTTCTGCTCCCAAGCAGGCCCAACAGCGACAGAGGCAATGACTATGTGGAGAATTTAAGCCCCGCAATGTTTTGATCATAAAACCAGCGTTTACGGTGCATGAGCAAAAAAAATAGCGACGCTATTTGGGAGCAGCATCATAATAAAAAACGAATTTCGCATATATTTTAAATATTATCGGGGTATTAGCGGGGGGGTAGCTTTCTCTGGTCTAAAAGCGGAAAAGGAGTTAGATAGAAGCCATAGAACTCTGGCTCTAACATTCCAAACGTTCGTGGGAGAAAGTTCCCGAGACGCTTTTTTGCTGCAAAGAAAAGACCTAACGGATGCTACTACTGATCACGGGCGAAAGAACCCCTGACATGGAACGAACGTCGGTCGAGTGGAAAAAGGTCGAGATGAATGACAGCGACGGGCGGGGTGCTTTTCCAGTGAACCGACAGCTCGTTAATTTCGAGAGGAAGGTAGACAGCCTTACGGCAAAGTGAAATCGAAGAGGGGCGGCTTATTTTTAGATAGATGAAGGTCTCAGAACACAGAGGTAGGGCGGTCCGAAAGGGCCCGAAACCTGAAAGGGAGCGCTACAGAAGCCTCAAATATATTAATAGAAATTCCAGGCAGAAAATTCAAGAAAATTGCGGAGAAGAAGAGGTCCTATTATTTTCAGTGTGCCAGACAATTCGCAAAATGACAAGAAAACCCTGGCTGAATGGATTGATGGCCGGGTTACTAGTTGACGACAGATAGTTGCAAAGAACCGTAGTGGAGATGGGGATAGGAGTTGAGCGCTCAGGTCAGCAGTCTTTCGCCCCTCGCCGCAGCCACCCTCGGTTTGTGCTCCCGTCCATGGCCTCTTGCGCTCAGCGACACAATTTATGAGTTGTGTGTGTGTGTGTGTGTGGGGGGTAGGGAGGTGGTGACGCGATTCGCCGATCAGGGGCCAATCCATTCAGCAACATGTAACCGCTGATAGCACTGCGCTGCGACTAGGAATTTGGACCGGTGGTGTGCCTGCGCTTATCAGATGAGGGAGCCGTGCCAGACGATTTCGTTATACTGATATTAATTAGAAAGTGGAAGGGAGCTGGGCGATTAGCGGATAAAAATCATAGGTAACACTAACGAAACCGTAAAATGAAATAAAGTAGATTAGGGATCAACACGTGTCAGGAAATTTGCCGGCTAAAAATGTATTCAAATCTCTTTCGACCAAAGCCGCTTAAGGCGTTAATCAAAATAAGTCTGCTCATATTCGTAAAACGTTCGAAAACTTCCACTTGCCACCAAAATTTATAATTCAAATTCAGTGGCAAAATTTTAGTGCCCTTTTGTCAAACCCAGGAATTGAAAGAAATATAAATAACGCAACGCTTATATTTTCCACCGCAGGGGAGCTCTAGCCCGGGGTTCAAGTGGTTGGGGGATGCGTAGATTGTTTCAAAGCTGTCGGGACGCAAGGAGGGGGAAAAGGCTGTATGGAGAGGTTTCCGGGGGGTGACGGACGAGCCAACACAGAGAACGACCACCGGCCCGAGGGGAGGACTCGAACCCAATGATGCAATTCGGCTCCAATGACCCGCGTCATCAGGGCCATGTTGTGCATATCCGAAAAAAATTATACCTCTTATCTTCACCTTCTTCCTCGTCTTCGGAAACGGGCGATGGATCGCGCGGCTCGTTCTTCGGGGGAGCTGCGGGCCTGAAAATGATACATTGACACAAATATGGTAATGGGAAGAACTTAACCTAAAGAAATGAGGGTGAAATAAAGAGGTTTGATAAAAATAATGAAATTCTGGTTCCTCAAATCATACACTAAAAAAGGTGAGTTGCCGGGCCACTGAACGACTGGCTTAAGTCTAGAGTCCTAAGCGGGCGCATTGCAACAGGGGACTGAAAGGGAGCGATGAAACCCGACCCATATGACCCATCACTATACTATATCTAAGCCGGACCGTCGGCATGCGTCAAAAGGACGGTCGGTGTCAAAAATAAGCTGCCGATCCGCCGCCAAAATGGACTTCAGCTAATTTTTCTTTGGGGGCGAAACGCCGGGGTGGGTACCGGTAAAAAAGCGTGAAGGTTGGCTTGGCGGTGATCGCTTATTCTTGGAGTTTACAACCCGAAATCGGAACCTAGGGGCAGATCGGGTGACGGGGGTGCCGCCGTCTAAAGAAGTGGCTGCCAGCTGTCCGCGGGGTCTCGCTGGCCAGGTACATGACTGACGTGAGAGGAGGGCCCAAAAAGCGAGCAACAGCATCTGACATCATAAGTGACCTGCGATTGAACACCGAAAAGATAGGTTTCTTGCTGAAGCAAAGAATTTGCATCCATTGACCTGAGAATTCAATCGCAACAAAAAAAATTGAAAAGCGGCTAGCTAAACCTACAACGTTCAAAAAAAAAGGCTTAGCCGCTGCCTTGAGAAATCCAAAAATGTATGGATCAATTCGCCGCGGCTCAAATGGATAACATCTAAGGGCCGTCTCTTCTCAGGGCCGCCCCGAACCCGTCTGCACAATTTGTACTTTGCGCACAAGGGGAGATGATCTTCCCTGATTTGATTTTTCACTCCTCTCGCTCTCGAACAAGATAAGCGACTGGATGGAAGCGGCGGCGGTTAGACCGGAAAGATTCGAGGCCAGATTCATAGGCGCAGCGAAACGGCTGGGGAAAGTGCGTAACGAAATTTCGGATGCTGGCGCGGGAATTGGTGAGTTCAAAAACGCAGAAATCAACATACTGGCGAGGTACAATGAATGTACTGTTCATAAAAAGGAGACTAAAGCTTCGTCAATGAGGGAAAGGGAAGGGCTTCACCATTCGAATCTAGAAAGTTTGTTTTCTAACTTAGGATCCACGCAAATAAAAGCTAATTCTCAATTGCCTGTAAAATGCCGTCTAGCAACTCCCAATGCGTTGGTCAAAAAGTGAGCGCTCACGCGGCGAGGGCAAGGCTAACAAGCGCAAAACCGCTTGCGTTTGCAAATTGATGTAATTCCAATAAGTAATACTAAGCAAATGAGGCACTAAAATCAATGGCCCAGCGATGTCGCGATGCTAAAGCCTAGTTTTTTGTGCGGTGGCGCGGACTAGTGTGTGTTTGAGGGCTCTCAGGGTGTGCGAGGGGCGGAAGGACTTTCGGAGGACCAATGCCTGGTCCTATAACCGAGGGGAAGACGCTGCTTTGCTAATGACGGAGCACGGGGAAACTAGAAATGCCCGTATGCTTCTAAAAGATAATTCAGGCCTCTGGGAGTCTATTGGCTCTAAGAAAAAATAAGCTGCAAGGCGTGGGGATGCTCATAAAATGCTCAAACTCCTAAAAAAGCGTAATTCAACGCAAAAACAATCGAACGATATCCTAGAAACTAGCGCATCTACAGTAACTCTTCTATTTTTGGCCTTGCAGGTCAATTGAAAGACCGATGTCCGGTAAAGCGCGTGGGGGATGCTGCCTGGCAAGCCTACAAGACCTGTCGTGGTCGCACAAAAATCGGATTAGCGGGGGAGCGGATGCAACACTGGGCCGGCGGCTTAAATACGGCATTTGCATATGGATGGAGCGAGTTATGTGGTGCGTAGCCAGAGGGAAACAGAGTGCAAGGTTATTCGACGGGGCAAGGTTAAGTATCAGATACGGAGTCAAGGCGAAAGGTGAGAAACTCACTCATCCGGTGGTGTTGGTTCTCGGCGAGCAGCAGGCTCGGCAGGTTTGCTGAAATTAAAAACCTATATTATAGGAAAAGTCACTAATTTTCGAAATTTCTCAATTACGCAAATTCCCTAATGAACGAAAAACGAAAATAATTATCCCGCCATCATTGTTTTTTTGTCAAAAATTTTGGCGGTCAGGCAATTTAAATCGTATGCATGGTGAAACGCACTTGAGCTGCGGTCTTCGAACCATTGGCTGGAACTTGAGATTTTTCAGCTTCTTCAAAGGGTCGCCGTTGGCGTCCATCTCACCGTCGCGTTCGCCGTCAGCCTGTAAAGGTAAACTTAGGGAAAAAGGAAGGCAGGAATGACATTTTAAAGAATTGTTTATAAGCCAAGGGAGCTAGCCATGATATTTTGCTGATCGAAAGAAAATACAACTTCGGCCTTGACTTTAAATGCAAATTAATACAAATTGTGCACACTAGTGCAAAAACTGCAACGCCAAGATTACCTCGGGCTCATCGTTTCCATTCATTTCCGCGTCGTTGGCTGGTGATCCGGGATCTGGAGGCAAGTGTTCGTCGAGCTCCATCTTGGTCTGCTTCCCGTTCTGAGATTCGGAGTCCTCCTCAACACTCCTTTATCCAAAATATGAATTTCACTAACCACGTGCAAAGAGCCATTATGTTCCGAGTGATATTCCTCTTCCTTTACATTCGTTTCCATAGTCGGAACCTCGCACTTTGGCTAAAAACAAAAGCGTCGTAAATATTACAATCCTCACCACGGACAATAAATATTCTGCATCCCCATCGTGTTCCATTATCTAAAAGGGTTTAGTGCTTGGGGCCGATTCATTGCCGCCAATTTTGTTGTGCCCTGAAATATCCTGCTTTGTCCCAGAAGCAAAGAAAGCGAAATTTAAAGTGAGGAAGAATGGAGAAACCCGTTTGAAAAATAAAAACAAAAAACTGGGCGTAGGGTGTACCGGTTGTAGGCGCCGATACTTGCCGTTGAGCCTAGAAGTTTGAAACAAAAACATGAAAGTTTCCAGGAACGGAAAAGTAGAGAGTTATTTTGATTTGAGATAAATGGAAACTTCAAGAGTGATTTGTCCGCAATGGAATTTTGAGTTACCAGCAAAGTCGAGAGTGTGCAAATGTTGCTGATTTCTCACACGTAAATTTTGGTGTAAATTTGATTTAACGTAAGAGCAATCCGCGGCGAATGCTATTTTCGAACCCATTTCAATGCAAGATTAGAAACCAAGGATTTTTGGAGCGCTCGAGGTTTCCCAGCGTTATTTTCAACCCGCTAGGAGACGGAATGAAAAGGCCCTCAAAATTGGCGACAATGAATCACGACCGTGACGAGATGATGATATTTGAAGACCGTAGTAAAATGGACATACCGGTTTGGTGTAAGAAAATGGCGATCGACGAATTGGGGCCCTTGGCGGTGATCAAAAAGGGTGGGTGTCTGAGTCGGTGGGAAAATTGGCAAGGGTCCGTAGCCGAGAACACGCGACGCGGATGGCGCACGCGCTGCGCTAGTTCAATGCTCGACTGCAGGAACGCGTCCACGCATAAATGAAAGCTTTTCTGGGCTGATTGGTTTCGGATTAGAGCATAATTAGTTCTCCTTCGTGCGCATAGCAAAAGCCTGCTGTATGCTGCAAGAAAATTTTAAAGTTTGAGCTAAAATTATAAAGTTAGAGCCTTCGCGCGCACGGCTAACTATAAACGACTAGTAAAAGAAGGTATGACGCTTCTAATAGCTACAGTAATAAGTTTATCATATATTTATAATATATAATACGTTAGTTCACAGGGCACAAAGCTTATTACGTGAGTATACCCCTCAATAAATACTTTATAAGGCTGCTGTAAAAGCTAAACGATTTCAAATTTTACCCGCACTATGATTTGCCAGCGCCGTGTTTGTTGTAAACGGTTGGTGGAATGGATTAGATAAGATTTTTATTGAATCTCAAGCGTAAGTTTCCAAAGAGACCCTGTGAGGAAAAGCACAATAGCAATTTTTATGAGAACTTTCGATTGACGATCAAGAAATGGGAGGCACCGTCGCAAATACTGCTTATTGTTAATTGGCAAGTCCTAGTATCGGTTATAAGTAATGAAAAACCCGTAAGGTATAAAGACATGGCACTTGGTAGGAATCGGTTTCGAAGTCATGTTGAAGGGATGAGCGCATGTATGAAATAAGTGGCGTGACTAGAATACCATAATCTTATCTCTGCGTACGAAAAGAAGGTCATCATCAATACACAGTAAAATGGAGAATGAGGTAAAAATGGCGAGAGATGATAGGAAGTGCCAGACATCATGATTATCGTAGAAATCGAGTAAGAAACATTGGCGGTTGAGGGCACGTGAGTTGGCGGAGGTTACCTGGAATAAATTGATGAAGAAGCTTTATTTTTAGCGCCGTTTTTTTAATCGAATAAAACTCACGCTCCAATCGGTGACATTGTGTAAGAAGAACCATATGGCGCCCATCCAACACAAAAGTGACGTGATGAGGTATGCTATCGCGCGAGCACGTAGTCTTTCTCGGTACACAAACTATAGAGTTTTAGTACTAATGTTGAACTCTGCCTGTACCTTCATTCCAATATAATACAGCATATACAGGAACAGGTTTGCAATGAAAGGTAACAGCAAGAAGGACGGAAAGTCTCTCGGCATGTTCAGCACACCCCACAATATACTAAAATTATAAATTTTAGCATTAATCGTAGTGATTACTATCCAAAATTGATCCCGTTCGCAGCCATCAGGAAGAAGAATCGGCCTTTGTAGGAGGGGATTAAGCAGGAACACCATTTAGACGCAAAGAACGCATACTTCATCCCCCTCCACAATTCAAACCAGTTGAATCGCCACATTCCTAGAAATGGATATGGTTATTACATTTATTTTTAGGTAACTTACCTTTGAAGTAGAATTCGATGGATACGGTAAACATGGTGACCACATAGACGATACTGAAGATCAGCCAATACCAGAAGTAGTTCCAATACTAAAAAATATTTGGGTGTCTGGCTTTTCGACTTGAAAACTTACCACCCCTCCCATGGCCACAAAGATAAATAGGGCCATGATGGCAAATGCGACGTGAGCGTTTGCGTTGATATCCGGATGGCGAAGTTGGTAGATTTGAAGCATCCCAAGCATTCCAATCATATACATGAAGGAAGTGTCTAAATGTACTTGATTTTGATTTACTTTTTCTGACTTACCAAATTGATAATTGGCGTTTGAGGGGCAAATGTGGTAGCTTGCGGAGAGTAGACCTTCCATGATCAATGCCATCCCCATAGCGTACAGTAAGCCGTTATGGCGAGGCAAACCGTAATCCTAAATTTTAAAACTTGGCTATTATTTTAGATTTAAGCGTATTTTTTATAGTTTGCAAAGAGTTTTACATACACATCTAACTTACATTCCGTAAATCCGCCGGAAAAGCTGATACAAGCTGCTTGTGACGATGTTCTCTTTCCATGACCATCAGGATGAAAAGTAGACCCAATGACACATAACCGACATTGCTGGAATAATGATTTGCGCTTACTTTCAATACTATACCTGAAGATGTTGTTAAAATCAAAGAAGATTAAAAACGGTCTCGCACAGGCGAAGTTGTACCAACAAAGGTCGAGATTACCGGACAGTCGGACCTGAAAAACAATTCCTAATTTCGATTAAGTTTTTTTACCGTATTCAGCCAATTGAGTACGAGTTGCACTACGGGTAGGCCATAGAAGAGTGATAGCGTGAATAGGGATCTAGACACGAATATAGGAAAGCAATGTGTGCCCTTACACTGTATATTTCTTGTATTTTTGATCACGTTGTTTCCATTTTTTCAGTGATAGATCGGCTACGGTTAGTCGGATCTGAAGATTAAACATTAGATTTTGTCTCTAAAACCTAACCTTCGATCTAACGACTTCTTTATCATAAATATCCGGCAGGACATCATAGCTTTCAAGCGATGAATCATCCTCCAATTCTCTCGCTTCTTCCGCTATGTCGTCACGATAAGAGGGACCCGCCTCTTGGTCTTCGTCAACTAACAAAAATTGTTTTTATATAAACCACTAAACTAACCGTGTAATAGATTCATCAAACTTTCCCTTTCCTTCATCATCATCACACGCTCAAATCTGCCCATTCCAATTACAAACGCTAAATTTTCCTATGGTCAAACAATTTCTCTTTTCAACTTACCAAAAGCTATCAAGTAGATAAACGCGATTGTTCCTGTTGTAATAAATATCGGAACTAGATAGTCGTTCACTAAAAACTCATTGAAAACAGTAAAATAAATTCCCACCAGTTGGCGCTTTTTCGATTCCGACAGAGAAATTTTTATATCTCAATTTCTCCGGTGGGCTTGGCGCTAAAGAAATTTTTGTTTTATTAATTTGATCTTACTAATAAAAGTTGAGGCTATAAAATCTTCAGCACATCCAGAATCGTCTTGCCGGACGACAAATACCAAATTAAACGCTTCCATCTTGCTTCGTTCGACTTAATAGCGGATGTGACAATTTTAGCGTTTTTTCGATAGACCTGTGATTGCAGTTGAAGTTGTCATTGTTTGATGCAATCCCGCCGAGATGACGTTACTTTCTGAGTCGAAGACAGGGCACTAAAAGTTGTAAAATTTCAATTGTCTGTTACTAATACCTGGACTGGCTGCACAGAAACCGTCATACACGTCGTTGAATCTGATTTCACGACTACAACTACAGAATCTCGATCTTCCGGAATTGTGTAGCGCATGTAAATCGGGCTGGTGACGCCAGCAGTCAGGTTGATTCGCGGCATTGTGTCGTTGCTGGAATTAAAATAGTTTTGATTTTGTTTACATATTTATTGGACAATTCTTGAGATTACTTACGGCACCATAAAATTCTTCTGGATATCAGCCTTGAACGAAAAGTTGACGGGCACATCGCTACTCAATTCTACGCTCAAACAATGCCAAGGATTGTTGAGGTCCTAAAAATAAAGTATAACATTTTAAGTTCCAAAATTGGCTACCGATGCTATTACTGGGCAGAGTGTCCTTGCGGTACTATTGTATATTGTATAGTGGTTGACGATCGGTAGCTTAAAAATAATTTTGAAGTTTTTTTTTTGTTGATTTCACCTGTGCAGATACAATATTTGTCACCTCTCGGAAAACAGCTAATAGTGGAGAACTTCTGGGGGCATCTGATTCCAAATAAAACCTGGAATTTTTTCATGGAAATCTGGTGATGAAATCCCCATACCGAATGGCAGTTCCATCCGAAACATTATATCTGAAGACACTCAAATGGTTGTGCTTCGTACGATTATGATACAGTTTTCCCAGTTCATCCATTTCAGTCGAGTCCTCATCTCCCTAAATACGATTTGGAGTTGTTGTTTGTTGTTTACCACTGTGTTTTTGACCATCAACTCGTAGGCGTTACAAAGCAGAAAGCGGGCAGCCAGTAATGTTAGTAATTGGAATATTCTCCCCATTCTGAAATAGTTTTTTGTAGTTTTTAATTGGAATGTAAAGTGTAATGAAGCGTAGTTAGATGTTGAAAGCCGAAAAGATGTCGCGATCAAAACGCTGGGCTCCAATTGACGGGGGTCAGCCGAAAACAAGGTCAGCTGGGGCGGAAGGCAAGCCAATAATGTGTAGGATTGGGCAATGATATTAATCCAAAAATTTTTATTAATGTGGTTAGCACTGTCATTATTGATCGGATAACTACCGTTATGGATTGCAAATAAATGGGAGTAATAATCAAATGAGGGAAGTATTACTCAAAAGTTGATCGAAAATCACAACCTGTTGCACACATTTTGTACGAAAGTATTTAAAGGAAATAAAAACGGTACCAACGGGTTTCTTGGTACAACTAGGTGGGGGCTTGGCAAGGGAAAGCGGGTCTTTACGAATGGAAAAACAATTTCCGCCCTTGGCTAGAAATGCCCTTTTCGAAATTAAGCATACAAATATTTTCTGTAAAGAGGTATCGTGTTGTCAAGAAAGGGTGAAGCGTTCAAACAAGGGGTCGTCATGATCAAAATACACAAAAATAAGCTCAAAGAAAATAATGGGGAGGGTAGAGAAAAATAATGGGGGAAGTGCGACACGTGAATGAACAAAAATGCAATAGGAGACGAATGGGAAATGAGATTGCAGATGTTTTGAGAGTGGAAGTTATCAAAGACGGCAGATGTGGTATAATACATTAATGAATATTGGTTAGTATCTTCTTCTGGAAGGGCAGAGTCCCTTTTTATCTTTGTTTGAGAAGCGGATGGCTTTGTCCATAGTGTCTTCATTCCATTCGACAAGGACTGTTTTGCTGTTGATCGAATATCCTGGGTGTTCTTTGTCGACGATTGCGTCGTCTTTGCCTAAAATCGGGGATTTTAATTAGGTTGTATTATTTTTTTTATGAAAGTTAGCACCCACAGCTCATCAACCCCCAGATTGAGTGGAAGTATTCCCGGGCCCAATGAAGAGCTTGATCGCCTAATCCTCGACAATCTTTCACACCATCTAATGGATCCGTAATGAAGGCGCATATCCAATCAGGCATCAGAGACTCGCCCTCCTCCCCCCAAAAGCTTCATTACCCTCATGCGCCCATCCCCCCATCTTGGGCCCCGAAAAGATGAACCAGAAATTTCCGGTGCTCGCCCGGAATCGGGAAACGACCTTGCATCCTATCTTGCATTTCTGAATCGTAGGCTGGTGTGAGTTTTGGTACTGCATATCAGGCCCCTCGACAGAGTAAGTATGTAGCCCAAAAACTAAACTTCCCACTTCCGATGCACTTTTTAAAGGAAAACACCCTCCTCAATACCTCCCGGGTCGAAAACTTACAAAGCCATTTTTTCCGAAAATTCAGCACCCCCTAGGGAGCCGTAATGTGATCAAGATTACGGGGTGGCGAAAGGAAGAATTCCAGAATGGGAACGTTGTTCAACTCCCTGGAGGTTTTCAGGAAAAGCCCCCGAAAAACTCACCCAAGAAAAGATATCGCTTGCCAACGCGAATCTTTGGGCATTTGCAGACGACGCTGGATGGAGAGGTCCAAATCACCATATCACCGCGCTTCGCTTGTTCACCCTGGAATTACAAATCAAAATGTTACAAAAATTAAAATGACCTTTTTGAAAACGCTTTCAACTTGTCCCTTGTACTTCACCCAACCATCATCAGCCACTTCCCGTCCGGTGATGTAAATTTGAACCGCTAGAGCAATTTTTATAGGCTTAAGTAATTTTTTCTTACCATAGTCCCTTCGGCAATACTTCTTCTGGTTAAATCGCTTGGGTACGATTCGGCATTTCGGGCATTTACCTAGATTTATCGTTCGTTCGCCCCGTGCTCACAAGTGTTTGCTTGGCGACAAATTGGATTTGGGGGATAAATCGGCGGTTGTCGCCGCTGGTTTTTTTAGGGCTGCCCAGGTGGGGGTATTGGCAAAAAACAGAGCCGGTAGGACTAGGTAAAAAACGGCGGTGCTTTTGATTTATCGCAACGTTTAGGGTGGTCAGTTTTCGGATTTGAAATATGATTTTGGAGGTAGTAGGCACTGCTGAGCAGTTTTAATATGTTTAAGAAAGCAGATAGATTCATAAACCCTTACCTTGATCAGCTTCAACGGTCGGAAGTGCACCCTTAATGGGAATAGCTGAAAAAAATGGTGATTTCTTTGTAATTTTCCGATTTTGGTACCCAATCCTATGATGGGCGGCCACCCAAGCGGTCGCCTTGTTTCCCATCAGATGCGCAAAGACGCTTAGCCACGCATTATGATGAGCATGGCAAATAAATATGGGGCGCGCCCAGGGGGGTTATTGAGGAGGCGACGGCTAATCCTATCGGTAGGCAATGGTGATGATCATAAGGGGGAGGGAAGTGAGTATCTATGTTTTCGCGGGCGCTGGTAAGGTATGCTACGCAAAGATTGAATTTGGTAGCTGTCCCGCTTGCGCTCGACCTTGAAATGTAACGATTTGCAACGCATCAGGCCCAGTTTTTGATAAATCAAATCAAAAATAGGGAATTAAAACTTACGAATACACGGAGTGATGGTAGAACGGCTCTGCTGATAGCCCTTCGCACATCTGTTACATGTCAGTCCGGTCACGCCCGGCTTGCAAACGCATTGTCCAGACGTCTGGTTGCACGACTTCCCAAGCGAACCGACTTGATGACAAGCACATTCTAAAAATCCAAATTACTACTATACTCGATCGGCCGCATTACTTTTCTCACACCTTTCCACCAAGCCGACCTTCCAATTTTATACCCCATTTCCTAGGTCCCGCTCTTTCCCAAACGAACCCACCCCAACGGAACCCCCAACGCTAGAACGGCCATTCCGGCAACATGGCCAATTAGTCAGGTGGCGATTTATTCGTGTTTGGTGGGCCATTGGGCCTTTGGGGAAGTCGAAAGAGGGCCGTTCGACGAGACTGTCATCTGTTCCCCCACACAACACGATGTTACATAGCCGCCACGAGTTCTTGTGCGCTTGAGCTCATTGGGTGTTCGGCGATCCATCAACGGATAGGCGGCCAATTTGTCGGAGGTTGGTATTACGGGGGTATCGATGGGGAGGTCATAAGCTTGAGAGCTACATGATTCCTTGGCAGAATGGAAACCCCTATCCGAACATGGATATAAAATTTTGCCTCTATGTGTATAGTTGCATGCGTACTTTTGTGACGTTTTTCCACACCTGGAGCCTCAGGAAAACGTTTGTGTAAGAAGCGTCATTAGGTGTGGAATGGACGGAATCGTCTCCCGATATACCGGTTTTTCGAAAAATGATATTATCTAGATTTTTTTCTGTAAAATCCGGCCTTTTCCTATTGGGAAAAATTGGCATCTAGAGAAAGCGGCGTACGCATAGAAGTCGGTACCAGTTTTTACAGGACGATCTGTATGCGTACCTAGTATCGCAGACCTTAACCTGCGAAAAGACCGCGAAACGGTTTTTAACCCCGTGTTTTAAGTAAAACTTCCTGACGTTTTCCCACCTCGCCTTGACAACCCATTCTGCCGCGCCCACACACACCGACGGATTAATGAGGTGTGACCCGGAAATTTGGTGATTCGCGCATGGCGAGAGCCCCTCCCCCCTTTCAGGGTCGCCCACCCAGCCTGTCAGGATAAAATACGATTCTTATACCGCGAAACCTTAGACTATAATTTGATCCCCCCATTACACGCGATTCCCCAAACCCAAAAGGAGTTTAGGAAGGCGAGAAGTGCGTGGGAGTCGAGACAAACACCGACCCTATTGTCCTTGTAAGGTAAACACGGACCCACCATTACCCCTCCCTCATACACATTTATTGTATCATGATGAAGTGGGGGATGCCCATCGTCTCCACCCCAATCGGAAACGCGACTTCTCAAGTGCCTCGATTCATGGTGTGAATCCACATTTTTGGGGGGTTCTCCCAGAAAGGGTGGCTGGCTTGATTACTTATGCGGAAATTGAGTTGGTGGCCCTTAGGGGTTGGGTCAGTGGCGCAATTCTCTGGGGAGATGATGAGGGCAACCGGGGAGAGGTGCGGTCAGAAATTTGCATATTCTGTGGATGACCCGCTGAGAGCGGGTGATGATCGATAAGGTCTGGTAGGTTGGGGAGGCTTTTGGTGTGCGGCCGGGCTTTTATCTCATTGTAAGGAGCTGCTTAAATTTTTCGGCAAGTTTTTGGGGAAGCTGGAATTCCGGAAAACTTTAGGGGTCCAAACTTGGCAGTGCCGGACCGTGCCAGGGTCCCCGAATTCCCTAAAGCGCTTCTTCGGGCCGGCGGTGCTACCTGCCCGGCTAGAGACCCATCTAGCCCCAATTCGATTCACTAAATCGAGTGTACGTAGCGGCCCACCCCAGTCTCCCCAAATTACTACCGCTCCCAGGTGGATTTGCCTTTTTTAGAGTACGCCTGGTGTTCGTCGTAGGGAGGGTAGCGAAACGTACTTAGATATAGAGAGCACTTTCCTGATGAAACTCAGTTAAAAAAAACTCACCCTTGCACACTTTCCGATGCGTCAAGGGTAGTGTCGCGTCGCGGTAAAATCCTGGCTTGCAGTAGTGGCAATTCCGGCCGGCGGTGTTGTGACGGCAGTTGAGACAGACACCTGAAAATCGCGATTCTAGCTAAGATATAAATTTTACACGTACCGCCAGACTTTCCTCCGCTCAATCTGTACAATTCAGCGTCGAAGCGGCACCTCTTCGCATGTAGATTACAGTTGCAAGCTGAAAATTCAATTTACGTGGCTAAAGTTTCCATCCTTCCCATTTCACAATCGCCACCCTATCTTCACGACCCGAGCATTAATCCCCGTGGGTTGGTGTCACCGCGAAAATTTACAATCAGCCTCCCCGAGTAAGCCTTGACCATATGGTGAGAAAGGGAGGGGAGGTGACCGATCCGTAGGCATCACGAGGACTTTTCAGGGCTATCCCCGGGTGCTCTTCACGGTGGCCCAGGGCCCTACCGTAGGGTGGGGAGGTGTCCAGCGACGACATGAATATGCAAATGAGGGGTCCTCGGCTTGGGGGCTGGCAGGTGCCTTATCATGGAGGCGCGCTAATTCTAGGGTTCCTTCTGTTTGTCCTCACACATGTTGGGTGGGAGGCGCCAAATTGGCAAATCTGGTTTTGGGAGGTTTAGGGTTAATATAAGTGTTCGGAGGGTATTTTTGTAGGGGAAGGCTTTGAGGGCCTCTATGATACGTCATTAGATGCGTAATTTTTCTCCAAATGACCTCAAACATATCTAATTATCTCAAATTATTTTAAAAATTAAATTTAGGTTGTTATGAAAAACACCCGGGCATCCTCTTTTTAGGATACTTTTTGGCGGAAGTAGTCGCGGCTTATATAGAGAACCAGGTGAATGAGCAAAAAAATAAACTGTTTTGGTTTCTAAAGTCCTATTTTTGCCATCTATTTTTGTTGCCACCGCCAATTGTTACCCGCTTCAGCCCCAAAAACAACGTTTTCCGCTTGGCTTGTGCAAGGAGTGCCTTTCAATCAGCGGCCAGAGAAATGCGGGAGGAACTCGCCCGTGTACCATCCCCACCTCTCACTCCTTTCGCTCCTCCATCTCAGAATTGAGTTTCGCCTTTCCGCTGATTGGGTTCCATCACGAATAAGGAGTGGGGTGGGGGTGGCTAGTTGAGGTAATCTTTTCACTAGCTGACGGTCTGAGTGCCGTGGCTGCTTTGGAGGAGGAGAAACATGGCTTGGATGAATAGGTGGTGAGGTAGACAGTGAGAAGTTGCAACGAGGTAGTAAAGGAGGGACCCAAAAATTAGGAATTTCCATGGCATCAAGTATCGAAAGTTATCCAGTTTTCAATTGTGTTCTACTTGATCGTGATCCGGCCCATCTAATCCACAACTCAAAGACTTCCGCTCCAACAACCCATCCATCCCCTCACCCTCAAAAACATTCTTCCGTTTCCCCCTCGGCAACGCGCAGCTTTTGTCCTTTCCGGCCACTTGTCCGCAATTTTTGAGATGGGGGTCGGCGGCGGATTAGCACAGAGACGGCTACAGCACAAGGAGCTGTAGGCTCTCTTTGCTTGCTAGAGGGGAGTGAAGGGGACACCGCTTCGGGAGCCTCTACCGACACTCTCGAAATGCGCGACAGACGGCCGATCTTCTAATATTGCGTCTAGGCTGTTCGGGGCGGTGGGGCGGGAAATAGGAGGAAGAGGAAGAGCTTGGCCCATTTAAGGAAAACTACAAACAAAAACAACTCACCAACACATTGGTTAGCCGAATCGGCGGTAGCGCGAGCCCAGGGACGATCATAATAGAATGGACGGCATTGTTCACATTCCGTACCGGCTGTGTTGTGCTTGCAATCGCAGGTGTACTAAAATAGTATATTCCGGGATTTTCTAGAGAATCAACTATTACTTTCGTGACCTTTTCTACCCTTCTCAGCCTTCACCAACCGCCCAGCGCCGTGCCACTAACCTTCCCATTCCGGTCGACAATACACCGGCTGGCATGTCCATTGCATTTGCACCGCCCGCCGACCGCCAATTCACCCAGTGAATAGTAGTAACTCGGGCGGATCTCATCGTCCGTCGAGTTGGTGATGTCGTTGGCCACTCCGTATAGGTCAGCCTAGAACGCCAATTGAAATTCCCAAACCTTCAACCCACCTGATCCGGGCTAATCCTCGTGAAAACAATCCTAATATCAGTCGCTGTCACCCAGTCTTGAAGCACAGGGCTCTGCTCGAAGCTCATCGCACTTGGACGGTTCTCCAGGAACGGAAAGGCCAACCGAGTCCCAGACCCACCATAATTGTGCGGATTTGTACACAAGGCTTCCTGAAAAAAAATCCTTTTTTTCCTTCGCTTGACTTGCTTCAACGCCCCAGGGCACGACCCCTCGCCCCCCGAAACAATGGATTCCATCAAATGCTCTGCCCCCATCTTGCAGCACACGCATTTTTATGGGCGCCCCGACGCTAATCCGTGGTATCAATGCCCACTTGACGTGCACCTGTTATGTTTTTTCGTGCGCCTCCTCGAGAGCTAGGGGGGAAGGGCGGATATTGGCTGTATTCGGCTAGGGATTGCCCTCAACCGGCCCTCCATTCCAAATGAAAATCGATCGATCCAACTGAACCCAACCTGTTCGTTATGTTTTGTGATCTTCACATCAAGTTCCCGCTGGTAGATCTTCTTACATTCAGAAGAATAGAACTGGAATGGCGACCAGTTCTTCCCAAAATCCGTCGATTTCAGCAGGATCATCGAGTCCGGCATCCTGGAATTGGATGAAAAGGTTATACGAACCAGCTGCCATGACCCCCCCCAAGAAAATCCTATTAAACTGAGCCCATCAAAAAACCAACCGATTGCAGAACTGCATTGACACGTACGTCAACTCGAATTTCTTGCCGAGCGAGAGTGTGACCGTGACATTGTTTGGGTAGGCTGTGTTCGGCTCGGATACCTAAATACAGGAAATCCCATTAAACTACCGGGCCCCCCATACCCAGCAGGTCATATTTTGATTGTTGTTCAGATCTGTCATAAAGCTGGCCGGGTGGGCCTTCTTGAAATCGCTGGCATCGCAGATATCGCATATTTCGCGGAATACCCCTTCGGAGTCTTCTTTAAGCTGGCAGAACCTGGAATTTCAAAGGTTTCCTTGCCTCTCTACCGTCCCCCAACCCAGATGCTTTCAGGCGGCGATAATTTCCCCGAACAATACGATTTCTAGGCTAGTAATAGGGGGATGAGCAGGAGGAATTCGGCCACTCATGTGTTTGCGAACGGAAGGCGAAATGTGAATGGATGCCGTCTTTTCCTTCCCCCCGCCACCCATACCGCTTACTACCAAAAGAAGAGGTGTTTGCCCAGCGCCAAGGTTTTCGTGGGATAGGTTCGACTTCCGTAGTGAGGGCAAGGGGTTAGGGCACACTAGGGGGGGGGGGTTGAATTTTCAAAGAAATAAAAAAACCAAGGGAGATCCCCAGGATTGACAGAAAAAAGATCGTAAAATGTCAGGGGGGTCAGTGAGTCCCTTATCCGTTTGCGGTGGTCTTTAGGAAAACAGGCGGGTGGCAGTAAAATGCAAATTTGGGTGGGGAAGAGGGGGTGGGGGGGGGTTGGGGGTGACCCAGGAGACAAAACGGTGGGTACTGCGGTCAACGGGCAATATTTCATCGCAGTTCACAAGGGGGTAGGGAGGGGGGAGGACCATGGGAAGGAGGTTCTGATCGGTCATGGTTGTTGTCAAGGCAAGAAAGTCGATCGATTGTTTTAAAGAGACTTGGAAAACAGAGTAAGATAATATTTCCGTAATTTTCAGTATTTTAGGCGCGCTAAGTATAGTTATCATAAAAATTATCATAATTATTTGAATCGTCAAATTCGTTGATTTTGCTTAAAACCCAATCCAAATTTAATCCTTCAACCGAAAAGCAAAATTCACAGAAATCTTGACGACCTCCTCCGAAACGCCAACATTGCCCTTAACAATGGGGACAACGGGAAGAGCGCCCGGTCGGCCCAGTATGACTAATGTGTACCAATCTTTGAAACACGGGTTCAAGGCACCGTACTAACTGGAATAATCCCCAATTTTTTTGTCTAACCTTTTCCTACCCAAACCACTAGCATGTAAATAGTACTGGAACGGAACCATTGGACCCCTAATAACAAGATGGATGGAGGATTAAAGCGTCTCAAAAAACCCGAACAACCTCCCCGGTTAGCGGACTCACTTTGATGGAGCGTTCAGGCCGCAAGTGTCTGAGGCAATAACCGGCTTGCCGAAAGCGGCGTTAATAAATTCCGGTACGCAACGTTGTGGTCTTCCGGACGCATCGTAGCAGGGGTCGGTAAGAGGTTGACGCATAGAAAACTGTAAAAATAGGACGTGCCATCGAGGATTTAACGTACTTGTGAGAAATAGGCTGCCCGGGCGATGGCCGGTAGCATAAGCCACCACCACACCATGATGATTAGGTGACAGTAGGTGTTGAAGGTGTCTGGGAGGGAATGGAGAAGCTTCTGAAATTTTAACTTTGACAGGCAAGGAAACAAGCTCAAATATAGAAGCTAGAGTTCCCGATATCCCATCGAAATAATCCGTAAGGCGCGAAGATAATTTACGACCCAAAGCTTTGGCTATGAGGAGCGGGAAGGAAGGACGGCTGGATGGTGGTGTCCGAGGTTTCCGAGCCGCCCCATCCACCACCACCACCCCGCCTAAGCCCCGCCCCTTTTTCCAATCCTCTAGACCTAGCGACCACCAACTCTCTACGGTACTTACGAAAAGAAGAGGAAATAGCCTCCCCGTTTCCGCAAGGGCCCCAATGGAATTGATAGTACAATGCAATTCGGTTTGGGGTCCAGATTTTTACGTTCGAGTAGCTGGGGGAATTTGATTAGGGTAAGCGTCCCGGTGGCTGAAGTTGGGTTGGGGCAGGTCAGAGACAGATAGTAAAATTATCGACCTTCTAGTTTATGTTAATCAAAAAGGTTCGTCAAAGACAATCGTCTGATCTCAAGAATACCAATTCTTTCAAAAAAATTCTGCCTTCGACAGCCATTTCCAGGGCGTTACACACCTAATGACGTATCATAGGTCTATCCGAATTTATCTTTCCGAAATACCTCGCGAAAAGGAGGCGTTCAATTTGCATGGAAAGCGAAACCAACATATCTTCTTTTTTATAAGACTTATTGACGTATCGTATATATACCTATACTTTAACATACTTTCCATATCCCTCTATCACCTAGAATTTAGAAAAAATTTGCATGCGAGGCGGCACACGTCTGCCCTAGTTCTTTATCTGCAGTAGCGCCATATTCCAGATATTTCTCTCGTTGTAAAAATAATCACTACCCTTAGTAAGTTTCCTATGCATCAAAAATGCGTTTTATAGGCGACTTTTTCTTAATTCAGGAGATATGATCCGATCGTAAGAAGCCAAATCCCGCATCATTACGCCAGCATGTCTTACACTCCAAAAACAAGGGCGCAATTTGCCAGCCACCCCGCTGAAACACTAAATCACGACAAGACGGATCATACGAAGCACCTCCCCGGAGGGGGCGCGTCCAATTGATATATCGTGAGCATGTGCTGCGGCTGATTGGGGCCGATCAAAATTTGTCGCTGCTAACCAGGATTTGGAATATAATGAAAACAATGGGAGGACCTGGGAGGTGCAAGGATATGGATGGTGAGTGGGTTATCATCCTTCGACAGGTATGAGCCCGGAGGGTATTGGGTTGAGTTAGGGGACAAAGGGGATACCGACAAGGCTGGTTGAGGTGGAATTAACGCTAGGTATCAGGTAGGCCATGTGAATGGGGAGATTAGGGATATGATAGGTAGATAAAGGAACAATTAATTGTAGACCTGTTACTGGCAAAACGATTAAAGGGACTGTGAAGGCAGATATCCATAGCGTTAGAAATCTTATCCCCATTTCTTATTCCAGATGCGCCAATAAATTCTTGGATGTATCTATTTATCTACTTGATAAACATAATTTACGCACTTTTTTCTGCAAAATCATCAATACGATCATCCACCGTATCGTCAAAAATAGAATCATACGTGCATTCGAATAATCACCTCCCTTTTAGTAAAGATAAGAACTTAAAATGCCGGCACAAAATCCTATGTGTTATATTTTGTTAAAATTTCACATGCAAACAACAATATTAAATATTTATCAACTAAATTATTAAATGGCTGTCATCGTAACACAATTTTATGCAAAATCATCAATACTCTCATCCACCGTATCCCCAAAAGCAGAATAATTTGTGGGAATAGCGGGTGGTGAAAATTTCGCATAAACCAGCGGTGTCGCCTCGATCGTTTGAAACTCTTCCCCAGAAACAATTTCTTCACCGGAATTTCCGGAGGATTCAAGCCCGCTAGCGTAATATTCGTTCCAGTCGATTTCAGTCGTGGTCTCTACCTCTTCTAAAAATTGTCTTCATTTCTTCATTAACACTTCCGACTCGCCTCCGGACGTTCCTGAAGCCTCCACCTCATTGTCATTACTTTCAGCCATTTCCGCTTTAGGCTTGTCCACTAAAAAACAAAAAATATAATTTTCATCTATCTATGCTAGTAAATTCCGTGCCCTTCCTCGTGCATCGTACCATCTACAACCAACAGGACGACCCAAAGACATTACTATTCCGTACGTATGATAAATTACAGCGACAAACTACAAACTATTGTAAGTGACATGGAGTGCAACTTTATCACATAATTGGCTCTATGACTGGCTGGCTATTAGCTTTTTAAGGGAGAACAATCGGCGGTCAGTCGATTGAAGTCTTCCTCAAATTGATCGATGGTAGCGTCGGTGTATACGCGTTCTCGAGTCCCGGTGATGACCTAAGGAACACGTTCCTTTAATTAAGTTTTTTTCCACCTCAAGTTCAGCTCCTTTGATGGGATATCCAATTGCAAAAACGGTGACTCCTTGTCGCCTCATCATTTTGGCGCCTGGTGAAGTCAAAGAGTGGAATTAATACGACAAAAAGCACCTTGAGTAACGTCATCCTGACTGAAGCCGTCAGTAAATATGATAGCGATTTGATGTGCGACACCCGGTCGACCGCCAGGAGCCTAGGATGCAGCGATCTGTATCGAATTCATTGGACCTCACCTTGAACTGGTCAGCAGCCTTCATTAATGCTTCGTTGGTTCTTGTAGTTCCAGAGATGAATTGTGTAGTGGAAACTTTCTTCATCATTTTGCGCTTTTCTTGGAAATCTCTGGAAAGTGTGTGGGTTTAACGGCAGAGCCAACACTTACTGTAATCCAAAAAGGACTTTCAAGTGATTAGGGCCTGCATATTTCAACACCGACACCTAAACTCCGGACCATTAGGTAAGTTTACACCGACCTGGGCATTCTTTGGTCCGAGCACTAGCTTATCGATTAGTCTCGTCGTGAGGTTCAATTCTTTGGCAAAACGTTGGCTTAGAGACCCAGAAGCATCTAACATTACGACAATATCGTAGAGGCAGCCTGAAAGCTTTATTGCAACTTAGCCAATCAGATTTTCGGCCACCTTTCAGTCCATCGCGTGCATTATTCGATGGAGTCACAGGTTTAATGGCCGGGTTGAATTTCGTGTTGATATTGTTCCCTAAATTACATAGAATTCGTAGAAATAGATCTCAAGACTAAAGAGTAACAAGCAATAATTGCAATTTGCCAAACTCCACACTACACAGCGTATTTACTCTAAAAAGGGCAAACTACGAAAGACCCTAAAGACTACCACACCATTCTATCTGAACCTCTATCTTCTCCAGAACTCTCCACCACTGGCTCCTCCCCAGTCAACTGAGCTTTTTCCGTACTATCTGTTCCATTTTTCTCAAAAATCTGACTAGTCAGAAGATTTTCTTCTGCCAATTCTTTTGTGATTTCTAAAAGGATCGATTGAAGGAGCGAGTTCCTGTAAAATTCATACCTTTCTTCCGGTTCGTAATTTTGTTTGATAGTAGTTGGTTTGAGGAAGGAGTAGTGGTCGTCGGTCTCTAAAACCGGCTTAATTTCCGGAAAATGATCTAACAGCCGGAGCTGGGGTCATTCCTTGAGCACAACTCCTGATGAGTCGAACGAGATCGTCTCCAGATTCGACACCTTTTAATACTCTTTCCGGGTCACCAGCAAGAACGCCGAGTTCACCACTAGAAAAAATTTTCATAAACGGTCTAAATTTTACTGATTATATGGTTCTTGGACCGTCATGCCGAACATACGAATATTTGGGAGTGCCTGCATTGCTTTGGCTGGCTCGTCAACTGGATCTTGGCTAGAAAAATTAGATGGTTAGCTTGATTTTATTTTTTTTGTATACCTAAACCCGTCCGTTAATACAACAACGTTTGTGGTCATGTTCATTCTACGCTTCTGAAGCTCAGCCATTGCATATTTTAATGCAGCACCGGTAGCGGTCGTCCCAGAAAAGAATGGGAGATCTAGATCTCTATAAATTCCATTCTTTGTCTTAAAACTTACTTTTAATAGCCTTCATCAAGTCTTCGGCGTTCATAAAATCGTCGAAGCTAATTTTGGTCTTTTGTTTCTTTTTTGAGGAATAGACAATAGCGGCTACGCGGTCATCCTAAACAGTAGATTCACAACCATCTATGTTTCAACGTTAACATACCTCAGGTGATACCACCAGCTTCGAAGCGACCCTAGCAATAAAATCAAGATGCCCTTGCCATTTATCTTTTACAGAATGGGTAGCATCGATAATGAAAAGCACATCGGATGGGCAGACTAAATGGGAATCCTTTATCCGATTATAGACTTACTTTGTTTGGCCAAAACTACCGAAACTAAAGCCAAAATCCAAATGCAGAAAGCCCTCATCTTGCGTAAATGGACTGGCTAACTAAGTTTTTGCAGGGTCGGCTGTATGTGACCTTGGGCACCCGCCCCCTATCAATTTCAAAGCGGCTCAAGTTGGAAATTTTTTTGTCAGGCTGGTTGCACTCGTGATTTGATCGGAAAAGGGCAGGATAAAATCGGGGGTGGAGCTGACCTACCTACGGTTGGATGGGGTGTTTGAGCTTCCGGCGCTACATCCACGATGGCATACTGTGGGATTACAAACTGTTAATAGGAACTTAGTGGCTCACTTGCGATTCTTCATTTTCATTTTTTACTGTATAATTTCCATCATGTGGTAGAACTTCTAATTCATATGGGTCGATTGGTGTGTAGCCGTCAGTAACGGGATTGGACTCCTAAATTTTAAGATACGTTTACGTGGAGCTAAAGAAACAGGGGCATTTCATGACATTTAGAAAAAAATTATGGTTATGTTTAAATAAGAATCGTAGCAAATTTGAAAAGTTGATTCGGAATCAGCGCGAACTTCCGAGCAAGATAAAAAAATTCCAGCTTAAGCAAAAATCCGCTAAAATAATCTTCTACCTGATATGTTGGAGGCTTATGTCCAGGTGCGGTACCAGCTAACACCTAAATAACTCAAATTTCCGACTTTAAAAACCAATACCCACCAACCACTGGATTAACAAAAATCCCCAAAAACACCGCATTCCCCAGTGTGTAATAGCGACCGAAATTGCGGGAAAAGTTTTGGGAAATCCTTAAGAAAAAAACGAGTTGACACGAGTCAATCAAAACAGGATTCGAGACGCCAGCGGAGACTTGGACGGAAGGTGTCACCATTTGTGGGGAGCAAGATGAGGAGGTCGACCAGGGGTGCCACCACATTCTCCGCCCATTCTTTTCGTTTAAGGCAATTTAATAAATTGAAAGTTTCCTAGACAAATGAATGGCTTTCCGCATCTGGAGAAGAGTATCGCGGTACAGGTGCCAACGTCGAAATTTTGTCAAAATCTCAACCAGGTTTTCCGTGTGTTTGATCAATTTCTATCTTTCAAAGTGAAAAGTTTATTAATCACCGGTTAATTAACATACATAATTTCTAAAAATAAAAAGCTATCATGTAAAAAGGGACATTGATGCAGCGGTTAGAGCCAAGTTCAAAACCGATTGCGGCGGTGGTAATGCAAAAACGCGAGTCTTTTTCGACAAACGACGATAAGTTTTTGGCTGAACTAAAAGGAGTCAAAGTGTCAATTAGCATAGATTTCTAGACACCATTTCCAAAGTACCCAATGGACTTCGCAGTGGTCAAATATTCCCGAATTGCATGCACCGTCTCGGCCTTCAGGTCCTTGAATTCGGGGAGCTTATTCTCATGGGAAGCCTGAAAAAAAAAGGATCTTCCGGTGTGTTGGTTCTTACACTGCCTTCACGGTGTTGGATCAGCCTGAAGATGCGGAGGCGGATCTCGTATGGACCTTCGTGGATTTTTTCCTGCAGCGACGCGAGGGTCTCCGGATCGATTGGCTAAATTTTAGTCAATTTTGTGAATTCTACTAATATTTACCTTGGTTAGTCCAGGTTCCTTTCCAATCCGTTCGGAAAACTCCATCAGATAGGCGAGAAATTCAGCATCTCCGGCCCCTTCGACCTAAACGTTCTGAATTAACTAACGTATTTCTGTGATACCTCGGTGCTGATGTGATCAAGGAAGGAGGTCCTCGATACATAGTGACTAAATTTCTATTTTAATCAGTAGATCTCTGACAAACGCGTTGTTCCACCATTTTGTGAGAGCATTTAGAAAACGCGGTGAGGGATTTCCGGGAATCTAAAGTGGCTGTAGAGAAGTGTACTTGGGAATAGTCACCGGGTCCGTGCTCAAGGCTTTGACGATGGCGCGCCTGAGAATTCCCAGATGTACCGTACCGCCACGGTTGAGTTTAGCGGTGGTCAAGGTGTCCTTGGAAATCAGGCTAGCTACCGGGAAAGGTATCGTTTACCTCTAGCGCAAGCTCTACTTTTCCATTCGCATCCCATGCCATTACAATGTCTTCGATAACCGGAACCTTCAACTGAACAAATTGTACTTTAATTGAATAATTCTGGTATTTGTTAATCAATTATACCGACCGGCTGCTCGTCTGTGGGCTCGTCATCGCTTTTTGGCTCTTCCTTAATCTCCTTTGGTAGCGAGTACTAAATATTTTATAGAAATTTTAATTTCAAGGTTATTGTCACTGATTTACAGTGTCAGAAAATTCGATATTCAAAGTTGACCTTAAACTTGAGCCCGGAAATTTTGCGATACTTCGGGACGGTGGGCGAGTTCTGAAATGGCAAGCATATTAAGTTTCATATTATGACTAACATGAAAAATACTGATAAAAATACTGATAAAGATATCGTTCACCTCAAGCGCAAGATCTACAGAAATGGAATTTTCTCCTGAACAATACTTTTATTAAGTAATTCTAATATATATTAATCAATTTATACCGACCGGCTGCTCGTCTGTGGGCTCATTATCGCTTGTTAGCTCTTCCTTAATTTCCTTTGGTAGCGAGTACTAAATATTTCGTAGAAATTTCAATTTGTAAGATGTCGTCACTGATTTGCAGCGCCAGAAAATTCGAAATTCAGAGCTGACCTTAAACTTGAGCCTCGGAAGATTGCGATACTTAGGGACAGACGGCGAATGCTAAATGACAATACCCCAATACCCTATTCCATATTATGATTCAATTAGAGGTAATTTCTCGTAATATTTTACCTTCAGCAACCCTTTGAGCCGTAAGTGCATCCGGTGTTGGAGTTTGACTCCCAAGCTAAAGACCAAGCAGTTTTCCGGAACGATAGCAAAGAACGTCTCCCACATTGTCTTTATTTCCTAAAGCCATCAATTAAGAAATTTCTTTCAGCAAGCACCTGGTAAAATGCGGAAAAGTCTGCGTACCATTCGCTTTGAGTGCGGTACAGAATAGTGGAAAGTGTGATGATGCGGTCAGCGTCCTCAAGGAGAAGCAGTTAGGTTTGCGATTAGATAGCCACGGTTTTACCGAAGGGTTGACATAGACATGTTCGAAGAGAGTCGGCCCGAGTACCCACGCGTGTCGGCATCTCTGTGCCGCTTCGATGTAATCCGCCCATGTTTCGGGGTTGTTCAGGTTGGGCGTCATGTTTGTAGTTTTACAGACTTCCGGAAGCGAAAAACTGTAAGGAGGCCGTACCGAACAATACCGACTCAAATGAAGCCGGAAATATGACGAGTAATACTCAGTAAAATTTAGAAATACTAAAAAAACAGTGCTATCCGTAGGTTAAGAATGAGTAATGTTGAAATCAATAGGCCTTTGGATGGCTTTCTTGGAGGGAGCCGCTAGCCGGGAGGGCACTATCCAGCCTTCCATCAAATCAAAACATCGTGGCGGTTCGATGAGCAGTCACTGCTGAGAAACGCCATTTGTGAAATAAACACAGAAAATGGAAATGCCAGGCTTCTGGGTCAAAAATATCGAGTTTAGGCTCGAAAGGAGTCGTTTTTAAGTAATACTGGGTTTCAACGGTGTTACATAGCTCATTCGGTAGAACTCCAAATACTGAATAAGCCAACCGTACAAAAATTGTTGAATGGTAACGGCGTTTCAGAAAATTTGCTCTGGAAGTGACGATTTTGCTAGAATTTCACCCTTGGCTAACAGAACTTTCAGTTTGCGAATCGTAACCTCGAAGGTAGCTATCGCTTCGCAATTTTTGAAGAATGAGAATTGCTCAGGAATGAATGTTGCAACGAATGAGCGACAGGTCTACGGCAAATCAAGCGGCCGAGGTTAAGTTAGGATCAGGCGCACGCTTAGCTCACAAGAAGTGGTTTTTTAGATGATCTTCGGGTTGTGCGATGTGACATAACTCATTGGATAGAGCTTAAAATGCTGAAGAAGTCCCAACTTTCAAAAGTTCCTGGATGATAACGCCCTTCGAGAATCAATTTTTAAAAGTTTGCATTTTGTTACTCTGGAGCCAAAAATGGTCAAAATCGGCGTTTTTAGAGCGAATTTCCGGAAAACCGATTGCATCCAGCAATTTTTGAAAGACGGGATTTGCTCAGAATTTCAAGCTCCATCGTATTAGCTATTTCACTTCGCAAAATCCCAAGATCTCCTAAAAACTGCTCCTTGTTAGGAACAAACCAAGTGTGGTAGGCAAATTTTTCGTAGGTGGTTGTGAATGAGAAAGGGGTGGTTTTTCCAGGGAGTGGCAGGGACCCACAGTGTGTTGTGTCCAAAGTGGGAGAATGTGTTGCAATGATTCAATGGGAGGACGCGCAACCGATACGATCCCCCCTTTCGACAGACAAGGAAAGGCCCACATCCACCATTCAAAGATGTAAACTATCCAGTCGGGGCGATCAAGGGGCGCGATACCGGCTTTTGGGTGGTGGCCGAAATGAGGGGTCGGTTGCCTGCTCAAGTCTGGACCATATGTGGGGGCTGCTGTGGAGTTGGCAAAAGAAGCACGATGCCGTCGACAAAAATTGGCGTATAAAGTTGTTTTGGTAGCTAGTGAGTTTGGGTTTGACGAGTTTGGCAAGCCGCCTGCTTTAATTCTAACCCTATGGACGTCGCAATACACTAAACCCTTGAGAATGAATTTTTCGTAACTAATCGATTTCTTTTTCTTTGTTCTCAAAGCTCGGCATTTTAAAGGGATAGTGACAGCGAGCTTTATGGTTTTCCTATCACCAATTGTACCCATTACTATAGTTAAGGCCCTTTTTTGTGTTCTCCGCGCCACGGTGTATTTATGAATTGTCCCGCCCCTCAGGCCAATTTTTCCCAAATTTTCTTGCAATATTTATCACCTAGAATGGAACCCAAATTGAATAGATATCGCCATTCAGAAAAAAGAAAGCAAACCGGTAGATGTCACCAGGATCACAAAAACGGCTGAAAATGGGAGAGCGAAAGCATTTTGCAAGAGGCTGAAGAGATCTCTAGAAGCTGACTGGATAGAATGACTGGAATTATGATTCGATATTATGGAATGGAACGAGCCATCGCATAGAAAGCAAAACAAAATGGATTGTTTAGTTCAGAGGCTGTTGGAGGACGAACGCCTCAGGACTGTCGGCTGACTGTAGAGCCTTGACAATAGTGAATTTTCAGGGTTCTAGCTTCAAAAACTACCTCAAACACTTCCGGGAAGTACGGTATCGGTTGGTGTCCATTCCCAGAATGAGCCAGCAGACAGGCTTTGCAATACTAACAAAAAATAAATCGAGATGCTAACTTGGAAATTACCATTTTTGGCGGGCAACCCGTGCAGAAATGTACGTGACGAGTGGCGATCTAGGCCGATATGTGGATTTTCGGAGTTCTTCTCACCTTCAGGCAACAATCTTGGCATCGACCACTATCGAGATGCTCGAGCATGGCTCGGACGAGCTTCCGTTGTTCACGCACGATATGCATAGTGTGGGCCATCCCTAGAAATGGCACCGAATCGAAATTATAACTTACAATACATATGTAGCGTCATCGGGGTCCGTTCATCTCGCTTTTTTGCGCAAAGAGGGCACATCCGCTTTGTCTAAAAGACGGTGCCTGTGTTCAGAACCTCTAAAATTTACCTTAACCCAACAAGTACGGCACAAACCGTGTCCACACGTCAACGCGACCCCTTTCTTCTCTTCCCATACCTCTACAAAGTTCAATGTAGAGGACAGTTTTCGAGCCTTCTCACTAGGTTCCAAGCAGATTGGACATTCGGCCTCGGTGTTTGGATACGTATACATGTCGAGCGCGGCGTAGAAAATGATCGTTTCTCGACGGTGATGCTAAAAATATTCAGAAGGCCGTGCGATGCTTACTGGATCCTGTTTATTGACGCATCCCAAGCATTTTAGACGTCCCTCATGCAGGGTCGGGCGAGTGTCGCCCTCGCCGGTGTCTAAAGGCGTATCTCGGAATGAGGCGGGTTTGTTGACTTACAGTAACGCCAGCAATGTGTGCAGCATCGTGCAGAGTACGGTGTATGTGGATCGTAGAGGTCGCTGCCGGACTGAAAAGAGTAAATTTAGCTTGGTTGTCGTTGAGTTATCTTACTTGTTGAATCTGTTCATGCCATGCGACCGATTGATACAATTCATACCACTGGCCCGCGATGCAAAGGTACGGGCAGGCACTTGAGCTTTGCGGTAGAGCTGGTGGTGGGCGAGTTACCTTAAAGATATCGATTGAAAGCGTCGATCAACCCCTACATCACAAACCGGCAATGAACATGGCCGGTAAAGAAAGGCTTGGGAAGGAGGTTGAGGCTCTGGGATCGGGGTAGGAAGAGGTGGGGCCTAAGAACGGTTGACTCCAAAGGTGCAAACGCACCATTTGTAAGAATGGCATGAGGTTCATCATGATTGGATCGGGCTGTGGGAGGTAGCGGGCCGGTAGATGATATCCAAGCGCGCGACCTTGCCATGAGTAGGATAGTTGCAGACATTGCTGCAGAAAATCCTGGTTTCCCGGCCGGGTTTCCGGTGGCACAAAAAGCGGTTGAACCGCTGGAGCTTGATCGGCTTGTCTCTGCGACCACTGGTTCCGATGTGTAGCATGTCGACGTCCTCGATCCATGCTAGAGGCGCTTTAAAGGTGTACATTAGTCAGAAAACGACAAAAATCCATGAAAATAAAAGAGAGAAATATAAAGAAAAGGAAGACCTAAATATTCAAAGCATCAGAATTTCTTATAGCCACTTTAAACAATAGAAGAAGCCCTCAATCTCAACCCCTCACCAAAATCAAAATCGATTTTGCATCCGAAATCCAAATATCGCCAAACAAAACGCTGTGTCAGCGGCAGAATTAATCCGGCGGTCGTCCGCCGCTCGAACCGGAAGCCATAGTCTGGAGGGGTATTTGGTATCCCGCCACAAATCCGCCTAATCCTTATAGGTGCCCCTTTTCCGGTCGACGGCCACAAATTGGCCCTATGGGTTTAAAAGCTAAATACTTGTGTGCGGATGTGGCTGGATTAAAAAGGCCAGAAAAAATCTAGACCGCTGTACTTATCTTGAAATAATGCCTGTAAAAAGCATAGACCGCTAAACATTTTCTGGATTTTAATATCTTAAAAATACAGTGAGACAGCGCTGACTCAAAATAGCTGAGTAATCAAATATTATAGCTGATCGCACCGTGCGAAGTTTGTAGCCTCCATTTTTCCAGGCGCATGATAAGCGTATGAGCAGGCTAATTTCCGGTTGCAGCATGGCATTGAACGGTCTTTCATGGCCTGATTTTGCTTCCAGATTAAATATATTACTAAATAAAGTATTTGTATGGATCGCAAAAAAATAAACGAAAGACTATGACGCTCGTTACGAATCGATAAACAAATCTGCCTCTAATTGCTAGTCCTGGTCTATAACTGGCCCCACAACCAGTAAGTAGCTAGATGAAATTTTTAGAGTTTCAATGCCTGGTGCCATACTACTTTGCCCTGAGCAAAACCTGAAACGATTTACTGGAGCTTTCGATTGTCTGAGCTCCCCGGGGAGCCGGAAATTAGGCATACGGCAATCCGCATGACTGAAAAGGTATCGGCCCCTAATTTCCGCCGTCAGTGCCGTGAGTTTGGAAGCTCTGTAAACCTGAACTTCAGGATCCAGGGAATACATTTAAATTTTCAGGGTTTGATTTTGAAATTCACCAAATATCAATTTACATGACGGCCTTTTTGCTAATGAAACATATTTTCGTGATGCCTTTAGCTGCCAACCAACTTTTTGTAAACAATTGTGTTAAAAGAAAACTATTTGTTAAAAAATGTTGTCATAAAACCTATAATATTACGAAGGAAAATATAGGGCAGGCTCTTGTGAACGACAAAATTGGTTACGATTTTAGAAACAAGCATTGAGAAGTTCAATCACCAATTGATTAAAACAAGCGCTTTCCTTTTATTTTTGCAACTCGAAGCACATATCGTTTTTAGGGGAAGAGTAGGACGGGAGGGACACCAAACAGTCCGGCACCATGCACACATTTAGGGCATCGCAACATGCTCGTCACCGGACATCCGTGACATGGATCACAGGCGGTTCCTGAAAATCCGGCTGGTAGGGAAAGCAACAAAATTAAGATATAAGCTAAGGTAAAATCATAAGCTATAGGCCCAGTTCGTAAAATGTGTCAAAACTAGATTCAGAATTGAAAAAGTTTGCAAATAACTTCGATTTATGCCTTGCATTGGTATTGCTAGGAGCGTTGTGGAGTCTAAGTGTGAAAACCTAACGTGATTGGCCCAAAACCCATATCCATTGCATATCCATTCATATGTTAGTATTTAAGGCAATCCAGAAAAACAGACACCTTTCATTATAAACACCCCTTAATAATAATAATACAATCGCTATTCAAGGTATTCAAAAACATTAACGCCACGGTATTTTTCATACAGATCTTGTATTTTTTCTCACCTTTTGCATTGCAGCCAGCACACGCAAAGAACAGTTTGACGAAGGTCTCATCATCAAGGCCATAGTGACGCTTCCGATTCAAGATCTTGCACTCGTGCTCGAACGTTTGTTTCGCTAGGCGCCAACTCTCCTGGAGAGGGATCAAATGCTGCATGGTACGCGGAAAGGCTGGATAGGCCCGACCAAAGGGAGAAACCGGAGCGGCTGGGTCCTCCGGAGGGTCTTGCCGCAGATCCGGCAGTTCTCCGTCGCTCCCCAACGAATTCTGGCTGCCCGAAGCCACAGAAATGATGTTGGCAACAGCTCCTTGTAGATCTAGTGGCAGGCGCATCGAGGATAGGTAGAAGACGTCCATAAGTCGGAGGCCAGCGAGGGACGGGCGGTTTGCAGCCTCCATCGCCATGACCAGTTCGAGTTTCAGCGCCTAAAGCGTTTGGATGCCGCTTAAATTCTCATTGTATGCCTACTAATCACTATGTAAGACCAAGGTCATACTACAGACTTACAGATACCATGTCGAATTGCATCATGTCGCTTTCACCCAGCGTGCCAGCCGCTTGAAACATTTCCATGCAGGCCACCTTTTGGTCGTATATCTTCATCTTCTAAACACCAGGTTTATAATTGCGAAGAAGAAAGGACGCATTAATTATTGTGGCTTACTTCCATCAGTTTCGGACTCATGTGAAATCCCTCTGGGTTTTGCTGCATGAATTCTTCTGCAACATCCCAGGATGGCATCCGTTTCTGCACCGGCAACATGCCCGAAACTTGAATTCAGGATTGCAATAGTGTAAACTCGAAAACCTAAAAATCTGTGGCATGAAAAACAAAAAAGCGGACGCCAGAAGATTTTGGAATGGATAAGGGGAATCGATGGTAACCGAGGTAACGGCCCTGTTTCTCGTTCGCCGGGTAGATCCCGGGTTATTCTAGGGATTATCCACGTTCCTGATCCTCCAATATCATCTTATTGGGTTGAATCCGCTTAGGACTATACGTGTATTGGGAAAACCGACAGTTACGGTATGAACATCAATTTTTCTGGATAACCAAGACCCGTAAAAGGGCTATCGCGGTAGCCAAGAGAAACTATCGCCAATGGTTAGCCTATTGTAGTGAGATTTTGACTTCCCAGGCCCTTGAAAACCTCGACAGCTTTCGACAATACAAGGCGTACAAAAAATGAACAATAATCCGCAAATACCTTTCGATAGTTTAACGATGCGCTCAAATGAAAAACAGGGTTGGCAACTGGCCTCTAGACGAGATGGATTGAAAAACAAGGCGCGGAGGAGATGATGCCGGGCCTCGACAGTTTGGACAGTGTGGGGCGGGAGGGGCTTTTGCCTGCGTCTCCGCATATTTCACACAGCTTTATGTTTTGAGTAATGCCATGGATCTTGTGATGTTTACGTTAAGGAATAGAATGGAAATTAAAATGCGGATCTCGCATCAGTTAGCCTTTTCCACCGATTATATTTTAAAGAGCTAATGTGTGAAAGCGCTGCTGTCTAGCCCTTTCCAGCGCTTACGATTATTTCTGCCAAAATCCTGAGGATTGGACACATTTTTACTACTACAAAAACGGAGCACTAGAGGTGCTACTTTTTGGTGACCTATAGAACCCAGGCGCAACTAACGGGAGGCGTAACGGATGTGGGCATAATTTTCGCGACATGGGACAGGAGGGTGTGCGCTCCCAGGCGCTGAGGACTGCCCCAAAAAACCCCAGCCGGGTCCGGTAGGGCTGAAAAACATGGGCACTGTAAGGGGAGGGGCAGGGGCTTTTCCCCCTGCGTCTCTTCACATCTGATACAGTATCTGTGAGCCGGGGGACCCGAGGCGAGAGGTCTGGGCAAATGGGGCCTTTCAAACGTTTGAGGGACCAATCGCAGGCTGTCAGGCGATTGGAAAAAAATTTTGGAAGGCGAAACGGGGGTTGCACATTTAAGGTGCCAAGAAGACGAGCGAAAAAAGTCTTAAAGGCACCGGCAACAATTTGGGTACCGACCGCGACACACAACGCGCTGCCGCGCCTTTTCTTTCTTGAGCTTTGCCCTTATCCATGTTTGTTGTTTGTTTTTTTGTTTGTTCTCTTCACAGCAATATTTACTCCTGAAAAAAATGTTCGATTAACCAGAAAATTGTTACAACGGGTGCTGGGTGAGATCATGTCGTCGGGGCGTGATCGGAATTAAGGTGAATATGCGACATGAATCATTATGAGTGCCAAAACCGGGGCATGGATCATTAAATGGCAAGACTAACCGGGGCTAAGTAGAGGGAACAATACTAACGATGTGACTAAAATTTCTAGTCGATGGAATGTCGATGTCATGACTAACACAGGGTGCAAAGGGGACTACATATTACAAGCTCTAACATATGGCGAGAAATTAACTAGAAATGCACTAACAAAACAATAATAATCAAAAAATCAACAATACAACAAAACAAAGCTTAAGGGTGGAGGATGCCCTTCGTAAGCTCGCATCCCATCAATCCACGGAAAGCGTTCATATCCTTCTGATCGAAAGTCAACGGTCCGCGACGAGCCGCAGCTTCAGCATTTTGGCAAACGAATAGTCCACAATCAGTCTCGTTTCCCTGCTCAGGTGCATCCTGAAAGGTCGAGAAATTTAGACGTACAAGCCGATCACATACCGGGATCACGAAAACGTCAAACTCGCTGGCGTCGAACCGGTTGAGCGGCTTCTTCAGCTTTTTCGCAGTAAGATTTTCAGACTTGCTGCGCTTTGTCAGATAGTCGACGATCTGGACTAGCACGCGGTCACCACGAGCCCGATACTGTTGCAGAGAATCGAAATAGTTGATTTTCTTCTCCTCGAAATCGACAACCTAATCGCTGACGTTGGGTAATCTAAAGATGCACTACCACAAGCGACCAGTGTGACTTGTTGAGGAAGATGGGGATCAGCAAGATCGAGTAGTCGAACATACGCTCCTTACGGTTCCAACTAAAACAATTCGAAAATTGCAAAAAGTTGAAATAGCCTACGTCGAGACTCGATCATATCCACCCTCCTCCAGCTGGGTGTAGAAAAATGTGCTGAAAGCAAACACCTACAAAAAATATCTTTTCTAGCATAGCTTTTAACCTTTGGCATATCGTGTCTGCCGTTGTTGCGAAGCTGGATCAAGTGCAGGTACGCGCTCAGTAAGTTGTCATTCAGCTTCTCGTCCGCTAAATTTGGATATGATCGCCATATGAAATGTAAACCAACGCTCTAGTGTGTTGAAATCGTCTTCGGTCAGTTGGATGTCCCCATAAGTCAGATATCCATCACCCGACTTTGGTGTTTTGCGCCAAGCAATCGCTAGCTTCTCATCTAAATTTTATTGAAGACCAAAATCGATGCGTTCTTACGATCGAGCCCTCCAATTTTTCGATACGGGAAAAGTTTGCGGCATGCTAAAATATTTTCTATTCTCTAGAATGCTATAAATACCTTCTCTAGTCAATATCTGTGGAGTAACCGGTTTAAGGACCGCTGGCTCCGGTTCGGGTTTCGGTGGAGCAATGTTACGAGCCCGGCGGGCCGCCAAGTTCAGATCAGTCACGACATGTGTCACCAATTCGGGCACTAGAATCGATTAACTCTAATTTTGAAAAGGTAGCTTACCTTCGGATACACCGGGTCTAGCTGGTTTGCTCGCGCGACCACGACCACGTGTCTGTCTTGAAGTCACCGATCCCTCGCTGTTCACAGCTTCTAAGTATGCTAATTGCAAATAAATCAGACTCCCTACCGGCATCGCCTTTCATTTCCGGCTCTGGGCGCATGCTACGGGTGGTTCTCCTTGCGGTTTCTTCCGGTTCAACCGGGCTGGCGGTCTTCTTTTCATACGAAGTTTCTGTAAATATCGATAAGTATTGGTTTTTCAAAGTTTTGCTTAGAAGTTGTGTATTTCGCGCGGCTTACCATTCTCTTCGACTATGAGAGTCTGTTGTGTGTTCCGGCTGGGACGGCCGCGACGAGTTGCGTTCTTTGGCTCGGCTGGTTCTGTAGTAGTGTTGTGTTCCTTGGCAGACTTTTCTTAAAGACAAAAGGTTATGACAATGCTTAAAGACGCAACCTTTCTCAGCTAGCGGAAGCTTCACCGGCGACTTGGTCTTAACCTCCTTCAAAACTTCGTCCGCCTTGTCCTCATCAACTACGGCGCGCCGCGCAGCACGCTCAGCCCTCGTCGACTTTGCCGGAGATTCCAAAATTTCAGAGGCCGGAACCACAGCTTTTTCTTTAGACTCCACTTTCAGGTTTGCGCAGGTCGTATCTAGGGATCCGAACGTCTTTAGCCAGTTTCGGTACTAACCTTTTTGAACAATTGTCTTGCTAGGACTCGGATGTGGTTGCTTCGGCTTCATTATCTCCGTTTCGATCAGGTCTACATTGACATTCAACACTACATTGATTACTAACAATATTTTTATTGGACTGAAGGATATACCTTGCTCCTTCTTTGCGGTTTTCCGTTCAGGCTGGGGATTTTGAAATTCAGTCGGCTTCTCCTCCAATTTGTCCGCAACTTTCAGCTTCTTCGCAACCGGTCCTTAAGATTTCCTTTGTTACCGATAAGTAAATTTTTGATACCTGGCACTTCGGCTTGCCGCTGACCATTATCGCGCTTGCTTCTCGTCCGCGGAGCTTCGACGACAACTTCTTGGGTAAGTTCGGACTTCTTCTCTGTCACCTTCGACGTCATTCTCCTGGTGGACTTGCAGAATTTCCGCTCTTCTTTGACTAGCTCTGCATTTATGCTAGCCGTTGCTTCAACATTGGGTGGGCTTCCCATCATCAAATCTCCAAGACTATCAAACTCGGGAGTGCTCCTTGTCGAGCGCCTTGTGCATGCGCCGCTCGAACTTGGGGTGATCTGCATTTCTGAAGCCTTTGTAACTTCGGTCCTCGCTTTGTCGTGGTGGACCAAAGGTTGAGATTTGGTTTTTACTTCCGTTTGGCTCTTCTTTTCCGCGACTTTCTGCACCTTTGATGTGCTTGGACCCCCGGCAGGGGCTTGTGGTGATACCTGACCTCCCTGATCAGCCAATCTCTTAGCTGCCTCTTTTGCCTTACGTATCGCCGCAGTTTTGTTCACGAATTTCATAAATTTTTCGTAGGCGGATCCCTCGCGCGTCGCAAACCAACGATCCCTTCTTGGTGGTGACGGTGATCGGGATCGAGGCGGTGGAAGTGGTGGGGCTGGAGGGACCAATGTGTAGTGTCTCGCCAGCAGCGCGGTGACTTTCTATAATAATGTTGCAGCTATGATCGTTGATATCACCTCTTCGGCCTGACGACGGCTGTGCACAAGTTCGTAGTAAGTCTCGTCATCCAAGCCATTCTCTTGCGCCGAATTCCAGCATTGATCATTCCATTCGAGGCGTTGTAGCAGGTCGGGTGAATTCTGAATTAGGTTTGCGCCATCAGAGATTGTCTAAACTAACCGAGATGTAATTTTTGACAGCAGCTGGGGTCAACTTGACCGTTGCTGGTAACAATTTCGAGGCCAGTGAGCGGAAAAACACCTCAGGCACTTCCAGACGATCCGGAAGTGGATGCCGGCAAATCGGGCGTTCTTTTTTTACTTTCTTTGGACGTCCCATCTGTAATACCTTCATTAGCATTCAACCGCAGGGTTACGGTAGCAAAAATTTCGAAGGCAATGCAAATCTTGAGAAAATGCGGGGAAAATGGCTTATTCATTTTAGTTTTGCCCTAGCAGCAACCAAAAAACGTGACTTTTTCAAAAAAGGTGTGAATTTCATTGAAATTTAATGAAAAGCTTTTATTATCCGTGAGCCGCGACGCAAACAAGAGAGGCGGTGGCGCGTCGGGCCGGTCCCACCGGGCGCTCCTATAATCGACCGGACCCCGCGCGAAGGTGCCAGCCGTTGAGGCCGAGGAGGGAGCAGCTCCTTCGGGCACTCGTATCTACGGTAACCGAGAATCAATGTGCACTGTCGCGGTATATTGATCGAGAGGAGAGGGCCCCGGTCAACAGCACCGGATCTGGCCGGTGAGAATTGCTTGAGGAAGAAGGAGCAGGACATGGTCACAGGAGTCAAGGGATTCCTAAGGGGTCATAGGGAAATTCGAGAATGCAGGAAAGGCTAGAAAGTTCTAGAAAGTAAGCAGGACGACAGGTGATAAGAGGGATCGAATCGTATCGGTGGGGAAATAAAGTTGGCATTGGGATATCATTGAATAGCTCTTAGTTCCACCGTCACTTCTCCCAAGTGGCAAAACTTTTCCCTATGCGATTACTAAAGTTAAGTTCCAAAGCTTGCCCTGAGAATTGCCGGTAATTTCAGGTTGTAATGAGGCCTCACCTAGCTAGCAGCAAAATATAAATTACAATTCGAAACCTGGACCTGCGGCTACTTCCAAAGAAAGCGTCTACACCATTTTAAATGAATTAAAAAGCTGGTATATGACGAAACCCCTTTCTGCTCACTAATTTTGAATTTTGTGCGGGACGTGGGCCATCTGCCTAGTGGAATTAGCCAAAAGCGGCGATGTACCAGCGAAAGAGGGTCGGGATTGATAAGGTGGCACTACTCGAGCTCGGGGACGATTTCGAATTGATATCAGGGTCTATTGATGTTGATTGGTGAATTGGTGATCTAATTTGGTTGTAAATAATAAGTTTGGAGTTGCGGGGATTGAGCAGTGAGGGGCGGCGCTGGTTACCCCGAAGACCTAACGCCTTGATCGATATGGGTGGTCTTCCAGGTGCCAGGTGGGGGGTCTGACCGGTACTGTGAATTTCACGATAAATACATCCAAGGCGATGTAAACTGAAGCTCCATACCAAACACATAATATCAGGGGGGCCAGGAAGTTGGAAATTAGAGGGTGGGGAATACCTTTCGCGCTTTTCGATCGCATATGACCACAATTTCGTCTATAATTGATGGAAAAGCGTGCAAACTCGTTATATTTTGCGATAAATCTGATTAAAATCATGGAAAAATAAATAAAAATTGATGTAGCTAGAAGCAGGACGGTTTACACTGAAACTCACACCATGCACCTGGTCGCCATGGCAGCCCCTACCGCAGTATCGGCAGATGCAAATTCTGCCAACCAAAAGAGTTTCGCTTAAATTTTTAAATGTTTTTATACAACGTAATTTATATGAACACGTAATTCATATGAATATTAAAGATTTTGGGTCTATCATAAAGTATATATTCAAAACCAGTGGAAAAAGACCGCTTCGTGGCCATTTTCCACTGGACCCCGTCCCGGAATCATGAATTTGAATACCTTCGTTTTTTAGCCTGCGGCGCAAGAACCTGAGTAATGACGCCATTCTTTGGCCTGCGGCGCCAGAGCCAGCGTTCCGCTAGAACTTTTGAGCCTGCGGCGCGAGAGCCTGGGTCCAGGACCCATTTTTGGCCTGCGGCGCGAGAGCCTGGGTCAAGGGCCTTTTCTTTGGCCTGCGGCGCTAGAGCGAGAGCCAGGCCTAAATCGCGCACACCGAGAGCCTAGAAATATGTTTTGTTGCTAAACTACCAAAAAGCAAAAAGTTGTATTTGCCCAGGATCCCAACCCACGATCCTTCGGGTGGTAGGCCAGACGCAATTTCACTACACCACGGGGGGAGATGGGAACAGGCGGCGGGAAAGCCCTCTTCTGTTCCGGGGAAACTTGGGGCGGAGAGGCACAGAAAAGGCCGACCCCATGCCCCGGGGGGAGATGCCTTCTGGTCACTTTACAAAATTAAGTTTTCGAGTCTGAATCTGCAGAAAATTTGTTAAGATAATAAGATGCGCGTGATCCCCACTATCGAATACATAAGTGGTCGAAATTTCAGCCCGAAATTCCAAATGCGAATAGAGTTATGCCCCGAACACCACGGCTCGTCGCCAATTTTGTTAAGGATTTTTACTATTTTGCTTGTAAAATTGTTAAAAGGAGGAATTTCGAAAAACAAAAAAATGCGTGTCTGACAAATGTGTTTCTCCACCTCCATGCCAAAAATCAGCGCGATATTCGGCCTGACGGCCGAGAAATCGTCATTACAGAAAACAAACATACTTTTCTCGCTTATAGGATAGGATTCTGATTTTCCTAACAATTGTAAGACCATAAAGCTCCCATACGGTGTATTTACCTCATTACTTCCAAATAAATATACTTTATTGCTCATCTCGGGGGGGGGGGGCACTGAGTTATAATGAGAAACTGGTAGGATAATGAGTCAAAATTCTCGTGGGGCAAAGATCCTTTTCCATTAGTGAAGCGTGCTGTGACGTGGCGAGAATGTCTGCGAACAGTGAATAGCACCAGCAAAGAAAACAAAGGGTTTGCTATGCAATTTTGATGATTACTATAGAAGTAGTAGTAGTGAAGCGTATATTATTGTTTTAGATTTTGCACTTAGAAGGTTTTTGAGCGTGTTTTGATGAAGCAAGTCACTATTTGACGGGCGGGTAAGGCACTGAAGCGAAACGGGTAACTGAAGATAAGTGTCATGAACGGGTGGAAATAGGCGGGGAAAGGGGGGAACTGAATAATTGGGGGCATCACAAATAAATGGGTCTTTGGATAAATATGGTAAGGATAAAGCATTTGGGGGTGATTATGCCATAGGGGTAAAAATTTGGAGGAGTTGTTTGGCCGCCTTTGCGAGGCCATATGCGGCTTGGCAAGTTAGCTCGCTGTTGAAGTTCGGTGAGTTGCATTTCGCGGCGAGGACCTTAAAGAATCATTTTTGCAGATTTCATTGTTTCATTGATTTTTGAGGTTATAAAAACTTTTACTTACCACCGTAGCTTCCGACATAGCAGCCGCAGCCTTATCCGCAGCCGGAATCCCTGTGGGAACCAGAGCCAACATACTATCGACTTGAGCACCGATCTAAAACCATTAATTCAGATTTTTTTTTGCTTTTTATCTGACCTTTAATGCATGCTCCCGTGCCTTTGGTTGAAGCACCCCCATCTGAGCGTCCTTCAAAACCACCCGAATCAACCCGGTCAGTTGTTCGGTTTCGATGACGATGTTGTCAGGGAATACTAAAAAAACTGTAATTTTTATAATAACAGCTAGTTCGAGACCACATGATGCCACTATTGCAAGAGCCACCAACAAAGAAGCTTGGGCTTACCGCTACATTTTTGGTGATTGTCTCGCTAAAGGGTTCTGTTAGGATGTTTGGAAAACTTGCCTGAATTCTGGAAGATCTCCTGGATTCTGGAGCCGTGTTCACGAGCGTATTCTTTGTTGGAGAAACGATCACCCATTTCGCGGTCTCGTTCGCGACTATCACGAAGGCGCTCAATCTCGATGCGCCGTTCTCCTTCTCTGTAAAAATGTTGTGGTACCATCAAGCTTGGTAATACTTTAAGTTTAGTCTAAACTTTTTAAAGCAATTTAAAGTGAAAAGGAGAGTGTTTGGACCTACCGGTGATGATCGGCGCTCATTCTCCCGCTTGGAGTAGCACTCTTCTGGCTTCTACCATACCGCCGCGTGGCTTCGTCAATATCGGATACTGGAGATATCATTCTAATAAATCTTTACCCCGTGATATACCTGATTGCTTCGGGACGCTGCTCCCTCTTTCGGTCATAGATTGTGAATGCAGTGGCCCTCCACCATTATGGAATTGACTAGCCATCGTTATTTGGGCTTGTTGTGGTGAGTGAACCGATTGGCCCATCCCAACCAGTCTACGTTGATTATTCACTTGCTGCTGTGCATCAGCGAGCCGGGAGATCTTAATCAAAAGTTAAGTCACTATTTTCGGAGGTCCTACCTCATCGCGAATTGACATATTATCGTCATGCATTTGTTTCATTGTGATTTGTAGTCCGTTGACCAGCCTGTAACGAATTTAGTGGAAATTTGGAAAGATTGGTACTTCAAAAGTTGCGAATTGTTCGACGATATCGTGGCGATTTTCGCCTCCGCATCGGCAACCCGTTCCCTCAATTCCAGGACCTCGTCCTTCAAATTTGCATCGTCGGCGAGATTTTGGGTGTGGCTAAAACACAGCTAATGATGGCAAAAAGCTCAATTACGCATTAGAAGAATTGTTATTTGCTGCATGCCGGTTTGCTGCAAAGCAATCTGCTACGTCATCATAATCGCGATTGCCATCGGATAGGAAAGTGTTGTGAAGGCTGCTGGAAAGGAAGTGATTAGTCGGAAGGCAAGGGTTTTTGTGATTACTCAGTTTCCAAAACTCCATACCTAATATTATTTAGTTGTTTCTGCGCTACTTTAGGAGATATCGGTATTGGTCTAACAATATTGACATTAGGATTGGTGAGGAAGGGTTGGGATAGAATGATAGGTGGGGACAGCCGGTGCTCAGTTTCTTCCACATCTTCCGGTGGAGGTAAATGGATTAGCCGCATTTTCGGTTCCTCAGAATATTCGTAGTATTGATGCGCCATTGGGCGTGTTCTTGCAGGAATGCAACAAAAAGGCAGTAGATACAGGGGCATTCCCGGGGGTTGGAGAAGATGCTAGGGGGAAATCCCGGAGAAGAAGGGGGAGATCTCTCGGCCTATCAATTATGTGCTCAACGGCGAAACCCCACCCTGTCATTGGGGCAAAAAAGGAAACATGTCCTCCCACACCTTACCCATTGGGGTTACAAATCGTTAATTACGGTGCTAAACGCTACGAGATGTGAGAGGTATTGGGTTATTAAAGGGAGCAAGAAGCAAGTGGTTAGCCGGGGAATTTGTCATAAATTAGCCAATATGGTACTGATTAGTATATTTTCCCAGGTGAATTTATCCAGGATTGAAGATAGCAGTTCTGTAAAATCACAAAATTCTAACTTACGCAGCGGTTCCCGACAAATTATTCGAAGTTTCCGCCGGCTCGTCCTCATCAACATCTGGGGGCTCGCCGAGGAACCTTAGCGTTTAATGCACATTATGGACGATTTGTTCCTTACCTTCGCTTTGCCTCTTTTAAAACGTCAATCACAAAAGCTGCAAATTCCCTGGTGTCGTACTTTGCCAATTTTTGCCTCATCTGGTTTCGCGTGGCTGTTAGCTCCGGATTTAGCTAAATGAACAGTTATATTTACAGAAAGTTGAAAATCACCGGTAAAAACACCGCGACCACGTTCTCATTGCCAAGGTTCACTTCTCCTCTGGTTAGAGCAGCCCAGACAGCTGAGATTTCGCGACGGTCCGCCTAAAAAAAAAAGATTAAAAAAAATCGGTTTGATGAGGCGATTAAGTTAAAGCCAACTATCATTGTTCATACGATTACCTCATCATAAATATCCTGCGTGAACCGTTCAAATTGTTGTGGACTGAGACCCTGAAGGCCGCGACGGTGGGGCTTCTTGCTGACGGCAGACTTTCCGGTCAGTTCCGGTATTAAGAAGTGGTTCTGCTTCTCGTGATCGGGCTTTCGACCACACAGGAACAATGAGAGGCGATTGGTCACTTCGAAGCACAGTTCAAGCAGACGATTTGACAGTTCCGTCTAAATATATAGAAGAATTAACGCCAGATTAGGTTAAACTTACAAATCCTTCGGCTTTTGCCACTTGAGCTGGTGTTTGGCCTCCAGCATTTGGCCTCGATGGGTCGCCGCCATAAATGCAGAGAAGTTCAACCTTTAAGATCATTCTAATTTACAAAGTCGTTGTTTAGTTGTACCTGTAAAAACTGTCCTTCCTTCGCCGCCACGTGTAGAGGCGTATTGTGTTTTTCTGGATCAGCATAAGCGGGATCAGCTCCCATAACCAGTAGTCTAAAATAGGGGTACATATTAAAGTATATAAAAATACCGCAGGGTAGTATCCACATGATTCGTTCTGACACAACTCCAGAGTTGTCGGTTCAAGTCATCCAAATCGACCGGAGAGTCATCTTTGTTGGGGTGAACCACAAAAGCATGTTCGACGTATTTTGCCTTGATGAAAGCTTCCTTGGCTGGGAAGACAGGGTCGCTAAACCGGAAGTTGTGTTTCTTAATAAAAACTTACTATGGTGATGGCTTCCTTCGGCCTTTGGAAACTGATTGGTCGAGGAGGGCATGTTCCCAGACACGATTTGCACCCGCCTAGAATGCTTACAATCAGGTTTGTAAGAGTTATCATACCTGATGTAATGCGTAGATCAGCTCCAGCTCAAATTGAGACCAAATACCCTTCTTGATTGATCGCACATGGGAGATGTGGCGGCCTATAAGTTGGATTCAGAAGTTTTTTTCACTACTTTTGAGGACTTACCAAGATTTCGGTGAACGAAGCAGCACTCATTGCAGATGAGAACACCTCGATTTAATGATCCCCACGTTGGGCTATCGGCTGAGCAGTCTGCACATTGGAATGGCGCATCAGCTCCTGTAAAAAGATATAAAATATAATTTAATACTGATTAAAAAAGCACGTCGGCTTTTATAAACTTTCTTTATCGCTGGAAATGTCATAGTATGAAAGAACTTGTGATTTAAAATGTAAATTGAGTTTTTAAAAAGGTTTGCGACATAAATATAGCAATATCTCTAATTTTACGCCTTTCACGCCAATTTTTAAACTTCATAACTTACCAGTGGGTGTTAATGGAGTCATCCCAAAGCCACCAAGCGCATCGACGGCTAAAATAGAACTATAACTTCAATTTAATCAACTAAAATGACTAATCGCTAAGGAATTTACGTTATCTTGAACGGGCTAAACGGGGCTAAAAAGGCACCCTAAGTGGCCGCGGGCGTGCCGCGTTGCGGTATTGCAAACACTAAGCGAATCGGGGGGTTGTAAAGGAACGCGGCGGCGAATCGGAGCCCTGATCCCCCTGTTGGCAAGTGTGTACGCATCGATATCAAACATATATCGTGCCCCTTGGTTTGTTTGTATATTTATTCAGAACGGCTCAAAGCCGAGCGGAAATTGTTTCCAAAAATGTATGCAAATTGGAGAAAATGAGAAAAACACGAATAGGATGATACGTTGAACCGGGGAATGGTGGTTAGGTAAGTAGATGGCTGTTATAGCGTATGGAAGCTTGAAGAAGCAAGGATTTAAAGCCAAAATAAAAGTTTATAGACGCTTATATCTGCCTAGGAAACGGCCACATTGACTACAGCTGTGCTCGACATCCTGGCAGGTATCGATGCAGAATGGGCAGCAACAACAAATCCAGAATCTGAAAATGTGTTTTTTGTGTTTATTTTGAGCATTTTAATTTTAAGTTTTGGTACCCCCGAATAAACCCCAAATAGCTAAACCTTTCCCGCCAAAAAGATAGCCTGGGGGCTTGGTATTCCGTTATGCTCCACTTCCCTGAGTTCTATTAATGTGCCGAGGCGCTGGCAAGAACTTCGCCCACCCAGATCCGCAATTTATTTCAAAAAGCTACTGAATGGCCAAAAAACCTAATTTCTGTTCGGTAAAAGCTTGAAAGTGAAATTCACTGCAAAATATGAACCAGGATTTTAATATCGTATCGTGGGGTTCAAAAATTTGGTCCAAGGTCCAAAACCTACATTTCTTCAGCGTCCCTGGTACGCAAAAACGGTACAAAATGTTTTGACTAGCTCTTTGACAAAACACAGTAACCCAGAGAGTTCAAATTGGTACACAGGATTATGGTAGTCGCATCAGAACATCAGACCCAGCTCAAAAACCGATAATCCGCCCAGATTCCTCAAACAGACTCACCCAAAGAAAAACAACGCCCCACATAACAGCCACGTCAGGATGCCGCTTTCATGTTTCAGCCTGGTTCTCGTGTGTGTCCGGCAGAATGGGCATACAATATCACAGGATCGAGGGCCGAGCTTGACGTGGAGCATTTCTAAAGTTTGGAATAGGCAGATTAATCAGTAACTTACGTGTTACATTATATACCGCTGGTTGTGGCTGTTGTTGATGTTGAATTGGCGGTAGTCGGGTATGGTAGCCAGGCATTGGTTCTTGCTAAAAATGGTCGTGGATGAGATCATGGATGCTAAACTATAGCCACAGTTGTGGTGAATAAGAGGTCACGGGAGATGACTAAGCGTAAGCCGTGCGGAGTCAAGACCGAATTACCATTTCGTATTTGGCAGTAAGCTGGGATTTTGGCGGAGAAAAAGGAATTACCGGGGGTGCACTTGGTCCCGCAGGGAAAGGTGGCGGTACCGCATAGGTGGCCGGTTGCCCATGTTTGTGATCTGAAAAAATGTTTGAAATTTAGTCTTAGTGCTCTATTAATCTTATTTTTTATTTGATAGTCGTTTTTAAAAAGCCTTCCTCAAAAACAAAAATTATTCAAAATTCAAATGTGTCTTTGACTTTTCCCAATGTGTCTTTGTGAATTTGGCTTTATTTGATCACAAAATATTGATTATAAGATTAAATTCATATTGATGAATTCGTCGTATATGCTATTTTTTGCAAGCTATTTTCAAAATTCTAATTTTAGAGGCTAGATTGGGTTGGAGTTTGAACCCTAGATTCTTCAACACGGCGGGTTTTATTTAATAAAGCTATGTTTGTAAGATTGTACCTAGTTTTTAGTGTTGCGTCATTTTAGTTACTAGACCGTATATTTGAAAATCCATGCGTTTAGAGCTTAAAACTATTGGAAATACAAATATCTAGAGTTTCTCAGCCGAGGTACCTTGGTCTAACTTAATGATATGTCATGACCATAAGCTTCTAACATTCGAATTAACTTTTATGGGTTAAACATCAGTCTATTTCAAAGTCTTACAACCATTCATATCTTCAAAAATTTCACCTCCAGGATACTCGCTATACGGTGGCGGCGGTGAGTCGGGCATCGGAGCGTAGCGGAATTTGGTGGGAATGAAAGAAAAAGTGGGTTAATCAAGAAGAAGGGGGGCAGGGCCCGGAGGAGGGAGCGGGAGCCGTGTGGAGGGCCGTCGAAAATCCCGAGTTGGACGTTGCAGTTGGGGATCGATATGAGAGAGGGCCACAACGACTGCTGGGGTACAAGCCGTTCCTCTTCACGTCTGTGGCCTAGATGAGGAGGGCTTCTTCGTGCGTTTTCTGTTAGAGACGCCAAAACCCTCGGTTATTATGCAGGGGGGGATTCGACTGAAATGAGGCTAGATAAACAGGAGATGAGATGTCTAGTCTGAAATTGAGTGAAAGGGCTCTGGATCTGATGAAAGAGTGCGCGTGAACTTCTCAGGAGTAAGGTGTGAAAATAATGTCATTTGCTTTAGCTGAAATACGGTTGGTTCATGCTCCGGAATTACCTATTATTTTTGTTTTCTCCACTCTCCGTGCTCCCCCTTTTTCACGCATGACATGCGCATCAGAATGCGCTGTGTGGGGAGAGGGCGGTTGAGGTGGTGGCTGTTGGCTGGTATGCAGATCGGAGCGTTCGGCCATACATATATCTGATGGTCAATCTTCGGGACGGTGCTCACATGCCTCATCAGATAACCTAGATACAAGTCTCCATAAACGGCCTGTGGGGAGGGTGCGAGAAACACCCTTCTCGTTTGTCCGAGAAACATGTCTTTAGGTCTGGAATGGCATGTGCACGCGAATTTTGGAAGTGCTATAGGACATGACAAAACCACATTTTAACGATAGTGAATTTTGAGGATTTTGACTGAACATATCTCGATTAATATAACCTCGTCTGACAAAAACTTCAACGTTCAAAATACCGCCCGATTCGAATCTGGACTTACAGAATGCCGAACGTTAAAAACCCAGCACTATAAATTCAGTCGGAATATCCAAAATATCGGCTGCTTGAGCCAACAACGATAAACCTAGTGGAAGCGACGTTTTGCTGTATTTTAGTGCTCGGAAATGTTTGATGTTTTTAAAGTGTATTTTTTCAGCCATGGCCTGATAATGGCACAGAACCATCAATAAAATTGAAGATGTCAAAATTCAAAATGCTGAGCGGAATGCGATTGTTTTTTGGAACTGGAGCTGATAATTTTTATCATTGCTCAATATCCGCTCAAGAAGCATCGAATCCAAAAAACACCTCTTTGAAATCCATTTCCTTCCCATCCGCGTTACCAAAATCCAGTTCCACGCTGCCACATTCGGAGACCGTTCTCCCCTCAGGTTCTCACCCAAATATCGTGCGGACCAAATGCCTACCCCGTGCCCTCCCTGGGAAGTGGCATCTCGCCGTCGTCGGGATCTTGGTGCTGGATGCCAGATGGTGGGGTTCGGAACCTGTCCCTCAAAATATCATTCTCCCCCATCCACCTCCATAGGCATTAGCCAGCCCATCTCGGGCGGGAAAAGCGGCTCTCGGTCACCACCAAGAAGGGCGGCGAACAGGACTGGAAGACTGGATCGACGGTGTGCCCCGTTTTTTTAGACCAATGGAATTAGAGGTCACTTTAAATCTAGTGATTGATTGTTGGAATCCAATATAAAGATAAAAAAAGATATAAATTATTTGAATATGGTAACCCCCATCAAAAAGGACTTGAAGACTTAAAGAAGCTATAAAAACGCCACTATATCAGAACCTCGCGCTCATATCGCAATTCGATGTTGACAGAAAGATACTCAACGGGATTATTGTAAAATTACATTGTAATTTTACACAGCGGGATGCTCGAGGCTATTCCAAAAATCTGTAATAAATGTTCAAAACCTGATCAAAACCCGACATCCGCCCAAAACCAGCTCGTACTCACAAAAAACGTTCCATCCTGCCCTTTTACAGCGCACTCTGTCATGGATTGGAATGTGGGCTGAAATTTGCATCTATTGGCTGCGCGGGACAACTCGATCCGGTCTCGATTTCGCAAAATAAACCCCCTACTAAATCGCGAGAACGGCTCAAATTGTTGCAAAAAATCGTCAATCAATCGAGTGGATGTTCACCCCCAGTGTTCCCAATTATTGATCAGCATCTGATGAGATGAGCAAGAGACACCAGGTCTCTCCATAGCCATCATCTATCTGTGTCCGAAGACGGACAGTGGACAGTGCGAAGGTTCGAGTCCGAGCTCCGCCCCTGGAGCAACTGCTGGCGAGCGGTGCTCCCCCTCCGGCGCAGGCCATCCTCCTCCTCCTTGCACCACACCACATCCACCACCGCCAGACTATCCATCCACCTCCTCTGCCAAATACTTCGAATAGATACAGTCATGTACCGACTATTGGCCGGGCTGGCCTTGGCTACATTGGCCGCTGCTGCTCCATCTAATCAGAGGGTTGTTGTGGAAAATGGAGGTTTGTCATTGTTATAGATTTGGCTTAATTTATGTTGATATTGACATCCGAGCTTTTCCAATGTTCCGAATATCAAACTGTTCTAATGTTTATAAGCTTTAATACGTCTAACTCAAAACCATTAGGCCGCGATTACTTAAATTAACAGAAATTTGGGCTGGGTACAGTAGGTCACTCAAGAATTTCATGAAAATGTTAGTTTTTAGCTTTTTGCACTGGTGTCGGAATCCATTAGGTCGCAGTTATGCAAATTAAAAAATTTTCGAGCTAGCTAAAGTAGAACCATCTGGAATTTCATGGAAATACACGTTTTGCCCTTTCTTTGTTTGTGTAAAATAACGGAAATTAATTTACATTTGCTTTAGGAAATCCAAAAACTGACAGAATTATATTTTAATCTGGTATTGATGTCCTTTTAGACTCCAGAGATTTTGGCCATAATTTTTGAGCAATTTTTTACTTGAATTTTTTGCCTGAAATCTTCCAAGTCTTCCTCGACGCTTGCCTAACCGTTCCCTTTCATTGATCCCCTCTCTATGGGAATCCCACTAATCCGCAACCCGCTGATCTCAATGTCTCCAAAAAACCCCACCGTCCACTCACCTTCTCCCCCTTTCCTTGGAGGTCAATAAAATAGAAAGCGATTGTCCCAGTTCATCCTCCACTATCCCAAAAAGGTTATAGCTTTCCCCCCTTCCGGCACTGTCCACTAAAAAGGTGCGAACGGTTCCGGCCCAAATATGTGCACAGTCATAGCGGGTAGCTAGCTAGCTGCTCCTCCACCCCTCCGACAGGATTGTGGGGATTCTTCTTTTTGATAGAAGAAGGAGGCAACGCGTTAGGCGGCTCTCGTGCTCAGAAGTCAGGCTTTGATTGGCCGGAGCAATGGATTTAGTGGCCGAAAAACAGGCTTTTCCTCCCCTCGCGCTCAGGCTCCCGACAAGCCGCCAACATCCCAGCGGCTTATTGGCGCTTCGTCGGGGTTTTTTTCAGGGTGAATGGCGCCCTGCCAAAATTCAGATAGAATCTGCAGGCGTCGAGAAATCCCGATTTTTCAGCGATATGCGAGGGAAAAGCCTCCGCTTTCTTCGTCGTCGACAATACAATGATGACAGCTGGAGATAATGTGATCTACAAGGATTTCAGCGAGGAGGAATGCCTTAGCACTTGCTCAACGAATCGGGTAGGTATTGCGATGTAAAGTTGAGACCAGAAATTTCAGGATCCCTTTGGAAGATCGATTCTTTGCTCGTCTTTCGTCTACGATCATGTTGCCTTTACCTGCACAATTTACAAAGACAAGAGCAAGCCAGAAGGAAATGGTGAAAAGACGGCTGTTCAGGGAAAACGCTACTTCGAGAAGTTCTGCCTGTCTTGTAAGTTTTTTTTATGTTTTCCTGGTGTTCCTCCTGCTCTTTGCTATTTGCTACAATGCACATTGTGTGAAAGGCCAGCCCAGTTCAAGTGCTTAGCTATAAGTCAATTTTCTGCCCACCGCCGCGGCCCGGTTTACGCGTTCAGGTTGAGGAAGCCTGGCGCCAGCTAATAGATCCTCCCGACAGTTCCTCCCGCACCAAAACCTGCCAATTCCAGCCGACTTGCCGATGGAGTGTGCCGATGGGCGATTCATCCGCTCCGACGACTCGGTGCTGGTTGGATTTGCCACGAATGTCTCGTTGAGCGAGACGCTAGAGGATTGTGTGGCGACTTGTGTCCGGGATAAGGGATGTTTGGTGCGTTTTACCCCCGACAAGCACCAACAAAAAACAAAGAATGAAACTTTCGAGGTTTAACCTCCATTTTTAGTCCGCCATGTACTTCTACGAGGAGGGCGAGTGCATCACGAACACTGAATCGGCACAGACCCGCCCTGCCGCCTTTACCAAGGAAGACACCGAGAAGGTTCTGTACTTCTCCAACGGATGCCTGGCTAAGAAGTCCTCCAACGCCAAGACGTTCAAGACTCCGACCGCTAATACAGGTAATCTTCATAAGCTCTTCACTAAAAATTTGCATAGAGCTTGTCACCGATGCCCCGAAGCCAACTACCACCACAAAGTCGCATGCTGAGGATTATGGTACGTAATTTTCTAGTATTTATAGGTTGTTTTGAATGGCATCTCTGATCAGCATTATTGAACGCAGGCATGGTTAATTTACATAACTTACCTCAAATTCCCGATATCAGTTTTCAAATCGTATCTTTCGCTGCAACAACTTTCGTTCTTCCGCAAACATTCAGTAGTTACAAGCGTAGCGACCGGACCCATCATGCGTGTACACTTTCTTTCATTCGCACCACCCTCCGCAGGCGTGATTGTGCCTTTTGAGCCTACGAAGCCACCCCGAACTATCCGGGGGAGGAGCTCGAGTGTCATGTGTGGACGCTTTTTATTTGTGTGGCATTTTAGACAGGTCGTCCGCGGCGCCCGAGGGTTCCGGTCAGCGCGAGTCGGGTGAGAAATCCGGAAAACCGGCCACCGGCATGCCACCAGCACCCAAAAAGGATACTGACCAGGGGAAGGAAGAGGAGGATGAGGAGGAGGTTGAGGAGGAAGTTGACGCTGGAGCTGATGGGGAGAAGCATGCACCAAAGGGAGAGGAATATGATGATGGTGGAGAAGCGGCTCGAGGAGATGAGGAGGAAGAGGAGGAAGGGGTTGAAGTGACTGATGAGACTGGAGCCGAGAATAATGAGGAGGAAGAAGAGGGAACCGAATCCACTACCACTACACCTAAGACCACCGCTGCACCCACAGGCATGCGTGACCGTACTTTCTTAGATTTTATCTTTCTTTAATGCATGATTATAGCTAGTATCTTAGAATCTTTAGCGTTTCGCCGCAATTTTATTCTGCACTCGATCAGAATTTTGGCGCAAATTTAATTCTGAGTCGTTAGAAGCATGAGCCCTGCATGATGAACTTGCATCAACAACCCAAAATAGCGTAGGCTGGTCAACATTAGTAATTTTAGAAACTGAAGAAACGACCATCGTCGAGTCCGAAGATGTCGATGGAGAGACAACCATTGATGAAGAGCGACAGGTTGAGAACGAGTTCATGGAGCCAGCCACCGAAGCCGCTCCCCGAAAGCATGTAGGCCTGCATCCCCTTCCCTTTATTTACAAGTTTTTTAGTCAAATGACCGCACTAAGATCCTGAAGTTCAACAAGCCAGCTCGTGAGTTTGGAAGTAAGACCGTTCAAGCCTACAAGGAGGATAGGAAGGTTGGTGGTCATGTTAAAAAAACATACCACATCGATTTAGACCAAGAAGAAGGCCGAGCAGCAACAGAAGATGATGGAGGAGGTCGATACCGAGGATGAGGAGGAGGAAGAGGCGGAGGAGGAGGAAGAGCCCGTGAATGTTAGGGCTTCCGCTCAGGCTGGGGTACGCTTTTATAACCAGTCTTGAACAGCCTGAACAAAATTTTGTTTAAGCTAGTATGAGCCTCAAATTAAACGTAAATTTTCAGGAATTCCTGCCCAAGCCCACCGAGACCACCGTCAACCCAGCTCTTCTATTTTCTGAATGGTCTGACTGGACCCCATGCACCAAGAGCGGTGAGAGGAGAGTCCGCAGGAGAAAGTGCCTCGATCTTCGCAGGTATAGAAAATACAAAACTGGATATGCTAATTTATTTACCTTTAGATGCCTTGGAGCTCTGATGCAAGTCGAGAACTGCCCTGCTGTTACCACTGTCGCCCCAGTCCCTGATGATTACGGTATGAAATTCAAAATTTATGCTTAGAATATAATTGTAGATCAACCGCCACTTGAGTCTGTTCGATCGATTGTTCCTGAGCCTAAGGATTCCGATTACTTTGCTGATCAGGGTAGGTGTTTCAAACTATTCATGCTGCATTAATGACACACTAGTGGATTCAACGACAAAAACGGTCATATATGTTTTTACTTCCGAATTCCAGGAGCACGACCGGTCCCCCTCCCTCCCGCTCCAGTTGAGAAGAGCGGTGTCTGGAGCAACTGGCTAGGCGTCTGCCAACAGTTCGCTTCCGGGCAACCTTGCAACAACGGCGAAATGATCGGTTTCGAATCCCGGGAATGCTTGGCCAAAGACCCAGATCAGTGCACTGGACCCTTCTTCCGGTACTGCACCCTCCACTGCTAATCATTTCGGCCATCCCCCCGCTCAATCCCTAGAACAAAATTTACCTACCCACCACGATCACGTGTTCCCAAATCGCCAAAAAATGGTGTCATTCTTGCTCCTTGTTTTTGAAATTTGTTGTCGCCCAATTTGCAATATATCACCTGCTTCCGCAATCTCTAGACGTCACTCATCTCAATGTTTGGTGCAATATACTTTTTGTGTTTTTCTTGGTTAATAAATATTTATTCGTTTGCTGGCGTCGCATGGCAGGTGCAATATTGTGATTGGTATTTTTCGTTGCAATTGGGAAACCAGCAATTTGCGCTTGGAAAGGGCAATTACTGCCCCGTGACCTGTTGTTTTAACATGTCTAAAAAGAGTTCCGGAACAATTCGATAATTATATACCTTGATCTGCAATTTCCCCTCATTTCGGGACTTGTTTTCAGCCCGCTCAGTAATTATTTTGCGGCGAGCCCATTTCGCTGCAATACCTCCGCTCTAGTGGAGATGGCGAAAAGGAAAAACAACTCTGCAGTGTTACTCGATAATATACCTTGTTTACGGTGAAGCCGAGTTAAAGGGAGTGTGCCTCCAGAAGAGTGTTGTGGCCCAGCACAGCCCTGATAATCATTTTTGCGGCTTTCCGGCAAGCCTCTCAAAAAATGGCTGGGAAGCGCAGCAGCCTGCGGGGTTGACCGGATAACAAAAGTGCAGATGGTGGTGGCAAGGAACCTGGCACGGCCAGGAAAAACAAGTATCTACTCGAACAAGCACACAGAGTGAAAGAGAGGGAGAAAGGGGTATGAGAGAGAGAAAGGAAGGGAGGTCAAACCTATGGCTCAGCGAGGCGGGTTCTCCCTTTTCTTTTCGGAGGGTGGAGGAGCAGTTGTTTTTTACCTGTGTGCTAGGATCGGGTGGTTCGAAAACAACATGGTTTCATAAAAAATTTAAGATATTGTGGTAACTTTGTGTATCTATCGAAAATACTTTAGTTGGTTAATGATCATTGGGATCTCTTTATCGATCGGTATAAATTTTACGCTCCAGATCCTACGGTAAGTCTTCAAAATTTTGGATAAAAAATAAGATTTTTAGGATACTACGCATATCCATCTTTTCCCAATGACCCCCGCCACAACCTGATTAGCATTTCTTCAAAATATCGCCCATCCCCCCCTTTGACGTCTCCGAAAAACCAAGATTCCCACTGCGCCGCCCGACAAATATCGTCCAAAAAAACCCCCACGCAGCCCCCCCCACCCTCGATTTTGACTTTCACTAACCTCTTCCCTTTTCCAGTCCTGCCTCTTGTGCCATTCAAAAGATGTTCTACACCCCCCCCACCCAGCCAACCTCAATATTTGCTTCCAATATCTAACAAAAAAACCCCGTCGTTCGATCTCGCTCCTCACTCGTTGAGCGCTCCTCATCTGCGGCCCGGGCTCCATGTTTTGCCTCACCCCCACTTTAATAACAAAAATTGTTCGCTGTGGATCACGCGTGGTGTTGCGGACTTTACCCTCATCAATTGAATCGCTGCGAATCTGATGTGACGTTCCTCTCAGCTGCCATTTTGCAAAGATTGGTCGGCCGTCCGCGCATTTTTTTGTTCTTTGGCAACCTGTTTTCGGCGTGAAATGCCGTTAATAATAATGCTATTGGCGTGACGGCAGTGGCTAGTGTGACCAGAAAGGCACCATAGCCCGGGGTCGGTTGCTGTGTTTGTGCGTGTCCCCCCCTTGCAACGGTTGCTCAAGAAGCAAACAAGCAAGCAAGCAAAAAAGTATCGCGCTTTGGGCACAGAAAGGAACGGTGGAAACGACACGTTGCAGCACTCAAAAATGTTCGACGTTGTTGGGGGATGGGGAGGGTAAACTGGCTCTCAGATTTTTGACTGGTGTGTGGTAAGCAGCTTATTGGGGTTGTGGGCTACGACGAGGTTTTCAGGTTGGGTTGTGTGGCTTGTGACAGTATTTTCATGGTTTAGGAACTAATTTTCAGCCGGAAACGACTGTTTATTAAGCTTGAGCTCGAACTCCTTGATCATGAACTAAGTCGATCGAGGAAGCTATTTTGTAGACACCTGTCAAATCTAAACATGGTTTTAAAAATGGTAAACTCAACTTAAAGCTGAAGGCTTACCGTTTAAGCGAATTTTGCAGGGTTACGCAGCTGCGTTGGGTATCACTTAATCCCAACCTCTTATGCGTTTTCACTTCAACCTCACTTTAGTGCGTTATCAAAATCGCAATTTATTTCCACGACTCATATTCTAAATTTTATCAGATGCAAAGTATGTTAAGTACGTCTTTCAATCAGCTTTGTACCTTCACATTTCCCCCCGTTTTTAATTCCATAGATACCTACACTAGCCAAGAAATCGCCAGCCAAATCAAGGGGAACAAGGTGGTGGATGGTGGGTATGTCCTTTGCACGGTGCTAGGCACTGTCACACCGCCACCATTTCGTACCGCCATCATCCGCCCCTGCCTCGCAGCAGCCACACACACAGCACATCGGGATTCACAACCTTCCCGGGAGGCCGTGCCGTCCCGTACACCAATGGCCTCGCAACGGCTAACGGGCCATGCATTGCATTTCGTCATCTTGTCTTCCCAGCTGGGGTGTTTGTGGGGGTACTGTATCTCGGCCGCTCCTTTAAACTGAATTAAGGCTTCTCCCAGTTTTACCCAAAATTTTCGTAGTATCTTTTTATTATTGAAAAGATTTAGGTTTCGAAGATTGCAAACATTGCAACATTTTTCGAGCATCAAAGCTTAATAAGGTCGCAAAGCACCAATTTCCTCCACAATTTCCCTTTTTTATATGCTGCGTCTATCCCAGTCACTTGAGTCCATAGTTCTCTTCCACATCCGGTTTTTTTCCCGAACCTCAATCCCCTCCAACACTTCCGCATCTCATTTCCAACCTAAAACAGCATCAACCCGTCACCTGAGAACCCCCAGATAAATTACATATCCCACCAATTCCGGCTTGACATCATCCTGACCCCCGTCCATTTCTCTTCTTATCGCCCGGCCAGTCGCCATTTATTTCTTGTAATCCCCCGCCTAGCTGTCGCCGTGTCGGGGCTTCCTGAATTCTGAGCATGACTCGAAAACAATCTCCCTTATTGGGATTCGGCCGCTCGATTTATAGGCATTCGTGGGGGGGCCCGGGAATGTGGAAAATATTGGACACGTTTGAATTTACAGTCGGGGTGATGCTGTTTGTCAGGGTGGGGGGCGGTTTTATTAGGGTCGAATTTCATTGTTTTTGTCTTTTGGCGTGGTGGTTCTGTGGAATGGGGGATGGTTTGTGCGGTGAAAAATGTATTTCATTATTATTTATAGATCTTAAAAACCGAATTTAATGAGGAAAGATACCCATATACAAAGAACAGTTTCCTGTAGGAATTTTCTTTGAAACAATGCTTGTTTTTTAGTACAAAATTTATATGTGGTCTGCAAGTTTGAAACTAATGTTTTCAGACCCACTAATAATCCGCAACGATTACAATTTTTTTTTTAAAGTAAACGATTCCCAGAAAATTTAACCTTTGGGGTAACTTTTCAAACATTCAGATCAAAAGATTCAACTAGGATTCCACCAAACTATACCCCCGATTGTTTGCTACGGAAAACCCAGCGAATTTGCTCGAAAACAACAGGCGTGGGTAGTGGCGAGTCCGGTGCACACCGGCGGCTTATCTGATCCCTCCCCCTGAAGTGTGCCCGAGGTTGGACAGGCTCGAAAATTTCGATATGTTTTGCTTATTTTCGGATCGGTGGCACGATTTCGAATGCGGATATACGTCCGGGAAGGGGGGCGGACTGTTTGCGCGTCGCCTTCCGCCTGGCGCTACCAGGCATTGTGCGAGAGAGTGAGGGAGAGAGAAGGAGAGAACGATAGACCACCCGGATGGAGTAGTGCATTGTGGGGGCTGTGCTGGCTTTGCCCTTTGCCCTCTCTAGTCCCTCCTCGAATTCGTGCTGACTGGGGTGTTGCCCTCCCCAGGTTCCCCGCACTATAGCACACGCCCCAACACACATACATACACACACCCAATTCGACCCCCCTCCCCGGCCCCCTAATGGCCAATACACATGCGTTAGACTGCCCTTTCCCTCTTTTCCATGTACTAGTAAATACGCATCTGGGGCCCTTGCTTACCGCACTATATAGTTAATGCTCGTGATAATGCTCTTAGCTTAGAATTGGTTAAATTTAATCGCGATTTTTGCAAAACATAAGATCTTTGGCTGGGTTTATTGTTTTTAAACATTCTTGGATCAAACTTTCAATTCAGCAATGGAACACGCTTTGTTCCTTGTTTTTCGATGGAGAAGTAAAAGCGAAACTAGGGCGCTAGTCTACCACACTATAAAGTTAATGCTCTTAACTTTAAAGTAGTAAAATTCTGTAGCCATTTTTGCAAAATATGATGCCTATTATGAAAATTTATTGTCCTTTCAATTACGCCATTGAATATTCTTTATTATTGCAGAAACTCTCTACTTTTTCGATAAGCATTATGTAGAACTTAACGAGGTTCAATCAATCCATTACTCGTCACTTAATTACTTGCCATTTTTACATCCTCAATGTCATCAATAGCCCAAACTAGATCCTACTCCTATTTACCATCTAGCTTCGCCCCGAAAAAAACGATGTGTTTGCCGAAAACCCCCATTTCATGACTCACTATTTGTCACTACAAGCATTGTCAGAACTTGCCATTATTTACCTGTTATTTCGCCCGCGAAAACACCTGCCCATAATCTTTTCGTCGGCCGCCCGCCACTTCCGCAGCAACCTTGTTATTTTCCTATTATTATGGGTTGCCCCACAATTATCACCCCAAAAATTGAGGCATAAGCATTTTGGAAAGCCGGCCCCGGCCCGGGAGAATATTTTGTCTAGCCTGAGACTCCCCGTCAGCATATCAACATATTCTTTTCTGCCCAAAAAGTGTAGACAAAACATATGGTCTAGTCTTCGGTTGCCACGCCCACAAAACCATTCGCGTCAGTTATTCTCTTAAAACTGACGGCTGTTAATCCTCGGATTATCGACTAGCCAGAGCCGAGCTGGCATTTTGTCTGCCAAACACTAGACACGGCTTCTAGTGCATACCAAAGCACAAGGCCCTTATTTGGGACGCGGGGCTCGGCGGCCCGAAGAGGGTCGTTTTGTTGCCGGCTTTTTGGCCCGAATGGACGTTCGTTGGAGTGGAACGGAATTTTGTTATTGTCGTTTTGCGCGTTAAAAGGGGTGATGAAATTTTGGAAATAGCGCAGTGTTGTAAAACGGAATTGGGCCAGTTTTGTAAATAGAAAAGGCTCAGGAATGATACTAAAGTATATTAATTTCTCAATGCCACATGATGTAGTTTAAAGTCGAAGAGCTTAAATTTCCGGTCAAACGCCAGAACTTAAAATTTGTCTCTACATCATAATGTTTCCCTGCTGACTAGATTATCCTATATTACGTGTTTACCGCGAGAGGTGAGAGCCGAAAAGCGACTCATCTCGACTTACTTGGTCTTTATTGCAATCTGCGTCAGCGGAGTGGGATAGATTCAAATGTTCTCCCCCCTGCCAATCGTCGTGTGCTAAAATTCCCACCGCATAGTTCATACGCTGCCATTGTTTTCGGCTTCACCCTGACGTGTGCCCCCCCCGCAGCAGCAGCCTCCCCCTGTTTTTCAGGCTTTTTTCTCGGGCTATGCGTGTGGTGTATGTGTGTATAGGCCATCTCTGCCCAGGCGAGCAAAAGCTCTCGTGTGTCGAGCATGAAACAAACAGCCATCCCCCTCCACACAAGCTTCAACCTCCCACATCCCCCTCACGGTCACATGGCAGGTTCACATTGACAGAGCTCAACCTATTAGGAGGATTTAGTAGCTTGTTGTGAACTTTAGGAAGCAGCGTTTCCGTTAAAATGCCATTGTTTATGCTACACTTTAACACGAAACTTTTGGCTTCCGAATCTCAGTTTTGGGGAAAACAAATATCTTTCTTTATCACTTCCTCGTGAGGTTTCTCTCCTCCCACTTCTCCCTCCCCCCTACTTCGATCCTCGAAAAACTTATCAAACCCCGCCTGCCCACCCCCCACACACACGCGCAAAACAGACTTGCAACAGTGAACACAAACAACCCAATAGCTCCCCCTCACCTCTCCCCCCAAAACCGCGTGTGCATTTTACGATCGCCTGAAGCCCCCACCACCAGATTCACCACTCCAACCCCCCTCTCTACCTCCCCACACACCCAGCAAGCTTCACCCCCAATTTCCTGTCTTCCTCCCCGCGCGTATCCCCCACTCACTCAAGTTTCAAAATGATTTCACCGTGGAAGAGCGGTCCGTGATTCCCGCTAATCCGTTGCCCAAATAGATTGAGGTGTTTTTGGGGAGGGCATGGGGGCTGGTAAGCCAGGGTCGGAATCTGTTCCGCTTCCCCATCTCCAAACGGTTCCACCTAGCGCGCTTTTTGAGTGTTTTCGCCGTTAGCATACTTTGCTACCTTTATTCCTTGTTGTACTCTCAAGTAAATGATGAGTGCACGCAACCTGTTGTTGTGTCTTTTTGCCTCCTTGCTTGCACGAGAGTCCCGGGGAAATCGCATGTTTTTCATCGGGGGCTCCCTGCCGAAATGCCGTTCGCCATCCATACGAAATAGCGCCCCGGCAATTACAGCAATCACTCCAGGTGTTCGGGGCGGGGGGGAGTTCCCTGGATCTTTTTGTGCTCCATGTTTTGTGTGTTTGTGAAGCCGGAAAACGGGCTCTGCTAGCCCCGGGGGCACGAAAACAAGGTATGGAATTCCTCGGGTCTCTGCCCCCCCCACCCTTTCCACTCCTCACGCACCCATCAAAGTTCTTTTTGGGCCCCTGCGGGCGTACGAAATGCGAAAAGGGGCCTCCACACACACACTACCATCGACATAAACAACCTCCAGGGCCCCCTCCACTTCGAAATCTTGAATCTCGTTTCAGCGCCGTTTTGTTGTTGTTGGATTTGGCTAGGGCGGGGAGTACACTCTTGGGCCCTAACCCTCCTAGAAGAGACTAGAAGACACCCACGATTCCTTGCCTTCAATAAGCCGTTAATTAAGCCACTCCCCAACGAGATAATCTCTATTCAGCAGCAGCAAAATAATACCTCAAGAAATTCGCGCTGTTTTCCACCTTCCATTGTCGCTATCTTGTATTTCTGGGTACCATTTACAGACAAGTAAATAGTCTAAATATACTATTATTTATCCCTTTTTTGCTGTTCCAATTATTCTATTCATTCTCATAAATATTTTCCCCGATCTTCATCAAGGCTTCAATCCCAAACCACCGCCTGCGTAATCGTTACGCACTCATTAGGGGCTCTCATGTGGTAAAGGGAAACCCGTGCACTTCCGCCATTTTTTTGTGTTTTCCCTCGACACTCATTTTCACGAAAATAATATGATGAATAATTTGCAGACAGAGTACATGAGTGGTACTGATGACTCGGGCCCTCCTTCTGGAAGGGACGGCGCCGAATCGGTTTCGTCGGAAAGTAGGGAGACGAAGCTGATATTTTAATATGTTAATTTAGGCAGTTATGCACGTTCTGGCAGCGATTCGTCAACCAGCCGAAGTCGTCCGGATTTTGGAGCGCCAAAAGATGCATGCCCAAGCCGGGTAATTTTTAGTAAACCAATGAAACCCCTCTAGGGAATATTAGCCATCAAAAGAAAACATAAGAAAAAGAAAAATTTCTGAGCACCGTTCGGAACGCTCTTGATCTCCCTGTTTTTCAACCTTTTTCAACACCACTTCCTGTCTCGGAATTTTGTTTTCGCCGACCCCAACTACAGCACTGTCCTCGGCACAGTCAACCAGCTCAAAAAATGCTTCGAGAGTCGCCCGGCGAACAAATAGGGCCCCCCGCAAATTAGCTCCCATCTACTAGAATCTAGCCATCCACAGGCCGCGCCTATGCTTCGAGCCGCCAACATGTTAGTCTTTTGTTTTCCCCCGGTTGAAATTCAGCATCGCCTAGATAACCAAAAGCACATGACAAGCAGGAGGGCGCGGGAAGGGCTCCCACACTTCCACAATGTTTCTTATCGCTAAATAAGCCAGTAAAGAGCAGAAGAAGACAAAAAAGAGAAATATGAGAGGCTGCACGCGAAGCAAAGGGGGCAGGGTGGGCCAAGTTTTTGCCTGTTGTTTACTAGTTTCTTGCGCCTGCCCAACAAACTTTTCCTCACCACTTTTCTCTGAACACCTCTGCGCTTATCTCGGCGAACTCGATCAGGCGCTTTTTAGCGTCTAATTTCTTGCAGCGATCCCTCGCCTCCCTCATCCATCCCATCCATCCACTTCTCCACATCCACTACCCTCACTCACTCCCTCCCTTTTTCCATTTTTCGCACCAACAATCAGTATACGCGAAGACCGAAATTGTGTTTGTCCCATGCCCCCCCACCCACGCAGCAGCCCCATTTGAAGCCCCCAATTTTTTTTGGGTTGGTCATTTTGCCAAAACCAAAAAATTGCGTTGAATAGGGCGGGCGTGTTCATCAGCTAACAATATATGGGTTCAACAGTGCCGCTCGGTGGGGGGCTCTATTGCTTTACAGGCAGCCAAAACATGTCCGGTTCTGCGACCAAACCACAAAACTTTTCATTAGTTTTTGAGGCTTATGTAGACCTTCATAGAGTTATTTCTCCCAAGCTAATTTGCCTATTCAATGCAATAAAATTTTAGACAAAACTAGGAAAAACTACCGTATTTGATTTTTCGAATACCTATACTTATATTGCTCTGAATTCTGTTCCCTCACAAGCCTCATTTAACGCGGAAGCGCGCACGCAAGCATCTGACAGCCAGCCATCAACAGTAAACAACTTGTTATGGCAATCTTGCAAAGATTTTGTAAGGTTGCTTGACTGACGAGGAAAACGGCAAAACTTGACATAACAATGGCGAGGAGGGGCGGTTTGGAAATGCAGATGTCCTTATTGTTTTTCCGGCTTCGTGCGAGGGATTTCGGGGGGAATAATCCCTGACGGAGGGAAAGGGTCACTAGGGCATCAGCCAGGCTGGGCATCGGTGAGTAGGCAAAATTTAGATTGAAATTTCGAAGTAATCATTTTTCTGTGAGTTGTCCGGTTTTGGCGAAAATCCCCAGAGCCGTTTTCAAACTTTAAGAACTATTTTTCTCATTTTTTGACCTCAATACTTATGTAAATTTATATAATTATATAATTTATAATTTCGGCTTCAATTTCAACGATAAACACTGATTTTTAGCCGGCCCCGAAAACTTTGAACTCTTAAAAATATTTTCGTTTTCTTGACCGTATTTCTTGGGTTACAAAAGTCCTTTTTCATTTGCTTGACCTGACCCAGCTAGACAAATTCCAAACGCAAAAATAATTGAATAATTTGATTTCAAAAATAAAATCTGTTTTTCAGCCCCTCTCCCCGGAGACTCAACAATTCCCCGCCACCGGCATGGTAATACGACAAAACCGCACACCGCGCGACTTCTTCTTCGTCAAAACCCTTGGAGAGGGCTCGTTCAGTACGGTAAGCACAGTGGCAGAACTTTACGATACCACCCAAAAATACCACTAACAAGCCAAATCCGCTCAGACCCCCCAAAAACTATGATGTCAGTGCTATGTTCGGGCCGATTTCCGGTGGGCCTGTGCCCTTTGAGATCGGAATTTTATTCGTCTAGCCCACCTGTTTACGAACGACCTATACCACAGGAAATCAGGGCTGCAAAATTGAGCAAACCGGCTGAAGCGGCCCCACCCCCAAAAAAGTGCTGCGTGGGGGCCCCCAAGTTGCGTGTGTGGTTTTTTACCGCCCATCCCTCCACGCTGCTTTCCGTGCAAACAAGTCAGAGAGTTTGGGAGGGGCTAGAGAGAAGCGGAAAGGCAGTAAATTACGCAGACTGAGTCACGGGCGTTTGCGAAAAAGTGCGTTGCTGGCGATGTGGTGGAAAGGGGGCGCAAACAAGTGCCAGGTGGGCCCCCATTCGGTGGCCAAAATAGCCGTATTTAAGGGGTAGCAAACAATAGAAAAAGTGGCATAGGTCCTAAGAGCTATTTTTACAGGTTTATTTGGCCCGTGAAGTTGCGAGCGGAAAGCAATACGCGATAAAGGTGGTGGCGAAGGATATCATCAACCGGAAAAAGGGCAGCAAAGATGGAGGATTTTCGGTATTTTGAATGTTGAACACAGTGAAATATGGTTAATCTAGGCGGCTCATGTATTGCGTGAGAAGAATATCATGGCTGCACTTACCTATATTCACGGAGGCCATCCATTTGTCATCAGCCTCTACTGCACATTCCAAGATCCGCATCGGCTATGTAAGCAAACCTTAAAATATAAAAAGCTAATTTATTTTAGATTTTGCGATGTCTTACTGTAAGAAGGGAGAACTCCTCGCTACCCTCCAGCAGCTCGGAGCTTTTGACGAAGATACTACCCGCTTCTACGCTGCTGAAATCCTTTCGGGACTGCAGTTCCTTCACAAGTAGGAGAATCACCGAATTTCGAATCAAGAGTATTTTAGATGTAACGTGGTACACCGTGACCTCAAACCCGAAAACATCCTCTTCCAAGAATCCGGCCACATCGCCATCAGCGACTTTGGCTCAGCCAAGTTAATGGATGAGCAGAACGAGCAAGGTAACAGAACAGTAAAGTAGCTATCTAATTTTAGAAAATCTAGTCTATGAAAAGCCGGTGCGACCCTCACCTTCATTCGATTCAGAGGATGAGGATAAGCCAAGGACTCACCAGGTGGCCAAGAGGAGATCAACATTTGTTGGAACCGCTCAATACGTTTCACCTGAAATGTTGACTGGAGTTGGAGTTGGGCCTGCGTGAGTTACTTAAGATATTCTGAACAAAAGCAGTAATTTGTAAATATATAATAATTAATATCCTATTTTTAGCTGTGACTACTGGGCCTTCGGGGCAATCATTTATCAAATGCTCTCCGGTCAACCACCATTCCGAGCCGCCAATGATTTCCAAATGATGAAGAAAATCCAGACCCTAGACTACACTTTCCCAGAAGGATTCCCCGTGAAGCCAATGGACCTAGTGGCCAAAATGTTGGTGCTCAAACCCGAAGATCGGCTGGGCAGCGAAGAACGAGGAAAGGTGGAAGCTATCATGAATCATCCCTTCTTTGAGGAAACCGATTGGGATATTCTACCGGAGGTAAAATTAGTTGTAACATTCAAAACGATTCATTTAGTTGGAACCCCCGATCCTTCATCCCTTCCTCCCGGCACAAGGAGAAGAACCTGCCTTTTATTCGGAGCTCACAATCGAGCCCGGGTTGGACGAAAAAGCGATATCTCGCCTACTCGGGCTTCAAGAATTCGGTGGACCATCGTGAGTGTTAGGCCCATAAATTACGCTGAATTTTTAGGACCAACTACTCGATTGACAAGGACATCGAAGCGTTAATTGCACCTCAAATCACGAGCCCTTCAGTGGACAAGAACTTCACGCCGAACTTTGGCGGCGATAAACTGGGCTTGAGGAAAGAAAATCAGAAGAGGAACGATTTGTTGGATAAGCAACGGATAGAGAACCCCTTCCACAGGTGATATTTGGTAAAATTAGATATATAATCGATTATTTTAGGTTTGTCGATGAGAATCTTGTGCTGAAAAGCGGATTCTTGGATAAGAAGAAGGGGTTGTTTTCGAGAAGGAGAATGTTTTTGCTAACTGAGGGACCTCATCTTTATTATGTCGATTCATCAAATATGGAACTTAAGGTATGACAATATTTATCTAACTGAATATCGCCGATTTTAGGGCGAAATCCCTTGGAGTACTTGTATGAGGACGGAAATCAAAAACTTTGGAACGTTCTTCATTCATACGGTACGCAAAAGTGAGAAGTTCTTGAACAGAGAATTTAGAGCAATCGCACCTACTACCTCTATGACCCTGAAAAGAAGGCAGTGGATTGGTGCAGAGCTATCGATACGGTAAGCCCTAATATGCATTATAAAATTAAAAATATATTTAGGTAAAAGCCCGATACGCAAGCGAGTTAGCTGCTCTGGGCAACGCTCAAACGGTCGATCCACTCATCTACAAACGAAAGAAAAGCCATGGCTCGCCGAAGAAAGAAAAGAAAAAGGACCGTCACCACGACAAAAAAAAGCTCGAAAAGGTCCAAGAAAACGAGCGGATTGCGGTCTAATCTTCTGCTATTTACTGTATTTTGTGTATTTTTTAATAATTGCCTTACCCTATCCCCGTTTCCGTTGGTGCTGTCATTAATGCTAATACGATTCAATTCTATCTTTTTCACCTTGGTCTATTTTAGCGTCGCTCCTGTCATAGGTTTAACAAACAACAATTACGGGTTCAAATCAGGGCATTCGATTATGACCATGAGCCTTGCCGTGCAAGTGCCATCTCTTTTGTCGTATTCGTTCTACAACCAAATACCTTATCTCCACTTCTTTCTATCTTTAGATATATCCACTTTTCTAGCCAATTTCCCCGGACGTCCAAACCGCAACAAAATGTGATATTCTCCCAAGCCCCACGTCGCGTCACCTGAGCTTTTCCAAATACTCCACGCTTTCTTTCACCTATTGAATTTATGGCTATAAGAATCGGAGCAATGAATCTGCTATTACAATTCATCATTAAGAACCTCAACCCATCCCCCAAAATTCTGATTGTCTTCACTTATAAGCGCGCGCCTCTTCTTTAACGGCTTTTTTTGTAGCAAAACCATTTTTTCATGGGATTAATGTTTCGTGTGTGGAAATGATGAAGATAAAGTATTTGAAGCCTTAGAAAGAGCTTAAAAATTGGAATTGCGTGCAGGAATAACAGACAAGCCGGGGGAGTGGAAGTGTGTGGTAAGTGAGATCGGGAGGCCAAAGCCGGTGCTCGGCCAGTGGCCAAAACAACATGCTGGACTGTTCCCCCAGCTACTCATAAGAAACAAGCGAACCTCTGGAAAAAACGGAATGATTGCAGTGAAATGGCTTGCTCGGCAAAACACGAAACAGAAATGAGAAAAACGTGTAACTTTTGGTCTTTAATAGCTCGGAAGATTATCTTCAGCCTCCCTGTAAGGCTGAACTACGTGGCGCTCCGCTGTCATTGCGTGTTTTTTGAACCAAAACCCGTTTTGGCCACATAAATTTCGCCTAAACGTTCATCCGGAATGGTAACTATGGCCCGAAAATTTTATGCCTTTTTGTTATAAACAGGTTGCCATCCCGGAAGTTGTAAACTAAGCATTCAAACTGCATGGGCCTATGAAACCTCAAGCTTCAATTTTCGAACTGTTTGAATTTGCACTGTTTTTAGCATTTTTCCCATCAGAGTCGGATCTATTATACCGGTGTCGGATTATTTACAAGTCCCAACCCTGGTCACTCATGTCTCAAGGAGGTTGCCTCGTCGGTGTTGTTTGTCCCTGCGTCACTTATAATATTCAGTAGCCTCCGGTGGCCGGCTTAGCCCATAAACACGCTTACGGCTTCGTCGTCTATAATTTTCCCTTTTGCGAACATTTTTTAATTTCCCAATACCTTTCTCGATTAGGCCAATACGCGATCCACTAAAAGGCAGTCGGTGTCGTGCGTGCATAAACTGGGCTATCTTAGGAAGGGACCGGGGGTTTTGAAGGGTGAAAGTGGAGAGCGGACAATGGGCCAAGGGGGAATTCCAATAGGGGGACAAGGGCCGAAATGAACGAAGCTGGGCCCTCAACGAACGACAGCCATCGATTCCAGGCCTTTGGCAAAATACTCATTTATTAGTTCGCAATTTGATTCTATTTTTGTTCGAGATTTGACGACTGTAGCATAGTTAATGGGTGTATGACGTACTGCATGATGAATTGTTCGGTTAGCGTACTAATTCTAGCGAGTTTGACCTTTTTGCTAGATAATATATATTGGTATTGACAGTTCCGTTCAGATTTCCGTTTGGTTGCAAATTACGGTACCGAATCCAGGTACCTAATTGCTTTTAAGCGTTTTTAAGACATGGCTTTTTGAGAACAGTTTACCTGATTTGAAAATGTAGTGGTAGTGGCAGTGGAAAACCAGGGATTTCCAGCCCATTCCAAATTACGCTACATCCTGGAAGAGACTTATCCATTCTCAATTTCACGTTTGAACCCCACGAACCCCGGAAACAATGGTGGCCCAGACCAATGAATCTAAAATTCTGCCAACAACCCCTCCTTCCCCGCCGTCCCGATTCTCAAATGCTGCTCTTTTCGCGTTGACGAGACGAGACGAGGGGGGAATGGATCAGAAAATGGGGTGCCACCGTGGCCGGTCTTCCAGCCCTGCCCGTCCAAATCCCCGGAGGGGCCCAGGGACTCAATTCGCAAATTGGGCACCCCACGCATGAATGGAAGGGATGGTGGAAAATGGGGGAGAATGGCGAGGGGTGGGACCCTTCGAGCACCAACCCTAGCGGGCCATAGTTCGATTTTCTTGTCTACCCTCCGCCCCCACACATACCCTGACCTCCAGCTGGCACCACTTTGAGGCCCAGGGCCCTGGGATAGCCTCCCAGGCCACCCCCCAGCTACTCATATTTCTGGCATTTGAATTTTCTGGGGTTAAGCTAGTGTTATTTCCCTTAATAATTGTGAAAAATGCGTAAAAGTTATCGAATATTTTGTGTCGTATTAATTTGTGGCGGCTACTACGCTGGTTCAACATTTTTGGGTAGTTAAAATTACCGAATATTTGGAATTCATCAACTTAAATACGAATATTTAGATTTTAGTCCGACGACGTAATAACTAACGCATAGAAAACAGTGATATCTAATCCTCGGGTATGTGTAGATGCATGGCTTACGGTATTCAAGTCGCCAGAAAAAAAAATTATAAAAAAATTGATTATCGTGGTCTAAATATAAAATCCCGTTCTTTTGTTGATCCTAAGTTTTAATATTGTTATTCATTTTCATTCATTCTACCCGACACGCATAGCTAATTCTTTGCCACCCGAGGCGTTCCCATAAGCATAGCCCACCAAATTGCTTTTTTACGCCCCGCGCGATATTGGGCGCTGCGAACAACGATTGCTTCCCCCTCCACCCCGCACTAACCACATTTTGATCAAATTTTCGGGCCGTTATTGCTCTTTATTTGGTGCCTCAACCCGAGCCTTGTTGAGAGTGTTCCGTTCCTTGATGCATTGCGAAATTCGACGCCGTCCCGGGGCCATAAAGCGGCCGGTGGACTAGTGGAGGGGCTCAGCAATACGACGCCACGGGCTCTACTGCTGTTTCACCTCTTCCCTCCCCCAACCATCACCCACAATATTGACTCCATGTTTTTGAATTGTTGAATTTTAAGCGGCATACACACCCGGCCACACGATGATGCCAAACGTTCTGGGATCTATTTTTGAAGCACTTCTCCTGGGCCGTCTTCCTTCATGCAACCCTATTAGCCCACGCATCACTGCTCTGAGTTGCTTCCCTACCTCATCCCTTTTTGTCCTAACCTAAAGCCGTCTACTGCATAAATGAAAAGGGCCACCTCGTTCAAAGTTGCGCCCAGGTTCTACTTGCTTTACTTTCTTCTTACTTTTTTAAGCTTTATTACAACGATTTTAGAGGTTCTTCAAGGGAAGCGCTTCTCTTCCACGATGGGAAACCCATATGAGGTAACGATTTTCCTTAAATGTCCTTACCACTTTTTAGCCGTCGGCTCGCACGGACTCCTATCGTGTGGCGACAATGAATGAGGAGAATGAGAAGATTAATGGCCAGAAGCTAGAAACACTTCCGGAGTCTGATGAAAAGCCGTTGATTGATGAGAAGAACAAGGATAAGGAAAAGCCGAAGAAGAAGGAGAAGAAAAAGGATGAAAAGGCAAAGCCGGAAGGGAAGCCCGATTTGGATGATTTAAAGAAAGAAGTTGATATGGTAAGCTCAAATCGAAACAGGTAGAATATATATTTCTAGGATGTTCATACAGTACCCTTGGATACATTGCTGGACAGATATCAAGGTGATTCCGAGAAGGTGTGTGTCTTGCCCTCTTTTTATTAATGCATTTAGGGGCTAACTGAGGTGAAAGCCAAAGAGTACTACACCAGGGATGGCCCAAATGCTTTAACGCCTCCCAAGGAAACACCAGAATGGGTGAAATTCTGCAAGAATCTTTTTGGAGGTTGGGTCTGAGGGTTACTTTGTGATCTGGATATTTTAGGCTTTGCAATGCTACTCTGGATCGGTGCCCTTTTGTGCTTCATTGCATACACTGTCGACTACTTGAGCATGGAATACCCTTCGAACGATAACGTATGTAACGGGATCATCCGTTAATGTATGATCTTTAGCTTTACCTTGGTATTGTACTGGCTGGAGTTGTGATCATCACCGGTGTCTTCCAATACTATCAAGAGAGCAAGAGCTCGAAGATTATGGATTCTTTTAAGAACATGGTACCGCAGGTGAGCAAGTATACAACGTAGCCATGAATATGCAATCATTTTTTATAGTATGCAATGGTAATTCGCGACGGTGTCAAACGGCAAGTTCGAGCCGACGAGCTGGTGCAAGGAGACCTCGTTGAAATCAAGGGTGGCGATCGAATCCCGGCCGATGTCCGAGTCATCCACGCCCAAGGATTCAAGGTGATATCCTACTACATATAAAAAAATAGTTCCTGTGTGTGTGTGTGTGCATTTGCATGCAACTTCCGTCAGCGTGTTCCAGTAGTATCGGATTAGGGGGAGGACTTAAAGGTATATATGATACGTCATTAGATGCGTAATGGTCTAGGGATGGCTGCACACATATCAAGTTTTTGAAAATATACTGTTTTCGACATTAAAATTCAGTTTTTCTTGAAAAATTGGTCACCCCTCTTTGTTAGGAAACGATTAGCATGCTCCGGAAGTGGCGGAAGGCTATATAACGTGAGAGAGACAGCCTTTTTTCATTATTTCTGATCGCGTTTCGGGCGAATTATGCAAAGTGTTGAATTTCATGGTTTTGGGACGGAGCCAGGGTTGAAAAGTCGCGAAGCGGCTTTTCAACCCTGGTAACATTGAAAAAACAACATTTGATTAATTTGCAGGTTGACAACTCTTCCCTGACCGGAGAATCTGAACCTCTGTCCCGCTCCGCTGAATGCACTAATGATAACCCATTGGAGACCAAGAACCTAGCCTTCTTCTCCACGAACGCCGTTGAAGGAACTGCCAAGGTTATTTACATAACAACAGCAATTTATATAATTCTAGGCTGTTGTTGTAAACACCGGAGATAGAACTGTTATGGGACGAATTGCTCACTTGGCTTCTGGACTACAGAGCGGTAAAAAAGAATTGACGCTAAAAACCAATAATCTAGGAAAAACCCCGATCGCCCGTGAAATCGAGCATTTCATTCATATTATCACTGGAGTGGCTGTATTCCTTGGCGTCACTTTCTTCATCATTGCATTCTGCCTTGGTTATCATTGGTAAGGCAAAATCTGAAGAAAAAATTCCATAATTTTTAGGCTGAACGCTGTCGTTTTCTTGATTGGTATTATTGTTGCCAATGTCCCTGAAGGCTTGATCGCGACGGTTACGGTAAGTTAGGGCATTGCTATCATAAACCAACATACTATACAGGTTTGTCTGACCCTCACTGCCAAACGAATGGCTTCTAAAAACTGCTTGGTCAAGAACTTGGAAGCTGTCGAGACCCTGGGGTCGACTTCGACTATTTGCTCTGACAAGTAATTGATACTTGCGTTCGATAAGTCGACACAATTAGGACCGGTACCCTGACGCAGAATCGAATGACAGTTGCTCACATGTGGTTCGACAACAAAATCGTCGAGATGGACACGACCGAGACGCAAGCTGATGTCGTACAAAAAGACCATCCGGCCAGTCAGCGGGCCCTGTTTACTATCGCTGCTCTATGCAATCGAGCTGAATTTAAGAGTGCCCAGGTTTGGATAGAAATTATAAGTGAATCAAACATGGATCCCAGGAAGACGTGCCGATTCTGAAACGTGAATGCACTGGTGACGCTTCGGAAAGTGCTCTCCTGAAATGCGTTGAAATGCAAATTGGCGAGGTTCAGGAATGGAGGTATGGTAACCACTTCCAGTCAAACACTTATTTAGAAAACGCTCCAACAAAGTCGCCGAAATCCCCTTCAATTCCACCAACAAATACCAAGTCTCGATCCATGAGAACGAGAACGGAGAGGGATATTTCATCGTGATGAAGGGAGCACCGGGTAAGTGGGAAGTACCAGAGTCTAATAAAGGAATTACTTTCAGAAAGAATCGTCGAGCGCTGCAAGACTATTCTGGTGGAAGGGAAAGAGCAGAATTTGGATGAGACTGAGCTGGCTGCCTACAACGAGGCTTACCTTGAGCTGGGCGGCATGGGCGAACGTGTTCTTGGATTTTGCGATGCTCAACTGGATCCGGTTAAGTATCCTCGAGGCATGGTTTACTTCATTGGTATCATTTCCGGTTCTAGGCTTCCAATTCGACACTGAAGAAATCAACTTCCCAATGGAGGGATTCCGCTTCTGTGGGCTCATTTCGATGATTGATCCCCCAAGGGCTGCTGTACCAGAGGCTGTCGCAAAGTGCAGATCTGCTGGAATCAAGGTGAAAACAATTACATCGTAACAATAGAAATTTAGGTCGTGATGGTAACTGGTGATCATCCGATCACTGCTCAAGCCATCGCCAAGTCGGTGGGAATCATCAGCGAAGGATCGGAAACCGTTGAGGATATTGCGTTGCGGAAAGGGGTCCCAATCGCCTCGGTAAGCCTGAAATACGTTATTAAACGCAATTATATCGTAGGTCAACCCTCGCGAAGCTAGAGCTGCTGTAATCCATGGAACTGACCTACGCGAAATGACAACCGAACAGCTTGATGATATCTTAGTCAGCCACGAGGAAATTGTCTTTGCGAGGTTGGCTAGCTATACATTTCTAGAACGCGAACTCTTCTAGAACCTCTCCACAACAAAAGCTAATGATCGTCGAAGGATTCCAACGTCAAGGCCAAATCGTTGCTGTGACTGGTGATGGTGTCAACGACTCGCCAGCTTTAAAGAAAGCTGATATCGGAGTCGCCATGGGTATTTCCTATCTGTAATAACTTGAATCTTCCTTCAGGTATCGCTGGCTCGGATGTATCAAAACAAGCAGCCGATATGATCCTGCTCGATGATAACTTTGCTTCGATTGTCGTTGGAGTAGAGGAAGGACGTCTGATTTTTGACAACCTCAAGGTAAAAGACCTAACCAGGCTCATAATAATTATCTATAGAAATCGATCGCCTACACCCTCACCTCGAACATCCCCGAAATCTCGCCGTTCCTTTCTTTCATCCTTCTCGACATCCCACTTCCGCTCGGAACCGTGACTATCCTTTGTATCGACCTTGGAACTGACTTGGTTTGGCATAGATTATTATAGGGAATATCATTATATTAGTGGCCCGCCATTTCACTTGCATATGAAGAAGCCGAATCCGACATCATGAAGCGTAGGCCTAGGGATCCTAAGCATGACAAGCTGGTGAATGAACGGTATGAAGCTTCGAAATAGTTTCAAACAACGCTTAGGCTGATTTCTTTGGCATACGGCCAAATTGGAATGATTCAAGCGTCTGCCGGGTTCTTTTCGTATATGGTGATCATGGCGGACAACGGATTCTACCCATGGGATTTGTTAGGTCAGAAAAATCTAAATTTTAAAAATTCCGAACTTAGGTCTGCGCGCCAAATGGGATTCTCGTGCCATCAATAACGTCGTTGATTCTTACGGTCAAGAATGGGTATGCAAAAAAATATATCGAAGGCAATAGAAGACGAATTTCAGACCTATGCCAACCGGAAGGTCCTGGAATACACCTGTCATACCGCGTTTTTCGTTTCGATCGTTGTTGTGCAATGGGCTGATCTGATCATTTCAAAGACCAGACGCAATTCTTTGATTCAACAGGTTAAATCTCTACGTATTTATATTATGTGCTAAAACTTTAGGGAATGGGCAACTGGACCCTAAACTTTGGGCTCGTTTTCGAGACGGCTTTGGCGTGGTTCATGTGCTATTGCCCGGGCCTGGATAATGGATTGAGAATGTATTCGCTGAGGTTGGCTTCGATACGCAAAATTCATAATCCAAAAATAATTGCAGATGGCAATGGTGGTTCCCAGCCCTTCCTTTCTCACTTCTCATCTTTATCTACGATGAATCCCGCCGTTCGTTGATCCGAAAATACCCAGGAGGGTGGGTCGAGCGCGAGACTTACTACTAAAAATCGGCATTTCGCCCGCTTTCTTGCCTTTTTGTTACTCCCGTAATTCGCTTGCATTTTCACTTGTCATTTCGTATTTATTCTTTCATAAATCTTGACCAGAAGAGCTTGAATAGAATGTCGGCAGTGGAATGACCAGCATTATTGGCAGAGCAAGCTTATAAGAATCGTTTAAGGAGATGAATTGATCCTGCGGAACAAAAGAAAGTAATTGGAAACACATAGAGCATTAACATGGCACGTCAGTGAGTGAAACTTCACATCTAGGGGACAGCGCCGAAGGACCCTCGACGTAGAGCTCCCTGATTTCCTTCCAAGACAACCCCTTCACAATGAGGGTGATCTTAAGCTCTTGATGTTCTTCTTTCTCGGCGTAAGTTTCCTGCACTTTCAAACATGCTCGATAGTTCAATGTGATCGGCTTCAGGGGGTAAACCTAAAAAATTGGGTTTGTTTTGATGGGTATCTGCCAACCTCTAGCCACCGTTGTGCATTGAAGATAAGAAACTCCGAATTAGCGCAAATTGGGCTTCGGAACGGCTTGTAGGTGAGGTGCATGAAGGGGCTATGTACGACCATTTTGCTGGAAGTCTTTTGCGTTCGATTTTATAGCAATAAGGTAACCTCTAGTTCGCAAACTTACTTAAGCTTAATGGTGCCTTCAACGTCATCAATATCTACCAAATAAATGTGGACGTCACCGAGGAAGCATCTCGACAGGAAGTGAAGCTAAAAAATTGTGTTGCGCGGGTGGGGTCAATCTTACCTCGCCACAGGAATACAAGTCCAGCTCCTGCTTCCTGATCCACGGCAAGTACGGTGACCTATCGACAACTCTCTATGGAAAATCCCTCAGTCATTGATTACCATCCTATCACGCTCCCGACCAGAGGGTAGTGCCTCCAGCTTTTGCTCACAAAATTGTACACCCAAAACTGATCCGTTGCCAACATCATGATCCTGAAAATAACTTTGGTATTGCCTGAAGCTTAGGTCCACCAACCGTTTTTCAGGTCCGCGCAAAAACATGGCCGCCGTTAGGGATGCTTCAGGGAAATCATCCATTTGAAAGTACTCTTCAACGATTTCAAAAGTATTCTAAACTTCCGTGTTATCTCTATATCAAATTGGTTTTGGCACCTCTTTGAGAATGATGTTCCACAGGCCACGTTCGCTCCGTCGGAAATAGTTGTAGGGTGGCCTTATTAAAAGAGTATTTAGTAGCGAAATAGACAAAATACGTTTTGTGAATGAAGCCATGTGCCAACCAGCAGTGAAACTGCGGGCCAGCATCATTAGACCGGTAGAAAAGACCGAATTCGCTAACATTCGGAGAAATCTAAAACCGAGATCGTGAGAATAGGTTTTGGCTACCATATTGTCCATTCCTTCAAGTGTCAGACGGTGACATTGCCGATCCGCCATAATTTTCATGATGTCGAAACGGTCGCAGCCCTGAGAAAGGATATTATTGATTTCTAACGCTTTGATGCTCCTGCCCGCATCGTCATCATCAAATACGTGGTTTTATTTTTGTGGTCGTACGTAACACGAGGAGTGGTGTGAGTGGAGATATCTTCACTTTCAAAAATCAAGTCCCAAAGGTGCATCGTGTAGATGCTGCCGCGCCATAGCTGTAAATAAAAATAGCAGTTTCAACGGGCTCAAGGGCTGTTAGAGGCTGCAGGTAATAGCTAAACTTACACAAATCCGGTATGGCGATCCACCATCGGTGATGATCATCAGATAGGCAAATTGACCATCGACGGCGTAGACTTTGGTACGATCTAACCCCTGGACAACGTCAAAGGGGTATTTGTACCGGACAAGCGGGGAAATCATCTGAAAATTCGGATTTGATGAAATTTTCTAGTCTTCTACAGAGTCCTAAGCGAGCGTTGAATACTAAACCGGTATCAGGTGGACCTATCAAAGGACTGTCAGAGGTTAATAGAAAATAATACTACGCCGATGAAATGCTTAATCATTAAATATTTATAGGCAACAATTTAGGGAACTAAAAAACTTCGAAAAATGGGGAAGAACTTCCTATAACGATTCAGAAAAATGAGAGCTAGTGTGATATTCACGCATAGTGAGTTTATTCTTTGTGACACCCATGCGCAGACAATTAGGGGCGAATGGCACGGCAGATGGATTGATTCTCGACAGATAGGGGAAAACTTATGCCTGCGGGCAGGTAGGTCTATCTGGGTCACCATTCACCCCTAAGCATTATGGTATTATCTGGGAGTCCCGAGTGGACCCATAATTCCCAGTGTCTCCTTGGACATCACCGGGTTTGAGTGCGTTAGTGACGTGACGTGATTACTTTGAGAAATCTTCAAAAACGTGGAAAATGTTGCGGATAATGAACCACCTGTATTTTTGTAAACCTTCTGAAAGTGGCACTTAGAATGGCGTGAAAATCATCACACGGATAAAGACAACGATGCTAATTAAATTCATGCTCCTTGAATCTTCCACTGACGTTTAAAATTCGAAATATAGAGCCTTCAATCTAATTTTTAAAGTTTTTAAACATGCCTTGAACCAAAATAATCATAAAATTAAAATATTGAAGGTGCTAAAGGCCACGAGTCAATTCCAAATATAGGACGATGATCAAGATCGTCGACTGAAGCTGTATGCGAATTTTCAGGAAATTTCTACTTCTGATTTCTTTTCCATCCATAGTTAAATCCTCGTTGCCTTCAAGTTCAAGTACGTTAACTCTAATAAGCAGAAAAAAGATGAAGTCGATGGATTTTGCAGCCAAAAAACGTTCACTGCTAGTATTTACGCATCCGTTAAATTTCAATTCCCGAAGGTTGCTTTTCCTGGACAAATCGTGGATGTGGAAACGGATGCATCGGCACGCCCTGTCTGGCCCAAATCTGATGCGCCGATCTTGTCAGCCGGCCCGGCTGGCAGTTCAGTCATTCTCCAGGCCCCACCTAAAAGCTCCCCACACCCTTCCCCCAAAATTTGCCTGCCTGTCCCTTGGATCGCGATGCCCCTTTTCGCTTACGTTATGCAAATTTGCACTAATGTATTGTGAAGTCGCGAACTTGAACCCTTTATAAATCACCTAGGTTTTTTCTGCCGCTGATTTAGATAGAGTTTCACGAACCTTTTGTATTTTTATGCCTTTTTACTGTACAAAGGTGATTGATTTTCGAATTCGTTCTCAAGCGGTTGCGCGGCAACGTAATTACGGGTTTTCCAATTTTAAATTAAACTAAATCCAAAACCAAGACTTATTATATGTTTTCTGAGATCCAAAGCAAGATCACTTTTTCAAAAAGATAGGCTTTTGGTGATGCTTGGAAATACCGGTTTTCACAGAAATTAAATGGTAGAACGAAAATCGACCTCCTATTCAAGATATTTTGGATTTCTAAAGTTTCATTTCTTTATACGTAACTTCACTTTATTAAAATTTCCCAAAAGAGCTTCTTATTGTTGGGCTAGTAAGAGATACCCGAGCAGCTAAGCAGACAGCTAGGCTTCGATGAGTCAACGTTGCATTTGTTTCTCAATTTTCCCGATAGCATTTTTGGAGACCGAAGTCACCGGTTTATTTTGACGGGCCGATATCCAAATCGTGACACCGGCCCCATTATCTAGGCGTCGATCTACCATTGTTGTAAGAATTATGGGCGGGCCTCACACGACATCCTAGATTCAACACTTCTACAAAGTGTTTCTCATCAGTTCTAGTTTCATTTTGCCCTAATTCACCTCTGCTCTTTACCTTCACCATTAAAAAAATACAGAAAACAGCTTTGCATATCAGTGCATCTGTATGCAACTTCCTTCAGCGTTTTGCCCTAGCTTTTTGAGCCCTATCCAACTTTGAAAAATAATTTGTTAATAGCTTTGTTTCTGTTTGCTTACTACCATGGTCACCGAGGATGAGGTGTGGACCTGCAGCGTTAGGGCCCCAGCCAACATCGCTCTCGTCAAGTATTGGGGGAAGCGTGATACGGTAATATATCTGCGTCAAATTCGTTACTGTGTTGCTAGAAACTGAATTTGCCTCTGAACGACTCGATCTCCCTGACAATTGATGCGCTAATTGCCGAGACAACCATCGCTGCTTCTCAAGTCTGGGAAAAGGATTCTGTCACGGTTTGAAACCATTCCATATTTTTATGATTTTGTCCAGATTAACGGGAAAGAAATGGATTGTGGCGAAAACAGTCGAGTGTATCGAGTGTTCCAGGTATAACTCGCTAAATTGGACATAACTACCAGGTCGTGTTTAGGCGGTGCGCCAGTTTCTAGAGGCCAAAACTGAGAGACACGACTGGGAACAACGGAACGACAAACCGCAATCTTCGATGCGGTTTAAAGTATGGGAAAGACCGCAACGGTAACACAGGAGGAGTTTAAGGTACTCTCCCGGACCAATTTCCCGGTGGAAGCTGGGCTGGCTTCTAGTGCGGCTGGGTTTGCGGCGCTTGCATATTGTTTCAAGGCTCTCTTTGACCTCAGTGAGGAAGAAGCTTCACAATTGGCTAGAATCGGTTGGAGCATATATTGCCAGACTCATTGAATTCCCGTATAGGTTCTGGATCTGCAATTCGCTCGCTTCATGGTGGGTTGGTTCGTTGGAAACGTGGCATCCGGGATGATGGAGTGGATTCGGTTGCCGTGGTAAAAATTCAGGGCCACCTATATAGCAAAAATTTGAATCTTAGAGAGTTTTCTCACCTAAAAGATGGCTTTCGCTGAGAGCCCTGATCTTTGTTGTGAGTGCTGAAAAGAAGGAAACTGGTTCCACGATTGGCATGCAGGTATATTAAACTTCATACTAAATTTAACCATTTTAGACCACTGTCGAAACGAGTAAAATGCTACCTGCTAGAGTGGCCAGGTGTGACAAAATGATTGAAAGGTAGTTCAAGGTGAAGACAATAGATTTCCATCTGCTTCCAGGATGCAGAAGGCCTTTGCTAAAAGGAACTTCCCTGCCCTGGCCCGGCTGGTGATGAATGATAGCAACAACTTCCATGCTTGCTGTATGGATACAGTTCCTCCACTGAAGGCACATCACAAGCCTAACTCATATAACATTATTGCAGTACCTCAATGAGGCTTCCGCAAAAATCATGAAAATGGTGGACAGCTTCAACACCCAGATGAAGCGCGTCTCGGCTGCATACACTTTTGATGCGGGGCCAAACGCGTGTATTTATCTTGAAAAGGTGTATTAGGTAGTATAATATAGAATTTATTTAGCGCAATGTCCCTGCGTTCATCGAAGAAGCAACCCATTGGTTGAGCTTTGCCCCCAGTGCGGAGAAGACCGTTGAAGAAATTTTGGGCAAACCGATTGAAGTAATTTTATTATTTAAGCGATAAATTTTTAAATCCGCGGACTAAACCTCTTGTATTTTAGCCTCATTCGGACGCGATCATTGAAGAACCGATGAGCCCGATCCAAAGCCCTGCAAGTGACTTCTCGTTTACGGATGCGTTGGCAAGTCATGCGCTCCTGGTGATTTCCCACCTAATAAAAATAAAGGATAGTTTTTAATAGGGCGCCACCGATGAGACCCCGCCACTTATCCTGGACCTGATCTACAGTACTGTCGGCGCTGAGCCGTGCGTCATTCACCATCAGAAGAATAGTGGATATTGAAATGCTCGCTTATTTTCATCATTTAGACTATGCTAGTCTCTTCAAGAACAAACCTTAAAATGTGCCTTCTAATTTTGTTGCTGGAAATATTGAATTTACGGTGTAACTGACCTGCTTGACTAATCATGTGCAACTTGCAACTATCCATCGCTCCAATCACATTTTACAGTAAAATATCTTGGTTGTGCCTTTTCTGACTGTTTTAAACTAATTTAATATAACAATACGCCGCGCGACAAGTCTTTTTTGCCTCTTACCGCGTCAGTTAATAAAGTATTTCGAAAATCAATTGGCTATGGGCCTTACATTTATCACGATTTCAGTATGCCCACAAATATCCATTTGAAGCGCCTAGATTAAAGATAAGTAATAAAATGGACTTAGTAAAATATTTATTGGCGAAACAACAGTACAAGTTTAAAAATGGGCTAGTAACGATATTCTTGGCAGGAGCGGATAAAAGAGAGATCAACGGATTAATTAAGAGCATCGGGTCGATAGTCACCAGCTAAAATGGGTTAATTACTTCAAATTCTTCGAGATCGGGATCGGTATCAACAACCGGACTAGGTTCTGTAGCAACAGGCTCATCAACGGGAGCGGGAACGGGCTCAGAATTATTCTTCCAGAGGCATTTCGTCGTGTCATCCCATTTATATTCCAGCAGTGAATCATCGAAAGTTTCGGCCGCCGCCCGTTTGTTTTTGGCTTTCTCGATAACTGCCTTGGAATCGCGATATCGTTCGTACTCGGCTTTAATCGCGTGGAACACAACAAGGGAGATCACGCTAAAAATGTTATAATTCCAAAGATTATCTTTAACGATCATAATGGTATGATTGAATGCTTACCTCAAGCAAAGCATAAACACCTTGGTATCACCACCATTCTCTCCTTTGTAATGTGTGTCTTAATTTGAAGGCATTTCATATAAATTCTCCGTATTTTAACATACCGAGTCCAGTAAAGAAATATTCATGTAAGAACGCAGTTTCCATGATAGCAGCGATAATTTCCTTCTGGAAAATATTAAATACAGCAGCAAATTATTAAATATTTACAAGGTTTTCTTCAGCGATCCAGCAAATTCCTCGTACAACCAATCGGCGCGTCATCGTCACCATCGTGAACAACCAAAACGCCAACGGTGGCTAAAACTGGTTATTTTCCCACTCACAGAATACAATAACTTACCAGCAAGAAAAAATACATCCCAAATACGCATGATTTGATGAAAATCATGAAGGGAATCAAGTAAAATCGCGAGGCGCTTGGCCAGCCCAGCCACTTCCCGCCCAGCATGCCATTCAGGAAGTTGTGATACTAAAATGACGGATTTACATAAAAAACCCGAACCAACCTGTAGTAAGATGGCATATGCGTAGACGATATCAGCCACGCAGGACAAACCACGACAAAATGCCCGGCCTACTCTGTTCTCTTTCTCTTTGTCCTTGGCATAGGGAGCAAAGGCAAAGTTGAACAGACTCTCCAGCTTTTCCCAAGCTTCAGCATCTCCTGCGGGAGTACCTTCACCGGAAGGAGAAACGTAGGCCGAAACACGCAATCCAATAAACCTGAAAAGTGCGGTTTAGGGCCATCGAAGCTAAAACTTACAGAGGAACAATGAGGCAGGTTATCGAAGTCATTAAGCTGGCTGGTTGATACCCTCCATAGCATATGTGATAGGCATTGAAGAGTACGAATCGTGTTGCGCATTCGACGGGGAGAAATTGTATCCTCGGGTAATCATACATCTTCACTGATCGGTTCTATGAAGCTTATGAAGGATATTTTCACGGAACTTACCCATGTTTGAAGAGTGACAATGATGAGAAATGCATAGCTAGGTATGTATGACAATCCTTCGGGTAGGTAAAGCGTTAACGATTGCATGATCTAAAAACTAATTTTTGATTAAATATGTTTAACATACCATAAAAAATGGCTGCCAAATGGCGGCTCGGCTGAGCAGGACGTAGAAAAAGTCATGATCTTCCCGTGGTAGGTCTTGAGCTCCGTGGTAGATGTCTTGCGCCAGGTTGCTGCATTTCGCCTTGAACAAGGCGGGGAGACGACGTAGCGGTGGTGGTAGAAGCTGTTCCATGCGAATGAAGATGGAATGAGTGGAATGAGGGAACTACTAATTGGCCCACGATCAGGGCAGTAATCGATGGGGGACGACCTCCCGCCTCTTGGATTAGGATAATAGGTAGCCGGAGGGCAAGATGGCGCACCCGCACTACGGGAAGGCAGCTGTTTTTTGAATACACGTTCCTGAGTAAGATGTCGTATTGTTGCGGAAATTTTGACTCGGGCAGAGTTTATTGGACCGGATTTGGACTGCCGGGATAAACCTGAGCCGGGATTTTCAGGATGAACGTTGCCATGGTGATGAGGTTAATGCAACAAATCTCAGTTGCATAGTCAAGTCATAAACTACGTATCGTAAATACCAGCAAAAAAACTATCAAAATATGGTAGATTTTAATTTGAAATTGAATTTTGTTTGCAGGTTTTTTAATGTTACTTATAGGCCTTTTACATTTTATTATTCCCATGACCCGAACGATCGAATTGAGCACGATTAATAAAAAAAATAGATACACAAGCCAAAAAATTCATTCAGAGATGTATACAGCCGGCAGCCCATCTTCCGAATGTTTCTTGTGCACCGGCGCGCCCCAATGATGCTCCTTTTGAGCGTTTGAGCACATTTCTAAGCGATTTTATTTAGTTAAAAATTTATAGAAATATTCATACCAAGGTTTTTCGTAACCATCTGTGTTTTCCATGATCGATACTCGTTCGAGCATACAATGTCCCGATCGGTGATATGGAAATGCATATGCGCGTATATCTTGAGCTGGTCGACAAAGCTTTTGTTGGGGCTGAAATATAGTGAAAAATCGATGGAAAAACTATACTTTATCGTCGGACGCTTCATTCTAACAAAGGTCAACGCCTTTTCCGCAGTCCATTTGTATTTATGCATCAAAAAGGCGGCTATGATGGCGGGGGCTCGGGAATTTCCTTCTTCACTATAATGAAATTTAATTAAAAATCATTTTTCTACAATTACCTATGTACAAGCACGTTCCCGCCATCAAGAATAGCCTGTTCTAATAGCAGAGTAGCATCGGAAATAATTTTTGAACCGACGATGTCCTTAAAGACCATATTCTTTGCGCGGTCACGATTGGCTACCTGCGCCAAATTGTCTGCCATTTGTATAAAAGTGTAGCAAACGCCGTCTACTTGTCGCTCTTCCGGGATTGGGGTGATGGACAGTGTAAGCACGTGACTTATCTATACGAAATGGAGATCATGCGACACTGTAAAATACCTACCCGATGTGCGGTCAATTTATTAGCAGCAGCTTCCCCATACACATCCAAGGCTCCACTCAAGAACAACTGCTCCAACACTTTGTCGATCATCTCAAAAAGCAGAATAAAATTCAATAAAGCCACAAGAATTCGATTCGTAAGCGGAAAAGGCTGGACAGCCTACACAGACTATCAAGCCTGTTTGTCACCGGCCCAATCGTAAAAATAATCAAAATAACATAAAGCCGCGTGATAGAGATATGGGATGCGGGGGATGGTCGAGAGAACTCTCGCAAGAAAAAGGAATTACAATATGAATTATCATCATTTCGATTCTAATTTGGATCCTTTTGGTGAGAGGTGGGGGCGGGGGCGTGAAAGTTCTCGCCGGTGCCATGACTTGTTTTACGAGCCCCGAAGAGCTCGATGGCCTTCAGACGGAGGAGCGTGATAAGCATTTTACCGTTTGCACCCATCAAAGTCGGGGCCCTCTCCCAGGCGGGAACCATGGAATGCCGGCATTTTGAAAGTAAGCAAATGACCTGTCTACTGTAATTAGCGGTAAAAAGGGGGCTCGTAAAAATTATGCTGATAATGGTTTGGTCATAGAGGGGAATATGCGTAAGGGAAAATGCCTGTAAACTTGGCGTTGGTATTGACGCAGTTAGAAGATCATAAAAGTGGGATTAGATGGTTTTATTGTGAAACGGACAAAAAAATGCTACCGGAGTCAGAAAGGCTCTTGATATATAGGTTACACATTAATTCTGTACGGCAGGTTTCGAAAGCCAAAGGTTTCGCAAGCCGAAGTTCTCTGGTCTTATGACACTTTTAGTTATTTTTAGCTACGTATCTGTTCCAATATCTACCAAAACTTGAGAAATATATGGGAACATTTTACTGTATTTCCGGTGCTCCTGAATAAACATAAAGTTTAACGTAGTGCCAAAACTAAGTATTTTTAAAGTCAAAATCCAGAGTACGACCCGAAATACACTTTAGGAACCCCAAATAACCCCAGCGAAAATTCTGACCCCAAAATGATAAGCACGTTTAAAGCAGTAACCCCGCACCCCCCTCGGAAACGAAAGCCACTTAGAGACGATTAACGAGAAGCTGGAATTGTCATCACCGGCGAGCAGGGGACGGCCCCAGGCGTCAAATAGCGCCCCTATCAAAAAGAAAACAACACCGGCTCCCACCGCAACAAATAGAATTGGGCAAATAAATTGGGTTGTGGGTGGGTGTGTGAAGGGAAGTGTGATTCCGACTGTCTTGTTGTCGGCCAGTCACGGTGGCGACTAATCAGAGCTGTTTTGGCAGTTGCCACCGGTCGAATTTGATCAGTTGCCAAAAAGTGACGCAGAAGCTTTCTCTTAAAAATTCAGTACCTTCAAATCCAGTTTTAAAATCATGACATACATCTTCATCGCGTGAATATTAAAAATTTATATCTATCATGGTCGTCGTATAAAGTTTCCGGAACCTGAGGTAGCTAGTGCAAGCTAGAGTGTGAAAAATTCGTCACAATCACCTTATAAAGAATTATATCTAATCAAAATCTAGTACCCCAGGAAACATTCTACTATTTTGCAGCAGTCACGAGAGCGAGGAGGCTGGAGATCGGAATCCCAGATTCCGTTCCGCGTCGCTCGCCTCGTGTGACATTGAAATGGTTTGACGCCCATTTTTGGTCTTTTACTTTCATTGACCAGGTTCCTCTGCTCAGTTGCACCGCGTACCGAGATTTAGCTGGAAGCATTCACCCAAAAATAGAAGTAGAAGGGCTTCTGCTCATCGAGAGAAGCCTCTTCCCGCGGCTGGGTCACCAATCTTTTCGAAAGTGCGGGGAAGGCGGAGGCCGGTTTGGAACGGAGGGGCTTCTCGAGGAGTAAGAAGCAACTTCAGCACTACGGTGACTCAAGGATCTATTATTTTATGCCAGGCGGGTACTGTGGTTTATTGAATTTATGCGGTCCTTTGATGTTCTTCATCTAAATGTTAATTCAAACCTCATTCAATTACCATATTTCCTTGCCAATTCTCAACCCAATTTTCACACCCTGTTACCCGAATTTTATGTCAGACATCTATCTTCTGGCCGAGGGGTTGAAGCGATGGAGGGGGGTACATAGAATGGAATAGGGGGGGCAGGGGTGTAAGGACAAATTGGCCTGCTCATCAGGCATTCTATTAATTTCCGTCTGCCAGTCCGAGAGAGCATGAGAGTAGGAGAGGTTGAGGGGTAGCACCCGGGTTGTTCGACCACGCATCCAATTTGGTCCAATCTCGCCTGCTTCGTGATCCATGTCGAAACGGAAATGGGTAGAGAGGGGCGGGGGGCGTGTATCAGGCGATTGAGGGTAGAAGGGAGGCGATGGCCCATTCGTATTCGTCTCATCGTTTCCGACGTGCTCTCCATCGGTTTCGCAGCCACTTTACAAACCAAGGACCGACGGGGTGGGTGCCCCGTGGGAGTCCCCTCGTCCTCCTCATCCTCATCCTCATTTTCCCTGCCCAAAAGTGGCACCGGAGGTTCCACAAGGTTTCGTTGTCTTTTCTTGAAAGAAATTGCGTCTTGCTAAACTTTTTTGAGAATACGAGGGCTTTTCAACCCTAGTCCCGTTTCGGACCGAAGACCGCTTTTTGCATCTTTTCTCCCCTTTCGTTTAGCTAATGCCGCCTTCCATGTTTGTCCAGTGTTTTCTAACAAAGCAGGCTAGCGACTGGCCAATAATTACATTGAACGTTAAAGTATTATTCTGTATTCTGTGTTTGTACAGTCGTTCTGCACCTGATGCCGTATTATGCGCACCATCAAATCACTTGTCGACACGATAGCCCGAGAACAACATAATGAATGTTAGATGCAACGTGTCACCAAGATACAATTTTTTATAGATAGTAGGATCTGGTTACGGTAGCCTACGTTGACCTATTACTCTATTTACCCCACTCAATATGAGAACCGCTTTCATCGCTAACCACCTATGGCTACACCGAATCCGTCGGTGTCGAGAAAGAATACAGCTTCCCCTCATTAGTGCTGATTGCCGACAACCTTCTCAAATGGCAATCCACTAGGGGTAGAATATCCTCAGGGAATTTATTCAAATCTTGTTCTTCCCCAACTTTTCCGTGACTAATGACCATGTTTCGAGTAATAAACTTTGGAATTTACCGTGATCGGTCACCCAACCAAAATCCCGATTTTAGCAACTTCAATCCCCGGTAGAGTGCTAGGCACTTTTTATCATCGAATTCAGCAGGATTTACGAGACTACCCATCAATTACGTGAGGATTGCTTTCAAATGACGATGATGATTGCGGAAAGGGGGGTATAGGGTCCTCTGTGCCGTGTGGTGGTGGTGGTCCTCCTGTGGGGTTTGGAGGGTGGTTGGTGGCCTCCCGGGACGCATGGATGGAAGAGGACTCTGGTCGATGCTGAGATATCGATCGCACTCTCTACCCTCCAAACACTACGCACAATGTCCCTCACAACCACTCCCAGTTTACTACTAGGAAATCCATCTTATGACTTTTGGGATTCGCAGCTTATAGCGTCAATGTACGCCCGGGGTTTTCTGGACAATCGTTGTTAGGTCGATTGTTCTATTTTCCCTACCTCATTTTTTAGAAGGTCTATCAATACACTTATAATCATAATCTTGTTACTAAAAATTATAGTAAATACTCATAGTGCCTTTATAATTAGCCGAACAAAAATTCAAGAATTGAAATTAAGCAAAGCAAAAAAGTTTTAAATCACTAAATTTTCACTAAACGTTCTTAAATTTAAAAAGTTTTATAGAATCATTAAATATAATTCCGCAAGTTGTCTTTTGCTAATTGCTTATGTGTGCAACTTGTTTGTAGCGAGTATTTGAGGGAAATAGCCTAACTCCGATCCTTTCTTCTTCCCTTCACTTCCACGCTTTCCCTCAAAACCCTTCGAACACGATAACCTCACTTTCCGAAAGCATTCCCCTCCTCCATACCTATTTTCGGGAAAGCCCTCCGAATTATTTATCCCCCGACATCCTCTCAAATTCCATTCCATAATCGGATTGGTTGTATGCTGCCCCTCCACCACGCTCCTATCCCTCCCCCTTCTTTCTCTTCATCGACCAACCCATACGCCGTTTCACCAGCTGCCTCCGGTTACACTTTGCGTTATTCTCCAAATTAAATTCTGTTTCTTTCAGGAAATGGACAAGAGCGATATGCAACGCACCGTGGAGAGCCTCCGCCACCAACTCAACATTGAGCGCCAGCCAATTTCGAAGAGCGCCACCGAGTAAGTCAAAAAGAATCTATTCATTCTTTATTTTCCATGATCGCTACTTTTAGACCTACCGTGGGTTGAAAAATATATTATTTTTAAATTGTCATTATCACATATTGCATCTTATTACTATAGCGGCATATATCCAAGTTATCCTTGCAAACTCGACACCCTTGGTGGGGCTTCGAACAAAATTCGTCGTGTAGTGGCTGCTCGTATTTTTGGGGAATTTCGATGATCAAAAATTTGTTCAGACTTCGCCGCTTCACGGAAAGCCAACAGGATTCTGATCCGCTGGTTAATCCGGTGGATAAGCGAGTCAATCCGTGGGCCGAGAAGAGCAAATGCGCTTTACTTTAAGTCAGGTATGTTCTAGAAATCTAATTATTACTCTGAAACTTAAACCGAGCTATGTGATTTTTTACTAAAGCTTTATATGGTAATATACCTTAAAAGAGATTAAAACCCCGATTTATTCGATTAAAATAAATGAATGTACTTTTATAGTGGGAAACAACACCATCTACCCTCCCTTCAACTTTCCAAACTTGCTTTAACAGTCATCAACAGTGCCCTATAAAAACTATACCGAAAATTACCACAGTACCCTACCCAACCTCCTCACCCTATCACAATTCTATTTATTTTTGTAGCCCTGAAATTGAGTGTCCTCTCATTGCCGCCACTTTCTTTGTGTACCTGCCATCGTCAAGTGCATATTCTTTTGGATTGCGATTTTGGGAAATAAACCATTTTGCAATTATGTTTATTCACAACGTGGTATGGGGAGAGAACACGTTTTTCAACTGATTTTTGCTTTCGGGGGCATAAGAGTGAAACAAGAAAAATACTGAAAGGATCCAAACGTAAAACTGAGAATTTCGTTATGCAAAGCTCGTTATGGCGGATTCGTAAATGGAGATCATTGGGATTGGGCTGACTTTCATACGGTATATCTCCGTATGGTTTTGAGAACAACTTTATATAGTTGGGTGACAAAAGAAAAAACGCGAAAAATACAGAATAAATAAGGAGTAGTTGTGGTGAGCTCGAAAACGGCGTAGAAAGATTGGAATAATTAAGAACCTAACACAAAAATTTTTGCACATCGGAAAACTAGGGGTGAAAGGTGGACTACCATACAATGTATCGTGTTTTCTACTGTACTATTCGTAATCTTCCCTCGTGGAATCTTCAATAGGGGAAAGTTGTGTAGGTAGATGATGTGGCAGATGGGTTTCCATCATTTCCACAACCTCATCCATCACAGTAGCAAGACCTGTCATCACGCTTTGTTTTTGCGCCATTTGGTAGCTCTGAAAAATAAAGATAATCTTTTTCAAATGCAGCTAGTGTCGTAAGACGCAATGAACTCGCCTGCTGCCTCATCATGCTCATCCTCGACTTTATCCGCTGCTTATGGTTGATCCTTGCTTTCAACGGATTTGTCGGCTTCACGTCAAAAGTCGTCTCTCCCTGCCCGAGCTGCTGTTCCACGTGCAAAGCTTGCTTCATGTTCAGCAGCTTCTGAGGTTGGAATTCCAGGCTTTCCGGGAGGGAGATGCGCTTGCAAACAGCTGGAGGTCTGCTGCGGCCCGCTGGTGGCCGGCTGATCTTCATTCGTTGCATCTTTTCAACGTTGGGATCGACTGGTGATGGCGGGCAAGGCGGAGGAGCGAATCTAAAAGTTAAAATTATAATAATACTTTTTTGATTGGCGATATCATGATGAATTTAAAACTCACTTTGCTACTTCGCCCATCACTCCTTTTCCCTTTGTGATGAAGCCGATTTGGCCTGTTGGGAAGTGCGGAGCGCGTGCATTGTCAAAGACCATGTTGTCAGAGGCCCTCCATCCTTCTCCAAACGATGAATGTGTTTGAGGATTGCTTGTCGATGGTGTATTCGCACATTGGCACGGGTTCATCGACACGAGCGGGTGTTGTCCTGAAGGCTTGATAATTAAAAATATAATTGTTGATAGCGATACCTTGGCTATGCTGACTGCCATCACTTCTACTTGCTGGACACGACGACAAGCTGCTCATCAAGTCGGTCTCAATGGTGTCTAACCCATCCAGAGTGCATGGAGATGTCTCCAGCATTTCATCTCCAGACGTCATGCCCATACCCTGACCACCATTTCCGGCCATGTCCATCTCCACCCCTTCATCAATACTTCCGATCGTATTAACAGTGCTCTGTCGACTTAATGTAGAAGCACGGTCGTCATATCCACTGGATGTGGTGGTATCGGTGGTTTTAAAGGTGTTGTGATCCCGCAGAGAGTGCAATAGTGGACGCGCCCGTTTGATAGAGATAACTTCTTCTTGGCTGAAAAACCTTATTAACATCTCTAATGTGTAAATTACCGTTGCAAGTCTGGGTCCGTCTGGGTACGATGAAGGCCACATTGCGACTCAGATTTACGCCTAGTAGTTTCCAGGGTAGAATTTCGCCAGCGATCGAAAAGCAGCAGATAAATTGCCATAAAATTGTCGTATTGCCGTTTTCGAAGAGACTAAAAACGTTCATACAATAACTGATATGTTGAATACCTCTTTTGTTTTGCTTTGATCAACGCCCATTCCATGCATAAGGTTCAGGATCTGCTGTTGAGGCTCATTGTAGGTGTATTTTTCGTAGTTGGCGACCTATACTACATACACCAAAACTAACAAAATATTATACTTCAGCTTCAATTCGTTCTTGTACATTTCCCTGTTGCATCCATTTGTGCTTTTTGATTTGTTCGATGGTGGGGCGCTTGGCCGGGTCGAGGACCAACATTTTTCGGATGAGATTTTCGCATTCTATTTTGTAACTACAGGTTTTCGTTAGCTAGGATTACCTTGGGACATGTAGAAAGGTATTCTGAACCGTCCACTTAGGACTCGATCTCGCAGATGTTGGAGGGTAGGTCCGTTGAAAGGTAGAGCACCGCAGACGAAAACATAGAGGACGACGCCAAGGCTCTGAAAAGGAAAATTGGTTTGAAATGATAAGTGGCTTTACGGTTGTATATGTCGTTAGTTCACCGATGCTATATTCCCAGGAATCCTGTTGATGATTGGATTCTTTCCCAGGGCGTACACCTCTCAAATATTCCCAGTCCCATTCTCAAAATTGCAAAAACTATCCCGCCACCCTCACCAAACCCATTGACGCGAACCCCGCTGTTCACAAGGCGACGCGACGGGACAAATTGTGTTTGTCTGTGGCAACGTGCCGGAATGCCCAGGTGGGGAATTTGTTACAGCCTCGGTCATCCGTTGGCCGAAAAATGGGTGCAGCCGGAGGGGGTAAGAGAGGAGAGAATAGAGAGGCTGTTGTCATTGCGTCACGGCATCGGGTTGCCCATCGCTTCGGCGGCTGCTCATCGCTTCAAAAGTTTGCGATGTGAAAAAGGGCTGTGGTGGGTCGCGTTCCGTGGCGGATGGGTGGAGGGACGTTCGGATGCAGAACGGCCAGGATTTTTGACGAGTAGATCAGAGATTAATTTTGGGAAGTTTTTGGTTTTGCTGGTTTATTCTGACAGAGAGAACCCTAAAGGGGCTCGGACGGCAGTGTCCTCCATCCACAAATCGTCGAAAAATGGGCTCCCCGAGTCACATAAAAGGTGTTGATCCCTAAGCGTAGACGCATGCAAATTTTTCCATTTTAAGCCGTTAAAGTCCAAGATATACTAATGCAACACAGTAACCCCAATTGAACATCACCCAACAACTTCTTCCCCCCCCCCTTGCAAAATGGCCAAGTTCCGTTTCCCTTTAATCTCCACCCCATCAATTAATCTCAGCCATCTCCTCACAACTGTTCCCACCGACTCTTAGAAATCAAAAAACACCGATCCTTGCCACCCTCTTTCTAGAAATCACATGTCGATAGGGGGTCACTTGTCCATCCCGCAGATCCAACAACCTCTGCTCTGCAAGTCCCCAGGAATAGCCACCACCCGCGTCACAACACCCGCGTTTCCGGTACCTCCCTAGCTCGCCCTGGCTAAAAAAGTTCCTGGTTTTTGTGTCCGGGTCTTGTAACGGAAATCCCTTAGTTTTTTCGGGCTGCTTGTGGGCTTATTCCTCACCCAAATGTCAAGGCTTGTCGCGGAGTACTGACGGCCTTCAAACACTTCGGGGGCGGCGTAAGGGGGCGAGCCGCAGAAGGTGTTCAGTTGCTCGTCTCCCTTGAAGAAATTGCTGAATCCAAAGTCGGCAATTTTCAGGTTGGAGCCCTGGTCGAGCAGCAGGTTTTCCGCCTAGAAAATGTTCGTATTTCCAGTACCTAATATAGCCAAACCTTCAAATCCCTATGTACAACACCATTTTGATGGCAATAATCGATGGCTGAGATCAACTGCCAGAATTTGACCCTGGCATCCTCTTCGGAAAGACGACTGTGACGTGAAATGAGATCTAAAGTTTGGATTAAACAATTTTTGGGATTCTCCCTCACCAAAAACTTCTCCATTTGGAGCATATTCCGTGACTAGATACAGGATGTTTGTCGTTTCGATCACCTAGAAAAGCCGTGATACCACGTGTCCTTTGTAGGTTTTTTATCCTTTTAGAGTCACTTTTACGCGAATTCCATATGACAGCTCGTGCGGAAACGAAGGCTTTTAAATTTTATGCATGTGTGCCGCGTCCCGGGGCAAAACTTGACACGCCTTCCAGGGGGAGATAGGAGCGAGAGAGGAGAGGATAAGGGACAAAGTTCTTGATCTTTGAAGGAAGAAACCGATTACCTGGTAAAGCTTGATGATGTGGGGATGGTTGAGCCGTTTGAGGACCTCGATTTCGCGATAGACCTTGTTGAGGTTGTCCTGGTCGAGCCGGGTTTTGTCGACGATTTTGATCGCTACTTCGGTTTTGGTGACGCGATGTTTGGCTAGCTTTACGCAGGCGTAGTTGCCTTTGCCGATTGTCCTTTCCACCTGGAAAAACAGTTTTTATGGATTTTTGTATTTTTTCAAGTGTCTCATATTTGATACTAATTGAAACTCAACGATTTTTCTAAGGCTTTAAGAAAATCCGGCAGAAATTCCTTTAACCTGCATTAGTATTTTAAGTTTAGCCAGTCGTCACCCTTTTTTCGGGATTATTTTTCGCGAATTTAACTACTTTCCCTGTTCATTCTCAAAGCTCACTGTACCAAGGAAAACAATAGAGTATTATCTTCAAAACAGCCTTTTCACCTCCCTATCCCCCTTCTCCCTGCGCCCGCAAACAATAAAGAAAATCGTGTTGACAAGCGCCTCATTACCCCATTGACGCAATTCGGGGAATCCAGGAAAAGTCTCGGCTGGAATGAGGAGGGGCTGGCACTCCGGGTATGACGCCGTAAACCAATGGAACACGCCATGATAAGGGCCGCCCCAGGTCGATCGAAAGTTTTTGTTGCCGCAAAAAAAGAGGCTCGAACAGCCGTTTTGGAGTGGCAGGTTTTGGATTTCGCATCAAATGGGGGGATGTTTACACGGCGGGCAATCATTGGTCGAAAATAATTTTTCGAAACTAATTTTCACAGTCTTATTTTTGAAAAAACTTTTTTGAAAAATTTATACTGCTCTTTCATTCTTTTGGCAATTTCCTGTTGATATTTGGACGCAAATTGCTCGAAAGGGTGATTTTCAAAAATGGTTTTCGAAAAAGTGTTTCTCGGAATGCGAGTTTCGAAGATGGGTATGCAAATGACTTACAAGAATGAGCTGCTATTATTAACAATCATTACGTTCTAACATATATTTTATAAGATCAACCTAGATGAGTTCGTTCATTTGTACTTGGGCGGGCCGTGATAGAAGGAGAAGCGGAAAACACGAGTTGAGAGCTCTTGCAAAGAATTCGGGGCCCAAGTGACGCAGGGGGGTGAGGAGGAAAAGCCGCGCGCGTGTGCTCGACCAAATAGAAGCCGGGAGCTCCCCGGACGCTTTTTCGTTGAAAATAAACGCCGATGAAAAGGGTCTTAAAAATAGATTGCAGGGACTTGGCTGGGATCTGTCGTGTTTGGGGATAAGTTCGAGATGTGGAAAAGTGATCAAAAGATAAATCAAGTGCTGGGGTCGTGATTTTTGAACATGGAATAATAGAGAAGCTTAGAGAACGAATCTGAAAAATTCTACCAACCTCATAGAATCCAATTCTAATCGTGGATCGTGGCATCGGCGGCCACGCCGCCTCCATCATAGCGCCGTTGAGCCAACCCGCTGGAAAATGGAAATTAATATGTCGCGACTAGTGTAAATTTTTCTAAAACAACAAAGCAATCTGAACCAAGCATTAAAAATCCACGCTCGCCCACCGTGAGCAGGTGCTTTACATAGACTAGGCGAAATGGAATGAGCAGTGGCTAGCCACTAGCAATAATGATCAGAAATTCGAAGAAATTTGGCATGCCAATAACAAAGTCATTGACTATAGCAAAATAAAAACGCTCTAGGGGGTACTACACCAAAATAAGGTCAGAGCCGTAGATGTGCAAAGAGAAAAATAAAGGTGTGTGGCTGGAGGCACTTAGGGTCGTGAGAGTTTGGTGCATTTTTTGTTTCCATGACATCGAAGAATTGGAATCCGTTTCCCACAATGCACTTTTACGGGAAAGTGGTATCCAGTTTTCTGCAATTGTAGACGTCATATAAAGAAAATTCCAATACTGATATTTCAGTTAAAAAAAGGATTTAGCAATGATGGGGCGAGAAAATTACGAGTAGCGCTGGGCCATCAAATAATAGTAATTTAGGTTTCCAAAAAGACGATATTTACTATTTACTATTCGTTTCACGCCTGAACCAAGGCGGTGAATCAATTTGAGCGAACCAGGACGCGAAAAAGACTGGGCCTGAGCGGCCCGAGCACCCTAATCAGCCAGTGGAAAAGGCGTGACGTAAGGGTTGAAAAGGGGGCTTTTCACTGAGGGTGGTCTTTACATATAATGCCATGTCTCCCTAAAGAAAGGCCGGTCAAAGTTGATCAAAAGCAATTACACGTCACTAGACATTGATGATGGCCTTTTGAGAAGATTAGGGGCGATCAGAACGGCAAAATGAATTACTGCCTCGTCAGACTCTTTTGCCCATTCAACAACGAGAGAGTGGATTAAGAGGTGACTGGGTGAATAGAAATTAGTATTGGAAGCTGGTGGAATATGAGAATTGTTATGTTTATCGTGAAAGTTTGAAAGTGTCTGAAAAGGGTTTGGGTAAGAGCAGAATCTGATAGAGGAGAACACTCATAAAATGATGGGGAGGGGTAGAAGACATGGAAAGGAGTGAGATCAAAAAATCAGATTTGGTCATGGTTTGCTTAGAGGAGAAAAGTAATAATTGAGTACTACTGAATGCATAGAAAAAGCGTGAATAAGAAAGCTTCGTTGCAATAAAGATGCTATACCGTACTCTGAACACTTTGAAGAATCAAAATTTCTGATTGACATTTTGTTAAAATTCTGTCTTTTGCAAGGGATTGCCAATTTCAATTTATTCTGCTGAAAAATTCCAAAAACCCCAAAACCAAAGAAAGGATTTAAATCTAAAACCCGGGTCAAGGGTCACCCCCAAAAATCCTTCGGTCAAGCACCTCGACCACAGAAAGCAACCCCCAAAACAAAACACAAAAAATGCCTGGTACACATTTGGGCGCAATTAGGAGCCAGCCGTTGTGCTGACTGCTGCTGGGGGGAAGTGCAGGAAATCAGGAGGTGGTTTAGGTTGTGTGTGCGTGTGTGTGGACAGTGGGCCCCCTCCTCCTCCCGACCCTGGGCCCGTGGCCCTGCCCCCCTCCTTCCCTTTTGGCCCTCTCCAGTCTCTTTTCGACTGCGGAAGGGCTGACGTAGACGCAGCTTTTCCTTCTCATAGTAGACCTCAGCCCCAAACATCGAATCAAAAAAGGTACCGCGTCACGGGGCGTTCTTCAAAATATGCTGGGGTTGGTGGAAAGGGGTGGAGATTTGGGCTGGCAGATACCTTTTCAATTACCGTAGAGTTAAGACGCCTAAAGAGCTACTTACTAAGATTGAGGTTGTACAAAAAACTAGTAATTTTTCAAAACCTTCGCTCATAACTTTCCGATAATTATACCGTACCTTCGCATGTAACAGCCCATTCTCCCAGATTTCCCCAGCAATACAAGGAAACCAATTAACCCACACGCAAAAGCCACAGTACATTACAGAATTTCACGAGCATCCAAAACCCCGCTTCCCATATTGTTCAAACCTCCAGCAGCCCCCCCCCCTCCCCCCGGAAATGCGTCAAAATGCTGCTTGCCACGGTCGGAATTGTTGACACAGCCCGGTGGATCAGCCACAACAAAGCCTTAATCCGGTCAGGAATCGGGGGCCCTTCATCTTATTTACCCATTTTTATATGTGCCGCCGGTGCACCTATGCATTCGTACGATAATCGTGTTAATGCTGGCATTTCTGGTAGGGATTAGCACACACTTTTCGAGATTAGCCAGTTTTTCAGCGGAATTTGAGAGTGATGAGTAGGGTTCCAAAGAGCAAATGTGGTAGTTGCGATCATATTTTGGTGTATTGGAATTGGTGGTGGTTGTCTATAGGGTTTTAAAGTGAGTGGGAAGCTTTTTCGGCTTCTCCCAAGCTCCAACAGCCGATTTTTGATTTCTCAACCTCCTGAAATGGATTACATGATGAGCGCAAATATGTTTGGGGGAGAAATTGATGGGGGAGGCGCAATTTTTTGGCTGTGGGAAAGATGGCGAGACTTTGGGGGGAGGGGAAGACACGACGACGATGATCGTGTGTTCCTCGGTTTAATGTGACGCAGATGGAGGTGGTGACGTCGCAGCCATAGCTCACCTGGGGCCCTGGCTGAGGGATGGGAGTTGCTCAAAGGCAGGCTGGTGAGATAGAGCTGGATGGGGAGCAAGAGGGACGAGGTTTTCAGGGAGAAATCCCGATCACTGATTGGGAGATTGTTATTAAAAGGTTCAGATACTGTGCCTAAAAGCTATTGAAATTAGATATATAACAGCCAAGGTAGGATTTGTCGAAAATCATCGCATTGACCAGAATATCGAAAGTTACGATGCCGAAAATTGGATTGTCGAAATTTAAATTCGTCGAAACTGATTATTTTGGGTGGTCATTTTGTGCAACCTTCATTTCGTAGAAATTGCATTTTATCGAAGTTTACATATCTGGAAAATTAAAAATACCGAACTTTCACAATGTCAAAAAACCAGGTGCTCAATGCAGAAGGTCCACTTTTTAGCGATTGTAATTTAATTATTCTAATTTTGATAAAACGAAATTCCCACCAAATAGGATTTCGACGATAAATAAGCGGAAGATGAACTATAAACTATAAGTCGTAACTTATTACTCATACCTAATTCAGGATTTTTTGTCTTGCAAAACTTGTCACCATCCTAACACTGAAAGATGACTAATAAAACCACTTGTTCCCTCTTCGAAACGCTACTGAGATTTAGAGCACCTGTGTGGGCTGAGTGTAAGTGACGTTCAGCTTCTCCTCTCGCCCCTTCAGCTCATCGACAACCCCCAAAAACAAATTATGCGTCCCTAAAGCGCTGCCCAGTCATTCCCCCCCCCCTCCGTTCTAATTCATTTGGTGAGCGTTTCGTGGGATTAGGCCCCCGTCGTCGTTGGCTAGTCAACGCATTCACAGAATCAGAAATGTCACTTCCCTTTTCTCTTTTGGTAGATTATCCCACGGGCGTTTTTTTGACCAAATGCTTACGAGAAATGGAGGAGATAATCTTTATGGGTTTTTGGCTCATGTAATCATCGGATTGTCTGTGATGAAGCGCCGCTGGGTTGAGGTGATTTTTCGAGGCTTTGGAAAGGTTCTATTTAATTGGGAAAAACTGAAAAAGATTTGTAAAGGCGCGGAATAAACAGTAACAGCATAAGAGAAGTGAGTAAAACCTCTCAAAAGCTGGCCTCGCGGAATATTCCAAGTTTAACTGGCTTAGATAGGTCGCCAGCAAAAAAAACAATTGACGAAGATACGGTCGATCGTGGTTTTACTAAACGGAAAAATGCAATGACGCTTTTTGGAAAGACAATTATATAGGGATCCTTTGAGCAGAGGTCATCCCAGACCACTTTTCCCTCACACAATCATAAAATTGCCCAAACACGACCGTATTCGGCGAGCTGGCGCGAGCAGGAAATAGCGAAAGAAAGACTGTCGCCGAGTTTGGGTGGTCGATTTTGAAGATTAATTGGGCTTGGTCTTTAAGCTTGTTTCGTAGGCTTTAAGGTTTGAATTACAGAACTCGTCTCTTAAGTTATAAGCTAGACGAATTAGAATTAGATTTCAACGAGTGTCGGAAGGCTCAGCAAAATGGAAAACAAATAACGTCTTTAAAAACCGAGGTCAACCCTTTTGGCTAGCTGTGTTTTCAGGGTTCGATAGGGCTTTTGCCAGCCGGTCATAGCCCCCCCCCCCCTTCGCCTTGAAGAACAACTGACTCGCCGCAACTCGTGCCAATGCAGGGGGTTCTTCAAAATGCCGATCCTCAGGTCAATCAACCATTTTTCGGGCTTGGGGAAAGCTTTTAAATGTTGGACACCCAACGGTAGAGTGTGGTCAGTTTGAAGGGTTCGAGCGTTTTTGAGAGTAACACTCATAATTTCCAGGCCGTGTGACCTTTGTATTATGTCTCATTTGTTTGACGAGGGTCTTGAAGGGAGATGATCCTCGAGATAGGCACAGCAATTTCGAGTGGTTGGCCAGGGCTTTTGTGGTGGTTGGTCAGCGATTTTGCAGGGTGTAATTGTTCCTACAAGGGTACTAAAGTTTTGTTTCCGCTCGAGGTATATGCGGAAAGTAGGGTAATTTTGTGATCACTATTTTAGGAAGTTGTTGTTAGTCTGGCTTGATCTTACATCGGTTATAGGTAAACCGTGTTTGAACAACCGCTTCGCGGATTAGAAGCCGCGTCGCCGCCTTTGGATTGCTCTGACGCATTTCCTCCTCCAGACATGTCCGTCCGCACGGGGGCACATTCTGGTGCTCCCAAAAAAGCTCTAAAAACAACCTAGGATCCCCATTCTTCGCTAAACACGGGGGTTGGAAGCCAAATAAGGTATGCAATATCTTAAGAATATTCCGTCCGCTTTGCTCTACCCACTTTATTTTCCGGTAGAATAGCTATGGATAAGAATTAAAAGTCAATTAAAATTAAATGAATTAAAAGAACTAAAGTTGCCAGTTTCATAACTACGAAGGGGCTGAAAATAGACCTTGAGAATTCAGCTAAATTTGCTCTAGCAGACTTTATGGCCCCTTAAAACAGCTAGGCAAAAGCATAATTCATTCCAAATATTTATTTCGTAAGACCAAAATTCGACTAGTTCATTCATCATTATATGACGCGAAAGTCTATACAAATACTGTTTTGACATATCGGCGACACCGGACCCGAATTGCGAAGATATTGGCGAAAAAAATTGAAGAAAGCCTTCGAAGCAAACTGGCTGGAAATCAAGATCACAATTGAACTGCATCGAGACGATACAGATAAATGTCGTTTTGAGTGTAAGGAAAGAGAAGATCAACTGAGAAATGCATTGGGTTGAGCACCGACGTCACGAGAGACGACGGCTGTAGGGGAGGAAGTGAAAAGTAGATGCATAATTGAGTTAATTTAGACGTGGGTAGAGCTTCGGCTGAGTGGTCGATCTTGGCACATGAAGCTGTAGGTTGAAACTTTTGGGGTATCCACCTAAAGGATATTTAGTGTTACAATTCACTGCATTGGTTTTGGCATTGCGAAGTTCAGGTCTAATTAAAAAAATTAATCAAAATTACCTCTTGTAATGGCTCCAGCGGTGCATGTAATTTATCAGTGTTACCATACAATTCCGAAAGTGCACCTCCTGACAACGCTGCCGGTGTGGAACCACCTAAATTATTCGAAAATAAAATATATCCCAACTCCCAAACCTGAGAAAGACCCGTAGTTCGTATCATAACGCGAATTTGGCATAAAGTTGTAGTCGATATTCGACCCATTCATATATTTCGGGTACAACGAGTTGTTGGAGCTGGACAGGCCATATGACGAGGGCATCAACAGGTCCAAATCGGGGTTGTTTTGCGGGACTGCGATGTAGTCCTGAAGCCAAGATTGTTGGGATTTGTTTTGTTATGCCAACCTTAGAAAGCAACAAATTCCCGTCGTCCATCGGGCCTCCATACATCTCGGAATAGAATGGGGGATCAAGGGCTTCACATTTCACAGTTACATCGGATTCAGAAGCTGTGAATAGGGAGGTAGAAGGAATGGGATAAAAATCGAATACCTGTAAATTTGCTGCCTTTCTGGTTGTAGCGTCTTCTTCGGCGCCATGCACAACAGCAAAGGAAAAATAGGCAGAAGAAGATGACGGAAGCTGCGATTGCTGCTATTATCAGTAAGTCGTCGCTTCCTGAACAGGAAATTGTTAAAGCGATTTCAAAACAACTTTTAAAAGTTCAGAATGTGGATTTTCAAGAATCTATGTAGCTTTAAAAGTTCAGAAAACTGTTGTCTATTAATGCACGCACGACTACAGAACCCAATAGCCAAATGGAAGTAGAAACTACTAACCGCAAAAAACGCGAAATCTGTACCTAATTAGCCCTGGCTCAAACTCACCAAGTATTTCAAAGACAAAATCCAAAATATTCTTCTTGCTCAACGTCACTCCTTGGCTATCCATGCCAAGTCCGTTATTTGCCGTACAGTTGTATACTCCGAAATCCCCTTCTTGCAGATCCCGAATCGTCAATTTGCTTTCGACCCCATAGACGTGGGGCATCTGATGGACCTGAAAATCCTTAGTTTTATGAAGTATACATATAAAGGTTTTATTTCAGGAAATAAGAAAAATTTTTAGTTAGGTAAGTGCAGAAAGTCTCTACGGTGTGCGGGCTTAACCTGGAATACATTGGCGGAGCTGTACAGGAGCGGATTCATAACTAGCTAAACGCTTTGGGCTAATTTGCTCTTGGTTTTTCTCGTAATTTTGGAAACAAGAGATTGCTCTTACCTGCATACGCCCAGAATTGAAGTTCAAGTCATTTTCATCGCGGCTCCAAACGACTTCTTTCGGCTTCGGTCTGCCGCGAACTTTGCAGCTGAATACGGCAGTCTCTCCCAAATTCATATTTGGGGGAGCCTCAAGGGAGATCGTAGGAGCTCCTGAAAAATGGAATAACTTTTTCAAAATTCTATTTACCTCGAATATGCAAAAAATTGGCAAGTCGGTCCTGCTTGAACCCATCCATAGCTGCTGTGCAGATATATTCACCTTGTTGCCACGTTTGAACGTTTTCGATGGTAAAACTAAGAAAAAGATTGGACCGTTTTTTGGTTGAGCGTACCTTTCGCCCTTTGCGATAACTTGAGGATCGCCGGCTTTGCTCCAATATAATTGAGGCTTAGGGTTTCCGTTGGCTTCACAATTGAATGTAGCGGACTCGCCGACGTTTACCTCGCGTTCTTGTTGGGTTGAGATAATCCTTGGAGCAACTAAAAATAGGCTTATAATGATTTTATTCTTTGTCAAATTTTTATAGTATTCAATTGTTTAGTTTCGCATATTATTCGCTTTTCCTAAACCCCCCTTGGTGAGTGATCGGTTTGGATGACGAGCAGCGATTGGACATGAAAAATGGTGACAGCCGTGTCTAAGGGGCCTTATCCCCCGTTCTCGGGTTGAGCACATGCAAATGAGCATCCACCGGCAGTCAGCAGCAGATTTGATGGATCCCCCTTCATCACTGCCAGCTCAACAGCAAGCGACTTGTTGGGTGGGAAGATTTGATGTTGTAGTGAAGGCAAAAGATATAGATTTGAGATACTGTTTTAAGACATCGATCCATTTTTAGGACAGCATGGCTTAAGAAATTCTATGCTAGCGAGAGTAAACCCCAAAATTCATGCGACTATGGCAAACGAGAATTACATTATTCGATAACGAATGCGAAATGAGAAAATTGACGAGAATACCGATATTACGCGAAAAATAAAGTCCGTTAAATCGTCATTTTCTTCAAGACTTACAAGCAACATTCAATTTCGTCGTCCCCTTTCCTTTCCCGATCTTATTCGTCGCCTCACAGCTGTATTCCGTTCCATGATCTTCCATCTTTAGACTCTCGAACACCAAAGTCTGAAAACAAACCATATTTTCTAGTTAATATAAACTCACATCGGCTGTATTCTTCATCAGCACTCCTTCCTTAAACCATTGAATCTTGAGGTGGTCCATAGGCTTTGCGTCTACAGAACAGGCCAAGAGCAGTCCACCGCCTTCACGAATTTTCGTAGAAGAGGCGACAGTCAGATTGACGCGTGGTGCATATTCGAGCACAAATTTCACGCCATCGACCTCCACCCGATCTTTATTCGTCTCATGATGACTGAGGCACACCAAAAATTTCTTGTCATCTTCTGGCCGGGGAACGTAGCTGAAGCAAGGAAATTCATTTCAAAGCAATTTTCACCAACCTTAAATTTGAAATAACGCTGTAGACGCCATTGTCTTTTTGGATATTATCGATGATATTTGCCTGCACGGTCTCCGGCGAAAAATCGTTGGTTTCTAAAAACACCATGCGGAACCTAAAAAAGGGCTTACTAATTAAATGTCCTAATTTTGAGCGTGATTCGCCGAGCCAGGCAATGATTTTCTTTCCCTCTGGATCACCGGCGACTGCCCAGCCAAGTTTTGCTGGTGGTTTTCCCTAGGATCGGAAATATATGGCAAAAAAGGATAAATACCTTCTTGCTAATGCACGATCGTTTTATTACATCGCCAGCGATGGCATTGAGCGTTAGGTCCTTTGGTTTATCCAATTGATGAGGTGACGTTGGTTGTTCTAAACTTTGTTGATAACCACTTGGCTGTCACTTACTCAAAATATTGAGCTTTGCAGCATTTGAAACAACCGTCCTTTCCCCGTGTACTTCTCCGATTTGGCAACGGTAAACGTCATCATCATCAACGGTGACGTTGACAATCTAAAAACATTAGTTTGTCCAATCAAACGCGTATCCAGGGCCAGGGTCAAAAAAGCAAAAGATAAGCCCAATGCGGGGCTCGAACCCGCGACAACCAGATTAAGAGTCTGGTGCTCTACCGACTGAGCTAACCGGGCGGTGGGATCGGTGCAGACAGGCGAGTCTTACGCCAGCTGGCCCCGTTGAGTCATTGCCCCCAATTTCTCTCTTCCCAAATGCCAACAAACACAACCAAGAGAGTGGAAGGGAGAAGAGGGAGAACCGAAAACAGGAAAAGAAAAAGGATGGGCATATTTTGCAAAAAGAATACCTGTAGATTGTATTCTCCTTGAGCCACTTTCCCAACCATAGAATAGCGAGGGAAAAATTTCAATCCTCGATCGATGCCCAGACCAAAATCGTTTTTAGTCCATTGCACGGCTCCTTTCTAAAATTATCAAAATACGGGTGGCGAGCCAGTTCAAACGTACCTGGTTTTCTACTTTACATCTTAATTCGACGGTTCCTCCAACGAGTGCAGATGTTTCAATGGGTCCGTCAACTATTCGTTGTTGGGCATGAGATGCGGCAACGAATATAAAAAGTAAGGCGACGCCGAGCGCGCCCAGCGGGTCGCGCATGCCCGGTGAGAATTATCTGGAATGTTAATGGTAAAAATACAGTTTGAAATTTGAGGAGGAAAATGCATAAAGTTCGAAAGGAAAACGATAACCGACATCAAGGAATGGGAAAATTTGGCACTGTATTGCAATTGTAATTCGAGCCAAGCAATTTCTCTCTAAGATCGACAAGGGCGGATCTCGTTCATTAGTAAACGAGCATGACTCAGCAACACATGACCCATTCTCAATCCTCCAGTCTTTAGGCGTGGCAAGGAAAAAAAATTGAAAACATGATAAGAAACCTTTTACGAAACTTATAAGGAGTTAACAACCAGGAATAAATTGCGAAACAGCCCAATCCATAACTCCTGACCACTAAGAACTTCGGGAAATCGCTTCCGCGGCAGTTTCTATTCGGAGGCGCGAAGACGTGGCGTGGGTGTGTAAAGGATCTTTGCAGCCGGGGGCATTGAAGTCAAATTCCGAGGAGGAGAATCCCGTTAACGGGGACCCCGTCAAAGCAGTCGAATCAGATGTCTTTGTCGCGGTGAAAATAGGGCTTTGCCGGAGGAATCTAACCTTGGGCAACACCAGGCGCGCGAGGGGCCAAGCGTTAAAATTAAAGGGGGAAAATTGGGTCTGGGGTCTGTCGGGTTCTTGTCTGATTGGGTGGCTTGGAAAAACATGGCGGGGGTATGGTTATTGGATCAGGATCGGGGTCGAAAGCTTCAGACGCGACTGGAGACTTATTTCTTAGGGTTGAATGGTATCAAAGTGAAAATATGAAAATTTTGTCCATGGAGGAAATTTAGACTATTGAATATATCATAAATTAATCAAAAAACCGACATAAATAAAAATTAGAGCTCTTTTGTAGGTTTAATGGTTAAAAACTATCTGAAAATATGTTAAAGAGGGAAAAGGGTTTACTTATTTACATAGAAAATTCAACTATCTAAAAAGCACAAATAATAAAAATTCCCACAAAAATCTATAACCAAACATTAATCCAAATGTGCCACACCCTCCCAATATTACGCCAAACTCCCCCCAGCCTGCACAATTTTACGGCGACCAGTGTTTTTCTAAAGGCCCCAGTGGGAGACCCAGCCGAGGCCAACGGATCGTCATTCGTATTCTCCTGCACATGCGGCCTCCCGTGCCCCCAGCTGTCAACCGCATAAAAGTTCGGAATCGAATAAGATTGTGTAACGAGATGAGACCCCCCCAGGAGCTCGCAGCTCCTTACTAGTGGCCGAAAAAACGGCTGGCCTGAAAGGCGCAACGCGGGTGTTTTCCGGGCGGCAAAGTGACAAGCCATAGGGGGTGATGGGGGAGGGGAGGAGGAGCATGGAAGTCAGTCAAGTGAAAGAATCTGAACGCTTTCATGATTTGGGTAAGGGAAGGCTTGTGTGTGAGCAATATTTCATTGCTAGGGATGCGATGGAAAGGAGGGGGGGGGGGGATGGGGCGGACGAGGTGAAAATAGGCGGACATTAGCATAATGGTCGATGGCTGAACAGCCCGCTCGCACCGGAACACTTGGATTTGCATAAGAAGTGTGGCTGGAATGGTACTAGCGGGGAAAGTTAGGGTGGGTGGCTAAAGTCAAGATTGGTTGAAATTTTGGTATTGGGGGATAGATGATGGGTGAATGAAAATGGCAGATTTTAAAGGGACTAGGAAGGCTGGGATTTCGCTTTCATGTTTTTATTAGAGCAGCGCTATGCTTGGTAGCAATGCTAAAGATAAAAAAAAAGCTGCTTTGGCTGCTATTCAAACATCGATAGCCGGAATTTCAAATTTTCAGATTCTCAAAATTTCCGAATCTCGCTTTTAAATAATCTCGAAAGATTTCCTTAAATCGAACAAATTTTCAAAAAACCTGTCGCATCTGGCAAATTTAAAATTATGAATTTTCGAGAAGGTGTCAATTTAAGATTCTGTAAATTCAAGGCTATGAAACTTGAGATGAAAATCTTGGGAATTTGGCAGGCTCACTATACAAAATTTATCGTATAAATTTTACATGCTTGTACCTTTAGTTCATCAAAAACAAGCAACTTAGACCGGAAAGTCAGAAAAACCTGGCAACCCAAAAAGAACACTCCGAAAAACCTTGTTGGCCCGGAACCCCCCATTGCGGGCAGAGTTTAATTGGGGGACTGGGCCCCACCACTGGCCCCTCACCCAATCCAATAAAGCAATCAAGTTTCAAGGGGGGTGAAGACGATCTGCTTGCAAAGAAAATAGGGACAAGCCGGTGAGAAGGGCCCTGTTGTTAGGCGTGGCTCAAATCTGGGCACTAAATCTTCGGGACGGGGCGCCTGGATAAGTGTTCGGATAAATCACCTAGGGCACCCTTCAAGGAGGGGCGTTGGGTGGGGGGCAAGATGCGATTTCGGAAATTCGCACTGCTGACAAGAGGCCTAAGGAGGAGGGTGAAACGGAGCAGCTATGTTTTGACTGGTTTTCACGTAGTTTGGTATTTTTAAAGGGACAACACAGAGTGACGAAAAAGTGCGCAATCTAGCTATAGGGAAAGGTTTCAAATTGTAACGATTTAGATATCTATGGGAAAGACTTGAAACAACGGTAAAACTATAAATTTTCGTTTTTTTTGGAATAGACATCTTCCTTCTGGTTTTTCTCGCAAAAAAAACGAGGAAACGATGTGGCTTCCGTATTGTAAGTACGATTGTCACGCGAAGGAATAGTTGTTTTTTATAAATGCCTTTAATATTAAAAAACGTTAAATAAATTAAGCAATCATGGTTTCGCCTTTTCCAGAGCTTTCGAATCTTGGCAAATTTTTCTACAAAAATATAACAAAACAACATCCGCCCAATATAGCGCCAGCCGGATGTATAAAAAAGACGACACTCCGCCAACCACTACTTCCCCCCAGTATCAAGACGTCAATCTACAAATGGATGCCGTGGTGTCCTTTACCCCTTTCCAACATACCCCACCACCCCAGACAATAGGAAGCCGCGGTGGTAGTGGTAGTGTGGGTGGGTGAAAGCACACAAAGAGTACGCAACACTCCCCTAAACGGATGTGCTGGTGCTAGGGCGGCCACACACACACCCGAAGTGGTGCGGGATCGCAGAAGAAGCGGGGGGGAGAAGTCGAGGGAGGAGAGGACCCTGGGGAATCATCCACTCCACCTTCCAAACTGGGGCTCAGCGAGGCGGAGGAGCGTCTGCTTCGGGGCCCCAAGGGCCATCATTTGTGATTATCAGGGTGTTCAGGGGCGCGTGAATTTTTTAGGTTGCAAAAAGTGCAATTTTTTGGGGTTTTGCACGTTGAACTTGCATTCAAAGTTGACGCTCGCAAGCCGAATCTCTCAAATAAGGTATATAGATATTTATTTAGAAGTTAAAAAATGAGAAAACAGTAGGTGCGTTGTGCGGATATTATTAGACCGTTTAGAGGTTTTGGTGGTATAACAACGAAAAAAATCGCTACATTCGGGAGTTTGGTCGAAAAAAACTACTACTACATCGCCAAGAAAGCCGCAAGTTCAAGGTTTGTGAGCCATCCGAGAATGTACTATTACATAGAAAATAGGTCTGAAATATAACATTCCATTAATGTGCGGCTACAAAATCCAGAATACCCCTCCAAAACGTAGCTCATCAGTTATGGATGCCACACCTCACGAACTTGTAATTTGAGCAACCGGATGCGTGGAAGAATAGCAAGCGCATAGCATGAAAAGCCCACTCCCCTCGACGAGCCAGAAGGGGTGAGTTGGCCCAGATGAAAACATTGGCCCCTAGGCACCCCCTCTGCGAGTGAAGGGCCCGTCGAGGCGATGATTGTGGGTGGCGAGTGGCTAGCCTGGTCTAAATTACGGGAGTAAAACGCGCGCGGAATTGCACCCCTCTCAAAGGAAGCTATTTTTTGGGGGCATCCGAGTGAGCTGTCGGAATTGACTAGGAATGCTCGGGGGCACATGGGGGGTGTTGGACAAGGAGCGGTGTGAATTGAACAGCCGCTAACATAGCAACTCGAATATTCATAAGTTTTCGCGGGGGTGTAGAGGATGGGTGGGGGGGGGGACAAAAGCTGGGAATATCATCTGAGGTATAGAAAAATTAGCATAGGGCGAGATCGGAAAAATAACACAAACCAACCGGCCCTGGATTCCAAAACGTAAGAATGTCATCGAAACACCATCTCAATCGAATCGAAACACTAATACAATCGAAATTATGAGCTATTCCGAGTAAATATGGTAATTTTGTAAGTTAAGGCTAAAGTTTAGCCTTAGAAACTGGTCAAATATTAATATAAAGGCTTTGTGATCAGCGTCAAAAAATTTCCTCAACGTACCGTAACCAAAAACTATGCTTAAAATTAACATTCGCGATAAAAAATAAAGTCAGACGTGGATGTCGGAAAAAAATAGGTTCGACCATTCCTAGTCTGCGATTTAAAGCTACTAAATCACCTGGAAAATCATCCAACTTTAAACAAAGAAAAATTGTTGTTAGTAGATTCACCAATACTATAATATCTATTATTTTGTACCACATTGAAGGAAAAGCTTTAACACTTAATCAAAACTTTGTTAAGCTTAAAATTTTGGATTAAATCTAGCGAAGCGGGGTTATTTGGTAATACAGTATCCAGGGCATCAATTCAAATAAACCGATGAATTTTGAAGTAACCAATGACAACAGGCAGATGCTACGAATTGCCCAGTAGCCCACCCAGATACTACACCCGTAGCAGCCGTAGACAAGTTATGGTGTATTGGGTAATGACCGGTGGTGGTGGACCGACCCCTCCCCTCCTAGGGCCCACCCTAAGGGGTGTCGAATTGCTCGAGGCCCCCCGGGGACCCTTCCGGGAGGGTGTGAGAAGAACTAGCCAGTGGCCCACAGGGGCCCTTCTCGGGTCCAGCTCCCGACGCTCGTTAGGGTGCACACCTTCAGGGAGGCCATACCACCCCGGAGGCCTATTTGTGTTCAGGAGGAGGAGGGGGGGTAGCATGTTGCGCGGCACTT